GACTACGCAGTCCCCTCCTGTTTAGTTGAACTGTGTCGAAAAGCTTGCGCAGAGCAGTGACATCACTCGCTAATTTCACTGGTTTGAGCGTGTGCAAATTTCCTAAGTACTTCTGCTCAATGACTTTCTTGTTTCCAAACCGACGTTTCAAAATTTCCAGCGCGTCATCGTAACAAGAATCTGTCACCTGAATACCGGCGACGGCCTGAGCTGCAGGTCCATCTAGAAGTGAGGCCAAGTAGTGAAACCGGTCTGTGTTGGACAGCCTTGGGTTCTCGTGCACAGAGTGCAGGAACATATCCCAAAAGGGTTGCCACTTGATCACGTTTCCATCGAAACGAAGAAGCTCCAGCTTGGGAAGTCGTGCGCCGAACTCACGTTGTGGAAGTCGTTCATGCTCGCTCGGTGCACCCTCACAGGTCCTTGCGCCCATGGCTGGAGTTGTAGACGACGCCGGCGTAGCAGAAGTCTTCAGAACTTCAATGTGGTGCTCGAGCAACGCCAGAGTACTGTTAGCGGCGTCATCGTATTGCATGACCACCTCATAGTCGTCTGCCGCCAGGTCGTCAGTGATCAGGGTTTCAACCTCGTTGTTCAAGGCTTTAAGTTCCACGTTGCTGGCGCGTAGGCGGCCGTGCAGCATTCGAAGTCCAGAAAGCTCGAACTCATTGGACTGGAGCACCTGGTTGACCTCGTTGATGATTCTCGTGTTCATCGATCGCCGCGAGGCCCGCTTGCTCTTCGCTCGCTCCATGTCGGTCTAGCTCGCAGCGCAGCTCACCCACACCAGGAATGAAAGGCTCGGGTCGTTGTAGGCTTGATTCCCGGGTCGTCGGCACCAAAATCGATGTGGGAAAGCCACGCTTTGGAGTTTAAAGGCACCAAATGAAGGAGACGCAAACGCCAGCATCCATGGTAAAAGAGCGTGTTCTCTTTCGGCTGGCTCTTCCTCTTCCTCGTCGTTCTCCGTCTCTTGGTGCGCGCGCTATTCGCGCGGGAGGTTCAAACAATTTCCAACAGGCGCACCCCGAACTTGGCTGTGATCAGAAACGATTCTACCCCCCAGCGGTACAGTTGGAACGCGGTCCCCGTACCCCGAAGAAAAAAAGAAGGCAAATCGACAAGCAAATAAAAAAAAATTTGAAGTGCAACGACCTAACCAACGTGTTTGTCGAAATAAAACTTGAAAAAAAAAAAAAAAAAAGCGTCCATGAGCGAAAAAAAAAAAACCGGCTGTTCCATCAATTACTGATACCCCCCAAATCGCCGCGCTTTTTGGAGGTCACGTGTACAACGCCGGGGGCTCGATCGCCATCACCACCATCAGAGAAAAAGAAACGCCATTTTGCAAGCGGTGTGCGTATGTTGTGGTCGTGTATTGAACTTTGGTTCCACCATGGGGAAGTACGCGAGCTACACGGCTGGGTTTAAACTGAAGGCAGTGCAGTACGCGCTGGAGCACGGCAACCGGGCTGCAAGCAGGCATTTCGGCGTTGGAGAAACCAGTATTCGGTACTGGAGGGACCAAGAAAAAAAACTTAAGGCGACGAAGAAGACACGACAAGCTTTCCGCGGTGCCAAGACCGGCAGGTATCCGAACGTCGAAGAGCAACTGGTCCGGCATACAGTCGCCGACCGATTTTCCGGACTCCAAAAATTCGGACTTGTTGGATATTCCGGACTTCATAAATGCACCGTCAGGGATCCCATAGAGCTAATGCATAGAGCTAATGCATTGACCGATTTTTCGGGCGAATTTGCCCCTGAAAGTTCGATGTTTCGGACTAAATCGCTCGTTTTGTGCCACGCCCCTAGCCATTGTGAACGCCGCCATGTTGGATTTTCTGTCGGTTTGGCTAAGCTTGGTCTTCAGATGCTTTTCCTGCCTCCGAGATTGGAATGCGCACGCTATATTTTAAGTTTCGGAGGCCGTGTTTGCTTTTTAAAAGACGCGGTGATGGATGCCGTTGTTTCGTCTTCGGTCAGCACTATCGTCATCGCATCGCACGGGGAGGAGGCGAAAGAAGGATTCTCTACCTGCCACAATGACATTTAAAGACTTCACTCGTGCGGACGACGACATTGTTTCGTGCGCGGAGGCCACTGACGACGAAATTCTTCGCCAGGTTGTCCCGGAGCCGGAGAGCGGCTCGGATGACGACAACGACGACCGCCCGCAGCCGTCGGCGGCGGAGATCGCCAACGCGGTGACAATTTTGTCGAGCGTTTATGGCGACGATGTCACCTTGGCGCAAATACAAGCAAACCAAATTGCCTCCAAGCGTAGTTTGAGGCAAGGCAGCATCAAGGACTTTTTTAAACCTGCCTGATGCAATAAACTTCAGATTTTTGGCGAAAACGAATTTTTCGGACTGTTCGATTTTTCGTACGTTTTTTCGGTCCCGGCCAGGTCCGAAAAATCGGTCGGCGACTGTATACGGGAGCTACGACAAGACGGCTGTGCTGTGTCGTTGGATATTGTGAAGACTGAGGCGCGCAGGGCATCGAAGCAAAAGAGTTCAAAACCAGCTCCGGATGGACAACTCGTTTCATGCGGCACCATGGCCTCGCACTGCGAAGGCGGACCACCTTGTGCCAGCGCTTGCCCGCAGCATACGAGGACAGAGTGGTGGACTTCCACAGTTTTGTTATAAAGCTCCGACAGCAGAAAGACTTCATTTTGCCCCGATCAGCAACACTGATCAAACCTCCCTTTGCTTCGATATGCCGTGGAACACGACAGTGGAGGAGAAAGGTGCACGGAGCATCATCGTCCGAACGTCTGGCGCTGATAAACGATGCACCAATGCTGGCGATGACAGCGGATGGGCGTAAGCTACCGCCTTACGTTATTTTTAAACGTAAGACGCTCCCAAAGGCAAAATTCCCTCAAGGCATCTATGTCAGAGTCCAGGAAAAAGGCTGGATGAGCGAACTCATGATGGATTGGGTGAAAACAGTCTGGGGTCGGCGGCCGGGTGGTCTGTTGTTGCCGTCCATGCTTGTCCTGGACAGTTTTCGTGGGCACCTAGTAGACCGCGTACGAGATGAGCTAAAGGAGCTGCGCACAGATCTGGCAGTTATTCCGGGCGGCCTCACATCGATACTGCAGCCTTTGGACGTGTCCTTGAATAAACCTTTCAAGGACAATGTTCGAAGGCTGTACACCACCTGGATGGCTGGAGGACAACATCAGCTGACTCCAGGTGGTAAGATTAAGAGGCCGCCTGTGGAAATGCTGTGCGCTTGGATCGTGGAAGCGTGGCAGGCGATCTCCGACGAAGTCGTCAGGAAAAGCTTCAAGAAGACGGGTATCTCGAACGCACTGGATGCGAGTGAGGATGACATGTTGTGGGGTGCGGATGATTCGGACACCGAAAACGAATCCCCGCTCGGCGAGGATGAATGTGTGATCTCCGACTCAGACTCCGAATAGGGAAAAGGAGGAACAGCTACGACTTTTGTGTAAATAAATTTTACGTGTGTGTGTGCAGTTGACGGCTCTCGCTTGTTCATTGAAAGGTACAGGTATGTTTGTTTTATGCTGAATTAATTGGTAAACGATAAAGTCTCCTTTTACTTGACAAGTGTGCAGATTTAAAGCGCGAGAACAGAGTTGAAAAAATTTTCGAAAATTTTACCCCGCGTAATTGGCGCACCCCTAACTTCGAGCCGGATTTTCTGAAAAAAAAAAAAAGTGCGCCTATTATGCGAGTAAATACGGTATATGCTGCGGGAACAAACGCGCAAAAGAAAAATGGAGGCTACGACGTCATCACTTGTTTTCTTGGCTGCAGTGTGGTGACATAAGGGAGAGAGAGAGAGAGAAGAAACTTTACTCAAGTGTCCCTGCTGGGGTCAAAGGTGGCGGGGGGCCGGGAGACTGGCCCCTCTGTAACCCCCTTCCTCAGGCGGCGGCCACGTTATATTCAGAGTGCATATTGCACGGTATGGGGGGAATCACGAAAGTGTCGCGAATGTCTGAAGGAATTGGGAGTTTCTGGCCAAACTGGGAGACGTAAGGTATGCCGAGTGCGCACATGAGATGACGTCCTGTAGGAGTTTGGCCTAATCGTTTATAGTGCAATATACGTTGGGCCTCAATGAATTCGTCTATAGTATTGTGTAGTCCTAGGTCATTGAGTTTCGCATTGGGCGTAGACATGGGGAGATGCAGCGCGCACTTGTAGCAGCGCCTGATCAGTATGTTTAGTTTTTTCTTGTCGGTGAGTGTAGTTTCATAAATGGAGCAACATAATGGATTCTGCTTATGGAGAAGTCGGTCACCAGTCGTATGAAATTGGCCTCTTTCATGCCGTGCTGTTTATTGGCGATGCGGGAGATGAGCCTAGTAGTCTGATAGACATGATGGTGTAGTAGTTATATTGTTTCCGAATTGCCGCTGTTCTGCTGAATGCGGAAGCCCAATACGCGAATGGTAGGGACTGTTCGTATAGGGTGATGTTGCACATGCAGATTTATCGTGGGAAGGTTAACATAAGGGAAGTAGGGGGTCCCCAAAAGGTCCCCTTTGAGGGTGTCAGTGACATGATAGAGTCCGAGGCTGCCCACTTCCAGTGAGTGGAACGTCCCCGCTAGTTCATGGCATGGCCACCAGATGCTGCGGTTTGTGAAAAACTTGATATTTCCCTCTAGTTTTTTTCCCCCTAAAATGAAGGCAGTGTATATCAATTCGAACAACCAATCTTTCAATTTGTCAAAATCTTTGTGACAAAAATTTTGTTCAGCATCTCTTCAAGAAATTGAAGCAACTATTCAAAACTTCAACACTAGGACCACTTTTTACCATGCTTTACATGACATCCATTTCTGTTTAGTGAGTGTAGGTGCATGCTAACAACCTGCGGACTTTCATTATATTAAAGAATGCGTAATGCAGAAAAAAAAAAAGCAATTTAGTCTAGTGGGCTAGCTTACGCCCAAACATGGTCATGCACACAATATCTTCCTTTGGCGCCAAGCAGGAAAGGCACACTCACGCTGAACCGTTTTAGAAAGTCCTCGGTGAGGGGCTGCGTGTGGGCTGCAACTGTGACGTACGTGTTCAGCTCTGTGAGGGCTTGGAGGCATGCCTCGGCACGGTTTTTACCAAGGCAACTCTCATTCAGGTAGAACTGAAAATGCAAAGAATCATTGTGAGCATGCAAACTGCGTGGTGACCGAAAACGAAGTATGAACTCCCTAAATGGGCATTATCGGGTATTGTGGCAATATTAGAAGGGATCACAAGGTCTGCATTGAGCTCGTTGAAACTTGCAACTAACAGTGCGATGCGGCAAAACTAGTGGCCAAAAGTGCCAAATGTTACCATGTCCACCCCAGATGAAGGACCTCTGCCAATGATGTACCAGCTGTACTGTACTGCAGAGACATTTCATTACATCTCTGAATTTTCATTTTGTTGCTTCACCTAACCCTTTGTAGTTTTAGGCAGCACTTTCCATTTCCTGGTATCCATTCAGTCATTCCAAGAGACCCCTGATTAAAAGTGCTTGACGGATCCTTTTCGTAATATTCGTTGCCCAGGTCTATCTCATTTTCTTTTGATATCAGCAAAGATGTGGGCCGACTTGTTCATTCCCTGAAACATTGTGCTTTTTTGCTATCCACAAGTGTCATGCTTACTTCTCGGCAACAGTGCCCAATAGACCCAATGTTTCATCCCATCATAGCCAGCTTTGCGAACCTCAACTTTTCAAGTTTATTATTCTCCATCTTTTTTGCCCTACAAGTATGAAGTGGCGAAAATGCAATAGATGTGCACTTCAAGATTTTTCAACAGCTATCAGTTACCACCAACGAATTGGTGTACAGTCCTCCAGAATTGACCCACTTGTTACACTATCACACACATGAATCCAGTAACCCCCAATTTTCCCAGGAGACTGGGTCAACGAAAACTGGTAGCGGTAGCAAAAATTCCTAAGAGGCACAACAAAATTAAAATCATACCGACTTTATCTTTCAATTGCACTTCTAAAGTGTGAAAATAGCACGACTGGGTACTTTCATAGTAAAGCTGGAGACGTGTACGAATGGCAAGGGGGTACACGCACCTCGTTCAAGCGAGACTACGTAGTGCACAAATTGGGTCGGGACAATACTACAGTTGGCATAATATAAATTAAAAGAAAATTATGCAAGTTCATGCTAACAACTGTGCCTGAACAGGCGGTTCTTAGACAAAAGCAACTGCGCCGAAAAAGAACGCAACAGACCTGTGAGGAGAGGTCGGCGGTGGTGCACACACCCTGATCATGGATGGTGACCGACTTGACGCCACTCAAGATGATGTTCTTGGCAATCTCCACTCCCAGGCCTCGCATGCCCGATATGAGCACGTCTGACCGGGCCATCCGGAGCATGGCCTCATGTCCAAGGACATACCTGCAAGGTGCGAAGCCTGCCTGAAACGTTTCTGCCCCCGAAATCCAGCCGAACTTTGGTTATGTATTACAAAGGCTACGACATTGTGGGGACACTGCATAAAGCTCTTAGTTTTGGGGAAAGCAATTTAGCTCTGCAAAGCGAGTACCATAAATCCTATCCAATATTTTGAAGGAAATAACTTTAGGGGTTCGTTTTACTTGTTAGACAATATCAATGAGAGCTAAAACACAATGATGCCAAGGAATACAGAGGGATGTTAGAAGTAATTGTAATGTATATGTGAAGAAACAAAAGTGGACGAAAAGATGACTTGCCACTAGCAGGATTTGAGCCTGCGACCTTCGAACGTGTCAGATGCTCTATTTTGAGCTACACTCATCCCTATTTTTGAGCTACAGCCACCCCCCCCACCCCCTACTATATAGGGTCAATGCCACCTCACTTTCATGGCTCGTTTTTGCCTGTTGGCATCACGTAGCACGTGATCTTGTTATGACCTGGAAGCCGACCAATAATCCCTCGGATACGACCTCAAGGGATGACTGCCAGAACAAGACCCTCGCTAAAAATGAAGGAAAGAAGATTAAATAAATTTATGCGCTCATTTTTTTGTTATACACAATTTTAATTAGAAACTGATGCCAAGGAAAGTATAGGGGATATATAGAAATAATTGTATATAGAAATATTAGCTGTATGCTACGTGATGCCAACAAGAGGTGCTGACTGACGCTCCCATGACTAAATGCACACATAGTGGATGGGTGGATGACCCCCATTGTAGCTCAGCGGTAGAGCATCGAATGCATTATTTCAACGTCACAGGTTCGGATCCTGCAGGGTGGCAAGTTATTTTTTCGCCCACGTTTCTTTGCATTCACATTACAATTATTTCTATCAAGATCTATACTTTCCTAGGCATCGTCTGTTAGTTCTCATTATCCAGAATTTCAGTTCACCTACTTACGGCTGAACATCATGGTGTAAAACACTACAGCACCCAATGTTGGCAAGACTGCTAAAGTGCTTAACTGTTACATGACATATGTTATTTTCTTTTCCAACAGCGTTGCTAGTGATACGAATGTTGGCCTAATAACAGCAGTTGGGATTTTACATCCCAAAATCGCAATGAATTATGAGGTACACTGTAACACAGTGCTCCAGAAATTTTGAACACCTGTCGTACTTCAATGTGCATCTAAATCTAGGTACACAGGCCTTTAGCCTTTCTGCCTCCATCAAAATGTGGCTGCCACGACTGGGGATCGATAGTACAATGTATGGGTTATCAGCTGAGCACCGAAACACCTAGACCACTGTAGTAGGGTGAAGATTGGCCTGTTTACCATCATAATTTCCATACGTCTCATCCTTAATAGCCATTCAACAACTTATAGCACCTCTGCAATCTTGAAAGATGCTGCACTAGACTCATGCATGCATCACACTTACAGCTGTCTTGAGTAGAGACTCTCATCGATGTCAGCAGTGCTTTGGGCTGTGGAGCCATTTTGGGCCATTTCCCCCTGAAGAGACAAAGCAATGTAAGAAAACAGACACACATACACCAGCTACTAACAAATGGTTTAACCTTCCCATGCGGTGCTGCACAACACTCATCTAAATGCCTATGAGATGCATTGAGTGGAACTTGCAAACTGGCATGTCACTCAATTTATATGTGTACTAAAAAAAAAAAAAACTTCAAGCTCGAGATTGCGTCCATTTCGTGGCTCGGTATGCATTAGTAGTTTTAACAAATTTGAATGAAATGTATCACTATTTTAGGGCTAACAGCACACAGAAGCTCGAAGGAACATCACTACTGTGACGAGTTTGGTATGGCGCGTGCCACCACGAGTGACTAAACTCTAGCAATTACATCGACGATCCACGGGTTCTTATACGGACGCATGAAAACGCTCACTCTTAATGGCCAGTCCTCATTACCCCTCGTTGCATGATTTCATAAAATTACTGAATCACAAAGAAAAGATAGGCATAAAGAAAGAGCATGATTCAACGTGTGCTCATCAGTCTGCATGTTAGAAAACTTGTGAGCCGGTTTTGTTGGTAGCGTGGAAAAAGGGAAATGAGTGTCGTTTCATTACATGTCCGGTACATACCAGCATGACCACGAACTATCAGAGGAGAAGGATGCATTCCTGTGTACTTTTTTCCTCGTTTGTTTTTTCTATCTCAATATTTTGCACCTTTTACAATATCAAAAATGGCCACAGCTGCCATGTGGAAGAAGTACAGCTTACATTTGCATTAAGAAAGTTTTTTCTAGGTCATAAAATTTCGGAATTAAGAATACGCCATAAAAGCTGAATTAACAAGTAAAAAGGGATCACTAATTCACACTGAAATAATGAAGTTTCAGGAATATTCATAACCTCAAAACGAAAAGGAAATAAATAAATATAAGAACTTTAAACAACGTCAGATATGGAACGGTATGAATTGACCACTCCCCTCAACTGCCATATCTGACAACAAAGGGTAGTTCTGTCTAAAAAAAAAAATCGCTGTATCGGGCAGCAGTAAACCTCTGCACGTCGACTGTAAACAACGACGATCGGCAGCTGCACAAATAAATCAATTAGCGACTACACCAGCAACCAGAATTCCATAGACGACACACCGATCGGCTTTGTCGGTTCAATCGCGGAGAGTCGCGAGCCGGCGATTGATAAAAACTGGCACAACGAGAGCGTCGGGTCAGCCACCCTTTTCAATGAGCGACGAGCGCTACATTTCGAAACCGGAGGCAGAACAAGAGGAAGCTCGCCAAACGCAACGCGGCAACCACCTACGTGTAGAACAAACCGAGCGTCGCCCGTGTCCTCCGGGGATGAATGGACAAAAACTGGGAACCAACACCGATCAGCAAAAGTTCGTCGACTCCCGAAGGCACCCAAGCATCGCCTAGTCACCGCTGGCCCCGGCGGCCAGCGTCTGCGAAAACTGTACAGCCGCCAGTTGCGTATTCGCAAGACGAGCGCTCGCTAACGTTTCTCGGCACTAACGTTCTACTCAATTGGAGCCGGGAGGGCCAGCCGCGCGAGCTCTTTGCTTTGTCACTTTACATTCCTTTCTAGCTGGCCGCTATTACGAAAAACTCCCATCAGCTGACAGGCGCGCACGCGTACGAAACCTAGCGGCTACCGAGCGACGGCTGTGTGCGTGACCTCGGCAAAAGCCGACGCTCCACCACAACTCGGACACGTCACTGCCGGCAACAGGCGCCGAAACAACGCGGAGAAAGTTAAATGGAAACAAAAAAAAAAAATCCGGAGTGGCGCCGTTTCGAAACGAGACCACAAATTGGTCAACTCCGTCACTAAAATGGGAAGAAAAAAAAAACAAATAAAAGGCCACGCGTCAACCGGCACACAACGCCAACCGGGCTTTCGCTTCCCGGTGTTCTGCCACAACGGCGAGGCTTACGAGCACGACCCACCTGCCGAGACCGCGGGCTCCGCTGCAGCACGGTGCGGCGGCGACTCGACGACGGACTCCGCTGGGTACGCCGCGCTCGACAGTGAAACCCGTGCGACGTGGTCGCGGGTGTGACGACGCCTCCGGTGGCCTCTGGTCGACGAAACGCGGTCCCCATGGCGACGTCTAGATAAACATTTTTTCTCTCTCGTCTTTTCCCTCAGTTCTGGCAATCGTGCAACGCCGGCACGCGATACTGCGCCTCTACACCCTTGGCGAAGAGAGCCCCTACCGGGTGTCCAAACGCGAGGTTAAATTCTGCCGGCACGAGCAACGTTACTAGGTAGGTAATCTAGTAACGTTGGGCACGAGAGCGTGTTGAGCCAACACCAGTGTAAGCACGTGCACGTGAGATGGGGGCAGCCGGTTGTTTCAAGGCATCGCTGGCTCTTACAGACGGGACGGAACAGCCACTTTCCACAGCATTTGGAGACTAAATTTGCCAGAGCGGTTTAGTAGCCAACGGCAAGGCTACTCAACAGTGTTCTACTCAACTGCTCAACAGTGGCTACTCAACAACCTCAAAGGATCTGTGAAAGAGAAAAAAAAAGTAAGAACAGTGTGGAGTCTTCTAAGCGCGAAAGCAAACGAACCAGTGCTTAGTACAAGCGAGAATCTTACAATCTCAACTTACTAAAACTCGTGCGTCCCGTTCGAATATCACAGAAAACTTGTCATTTCGACTTTCTTCTTTCGACGCATGCCATATTGCAGCCCCACACGATTCTCGCAGAAACAACTTTACGAAAAAAAAAAACGTAAAATTTTTCTGCTGCTAAAAACTTGCTCAAAGAAAAAAAAGCTAAAACAGGTTACCAACCAGCCTGTAGCATATGCAACGAACGGTACATGATATCTCAGTGTTGCAACAATTTGTCATTCGCGATAACTCCGCAAGCAGCATCGAATGGCCCCATATGAACCGTTCTAAACATTTTAGACGCTAGCAAACGGTATCGCCCCTTTTTCCAAGTATCACCATCCAGTGCAAAAAATGCCAAGAGTACGGAAATGAGGTCCCCCACAAAGCCGCAAACAATATCTAGCAGGACACAGCGACAACCAAAATTAGGCACGAAAACTTATTACACCGAAATGGCAACTCGGGTAAAGCTTTTGCACACATCGGCTATCTCGTGGCCGGAAAGTCAAATGGTCATCCATCCAGCCTCTCTCCCGCAAAGGCATCTCCGGTAAGATACGAGTGCTTCAAGGCACGGAGAAAGTCCGTGCTTCAGGGTCAGGCGGCGAAGTGAGCTTTACAGGACACGTTCAAGAAACCTCCGAGTACTGCGGTTCAACGCTGTGAACACGAAAACACTTGAATTCACGAGCACTCGAGGCTTACATCTTTAAAAATGTTGATAATTGATATGTGGGGTTTAACTTCCCAATACTACCATGTGATTATGAGAGACGCCATGGTGGAGGGCTCCGAAAATTTCGACCACCTGGAGTTCTTTAACGTGCACCCAAATCTGTGGGCCTAAGCAATTTTGCTTCTATCGAAAATGCAGCTGCCGCAGCAGGGATTCGATCCCGCGACCTCTTTAAAAAGGTTACCGCCAATTTACAGAAAGGTATACATTTCGGAATCCGCGATAATCATAGATTGCATTACAGGGTCTAATATAATTCCGGAAGTCACATCCATTTAAGGAAATGAGATGTGGCCCACAAAAACTTTCAGTGGCGGGGGATGGCAAACCCCGCCCCCTAAAAGAAAGGGGAGAAAAAAAAAAGCATTATTCTCAAAATAATGGCGACGTTGATAATGCCAACATGACGCATCTAGAGATCACATGCACTCACTCTAGGAGTTCCACCAGGGCTACAGTTGAACCTGGAAATTGACTGGCGTAAATAAGCCCACCCGAACTACACTGCATGACTCAAACGCACGCCGCACGGTCTCCAGAAACACAAGAGTGAAGACGCGTACCGTTTTCGGTTTTTTGGGTGTTCGCGTGAACGCAGAACTTCGCTCATCCGGCGTAACAAAATGCCGACCAAAGTACGGTTCATGCAGACATCCAGACACTCCCCCTCGCTGCCGGAGCTATTTCTGGAACGTATCAAATGCACTACTACCGCGCCACAAACAGAAGAACGAACGGCGTTCTGTATCCGCTGCCGGACCAACAAAGTACCGCTACACATTGATTTAGTCATGGCGTTGCGAATTCGTAGTTTATTTCGGCGCCAGTATTACAACTGCATGGAAGAGCGACTTAAGCGTGTTCTTGGAAAGTTTTTGACAATCAGTGACTGACCAAGTGGTGCAACAAACGCTACGAGGTAAGATTTTTTATTTGCGGCATTCGGGAACGATATGTATTTGTTAAAGCTTCGCCGACGCAGAACAGCTTGGCTCGCAGCCTGAATGGCGCTCGCGTTGCACGAGCTGGATATATAACGAGACACATAAAAATAAATGCACGCGCCAGTTACGAGTTGGAGTGTGCCTACACGACAGGTGCGAAGCTTTGCACGCCAGGCCTGGAAACAATGCAAGAACTTGACGCAACAGAACGCTAACTGCACGGAGCGCAAAACGCCGGCTACTCATTCCGCCCAATTAGTGGTAAGAAAAAACAGAGCGCGTGCTTGGAAAACAAGTTCGCCTTACCGTGAACAATGCAAAGACGAAGTTTTCACGTGCGGAGCAAACAATTAGGTTGCGTAACGTCCGGATACTCGAATGGCAATCTCGAAACTTGACTGCTCCGTGATGTTAGGCCTAACCGCGTGCGAAAGAGAAATTTCGCAGCGAGCCGAAAACGGTCGCAATGAGCGACAAATGCTACTTGCGGCAAAGATAGATACTTACAACTGCTTTTCCAGATGCGGCGTTGCCAGAACTATCCTCGGTCCTGCGTTTTTTTGCCGGAGGGCTCTTGGCGTTTTCAGAAACAGTGTCCTGTGCACAAGACATCTAAATCTTTAAGAGCACGGCACATGAATACAGCATAGGATCAGTTTTTTTCCCCGTAGCTTGCACTGTGCACGCTCGCTCCCCGACACGATGTGCGCGCTTTCGCTGCACCTATAACAGTCTTGCGACTGCTACAGCAGCAAAAGCAAGGCGCCGACGAGACAGGAGTGGCGGCTTCTCGGTGAAGATGGCCGACTCGCATACAATAGGAAGTAAAAAACGGCGCGTTTCCGAAGTGATGAGCAACGTGCGAGCAGCACGTGACATTTGTACGTGAACTGAACAATATTGAGATAACAACTTAAGTTATTTTAACTTATTATTTCTGCTGAACACAAATACGTTTAAATTATTACAGTTAATGTTCTATGTTGTGTCCTAATTTGACCTCCAAGAAAACAATTAGCGCTTTGGTTTTAAATACAGCTCTCAGAGGCTATGCTTTTGTGTACTGTAAACTTCAAAATTATACGTCAAGCCTGCCATCTTTTTTTATTATCACAAGACACGTGTGAACTCATTCAATTCGAGTCAGCTTTAGCGCAAACGTCAGGCAAAGTGCGCTCCGATCCAAATCAATCCAAAGGACGTAAACAAAAACTCGTGCTTTTCACAATGGTTTGAAAGTTTCAATCCTTTCGCCACTTTCGCGTTTACATTAATTGGCTTATCTTATGAATCACTGACGCACGTTCACCAAAAGTTGGAGCAAAAATCTGTGCTCATGGAAAGCACTACGAGAACTGTTCGCACTGTTTGTCGGACGGAACACGTCTACATGGACGTTTCACTGCAAGTTGATACTCGATGCCTATCAAATATATTATTTGTCGCAGTAGGCAGCGCCTTTGCTATAGGTGCATCGGGGGTACACTTTAATAGAGGTCGCTGAAGCGCGAATAAGCGACAGACAAATGCCTTTTTTTTCCTTTTTAAATAAAGCTTGCTCTGTAACAAGTGAATTGAGGCGAAGCAGTCGGTATTTTCGTTTCAAAAGGCACGCGTGTTAGCTTCGCTAAATTAGTTTTATTTATTGGCGCGTGTAGTTGCACCGACAAAAGGTAGCTAACTGCACGTCGTTCACGACTTTTTTTACTGTGCATTTTCTTAAAAGATTTCAGCTCTTCTCTTGACGAGGACAGGACAGAGAAGTGCATATATTCCGGTTGTACCAAACAGGACTATTTGTTGGGCAAGAATAGAGTTACATTTGCTCAGTAATATCGTCCACTTTTCTTCCACGTGCATGTTAACATAACGTCATCACCAAGATCTTGTGTTAAAATGCTCCAGTAAATTAATAAACGTGCATCTGAATCTTTTCATTGTACCTTTCTAGTAATTATCTACTAAAGGTGCTTTTTACATGCGGCTTCCTAGTTTAATGCACTAAGCCGGGAACGTGTATAGTCGAGTGCTTAGACGTTTTCTGTACGCCTTATAAAGTCATTGCAAACTAAGCCGGGAACGTGTATGGTCGAGTGCTTAGACGTTTTCTGTACGCTTATAAAGTCATTGCAAACTTTGATATGCGAGGGTGGTTGGCTACATTTAAACGCAAATTTTGTCGTAGTGTATAGGGTTCGAATGACTCAAACTCTGTGCAATGACATTTAACACAACTGTCCTATGCACATAATGAGTCACTTGTTTCGATCAACACTGTTATTGTGGCCATGAAGTCGACATTGCGACTCGTTTCATGTTCCAACTAATGTGCGGTTCCCTTTATCTCACTCCCCTTTCGGCTTATTTGTACTATTAGTGCCTTGCCTCAATGTGAATTAGCAGCATGCTACCAAAATCACTTTTTCTACCTAAAGATAAGCATGCGACTGTTCCTAATTTGCAGCCGTTTTGAAGAGCCTGGCGAAGAAGTTGATGCAGCAATGTTCAAGTTTATTATACAGCAAGCCTTGAGGACATCGTTTGGTGAAGTAAGGCCAAAGAGCCAATCACAAGATTTTTTTTACGCAACACCCACGCCTTACCTTGCAGGTCGGTGCATCCGTTCATGTCGACGTTCTGAAGTTCAGGGAAGACAGATCTGCGCGCTTACTTGCGAGTTTTGTCCAGGTAATGTTAAAAGCCTGCGATCTTGGCACTGTTTCCTTGGCATGATGCAGCACCAAGCAGTACTAAACTTTTCAACTGTGTGATGTGAAAGCCGTGCACACGCTGGCATGCTTTCGTTTTTTTTTTGTATCCGAGGGAATAAAATGAGCAGAGCATATAATTTCATTATTCCTTTAGCCATGGAGGCAATTTCTTGCCTTGAATTGTGTAGGATGTTAGGCATACATTTCCAGATCATGCAATTGCTTTGTTCAGTTTTCCTAAGGAACGTCAGAACAAAGTTTGTGTACTGCTTCCATACAGTTAAAGCTCCATATATTTTTGCCATCTCTGATGCATCAGTTGTCACAATACTTCTTGGTTTTCAATATCCTGCAGCAACCTGGTCAGGCTTTGGAGCTCTCTCACACTGACCTCCAGCTACAACGGAAGGCCGTGTTCCTTTCGAGTGTACAAGGTATTTAGATGCTACAGCTCTGGCAATATCCAAGTGTATTGCTTCAATGTGTGCCGTTTTCCCTCTGTTTCTAAGGTGTCCCCTAGCCCGGCCTCGCTGGCAGTGTCAAGTTTACACTATCAGCATCTACCAGCTGCAGAAGAAAATGCTGCCGAATAAGTGCTCGAGCTCCTTGTTTGCTTCATATTCCTCCACGTACCGACAGCTGCACCTTTTAAGTAAAGGGACACTTGCGTCTTCTGTCACCACAATGGCTAAGCTATTGGTCAAAGCCTGGCAACCGATTGTTCTTCGAAAAAGATTCTCCACAGTTCGGACTGACCCTAGTGGCAGCGGTGCATTTTGTCTGTCAAAAAAATTATGCCCTGAGAATCATCTTGACGAGAGACTTCGAATAAACTTTGCCATTCATCTTCATTGAAACTACCATTTCAGGCATCAATGTTTTTTCCATTCTCTCTCTCTCTCTCTTTTTTCAACTCCACAAAGGTCAAAACTTTTAATCCAAGTTGTTCTCTCAGCTCTTTAGTCAACAAAATTTCCTTTCACCTTGTAATTTAGTCCGGAGTTCAAGTCATGTTACAACGACTTCCAATACTTGAAACCGTAATGGTAGTTTGCACCTATTCATTAGAAATGCCAGTTTTTTCAAATACTTTATGTTACACTGTGACAGTGTAGTGTTTATTCAGGTTATGTAGTGTACATTTATTCATTGATTGAAAACATCGCCACTCAGAACAGCTGTACACAAGTTTGAGGTGTGACATGTCGTGACTACCTTATGAACAGCTTAAAAAAGAAAAGATCAAGCCGAAAAAAATATTTTTTAAAAATTAGTAGTTCTAAACTAACCTTCTTCCAAGCCTCAAAAACACATTTGTAAAGGCAAAGTGCCTTCCCTGGAATATACATTACCTAATTCATTTTTAACTCTGACAAAGCACTCACTAATATTGCCATGCATGTTTCTTGTTAGAAGTATGTTGAATTCAATTTACACCCACAAAGATTGTCAGCAGTCCTCAGCGCAGGCCATGCCTCGGTGTTCGAGAAGCTTTGTGATTGTAGGTCGTTTTGTTAAGATCGTGCACAGGAGGCGAACAGTCCAGAGCTTACGCGGCTGTCATCGATAACACTTCGATAGCTCATGTATAAAAACTAACGTGCTTTACTGCATGTCAGTTCTATCGACAAGTGACGCTCTGTTTGCCAATATCAGGGTACAGCATGCATCACTTGCTGTTTGTTTCCCAGCCACAAGTTTGTCCAAATTGAGAGTTTCCACTTGAACTGAGCCACCTACTGCCCTTGTCCATTTCACGACCCCGTGACAACATTAAAAAAAACAGGGTTAAGATTGTGTGCAGGAGGCCCTATGCCCGCCTAGGAATTTAGGCGAAGTGTATGTACTTTTTTCTTTACGAACATGAGAGCTACAATAATTATTTTACTATCATTGTAATCATGAGCCACTCCTCTTCTTCCCGAACCAGATTTAGCTCTGAAGACTGTAACACAAACTTCCCTGTAAATTTTTTGCTTCAGGCACTTAATAATCACTTGATAATAGCTACTAGGTGCCGCATTGCACAGGAGCATATTTCCTAATACGTTATCAAGATACTGGCCAAAACCAATGACTCTGGATACTGTGGTTGCTGAGAAAAAGGAACATAAGTACAAAAAAAGCATGTTCTGAGATAATCGCATTCACAGTTGAAAAACTGAATTATTTCAAAAAGTTCAGCGAGATAACAGCAAATTGACAAACTCGTTCAATAGGTACCAGCTAGATACTAATTACTAATATAATTTTTTTCTTTTTGTGTTAAAATCTCTTGCCTGGTGAGCCTCATTTGTCGCCTGCTCTGCAGCCGTGTAAGCACAGAGCTGTCGACGCAGTTCAAGGGTGCGTAGGGCCTGCACTGTGCAGTGCCCAGGCGAAATTCCAAAATAAATTCACACGGGCTATATTGCCATCATTAAAAGTTAACACAGCATCAAGAGTGCATATTTACAGTGGTTGGTGCCAGAGGAAAAAAATTTTTTTGAGTGAGCCCCCACACGACAATCCAACGAGGAAAAAATTTTTTTTGAGTGAGCCGCCACACGAAAATCCAACGACTCGTTATGGTTTTGAGTTTTCCCATTGAGGCATTTAGCAGGTAATTCTGGATGAGCTAGTTCCAGATAATTTGTCTTAACAGCCTCAATAAAAGATGCTGGAAGGTGTTCTTAATGAACGAATGGTTTACCATTCAAAAGGGCTTTGTTGAATTTACACAAGATTTGGCGTCCTTTGATCAAAGGCCGGGAGATTAATTGATATTCTTTGATGCCATGTGAAAATATGTGGACTGAACAGCTTTTATCATGTCCTCCAAGTTGGCTCTATTTTGTTTAATGGCCCAACATTAACGGTTTTGGTGCTTGCTAATCATTACACCACTAAGACGTCCCTGACCAGATATAGATTGCTTTACGGAAAGCTCGAGGCTTTTGCTTTCTTTTGTTTTCGCAGTTCTGGGCCAATTCTTTTCTGAATGTGCCAAATACACTCCAGCTTGCAAACTGTAACTTCCCCATATGGCTATGATGCTTGAACTGCAAGAAATCCTTTGCTACGTAAGAATGGAGGGCATGGAAAGTCGCCACTTAAAGTTTGTTGAAGTAAGTCATTTATAGAGAAAAAAAATACGCTAATACAAACATACGACTGATTCTAGTTCAGAAAAGGCTGCAGATTTCAAATAATGCAAAAAGAAAAAAATATTTTTCAATATTTTTGCTTACCCTGTCCCCTTGACCATTGATGCATTGCTCACTGCTATGAGCAAGTCTCTTTTTGAAAAAAAAAAAAAAAAAAGTTGTTTTACCAACCTAGTGCTCTACTTCGAAACTCCATGCACTGGGCAAAAATATAGAATTTGCCTGAGAAATTTCGCATCTCTGTCTTCTATCTGTAGAATTTGTTTTCTCGCCAAGACCCAGGGGTGGTTTTTAGGAGCCCTTAATAAACCCTGAAAGGATAACTCTCTCACCTGGTCACTTTGAAATGTTACACCAAAAAAGTTTTGAGGTGGTGAAATCACCAATTAGACATTAAATTATGACACACATAAGAGATGGTCAAAAAGATTTCGCATTCAGTCCTATATATTACAAAAATAAAATATGTACAAAAGGAGGCAGTGCTATTCCTTCTCCACGATCCCTACGCTGGGTGTCACTTGAACACCTGATCTACGACATCTATGAAAGCTTGAACCAAGGCCCACTCTGACACCAGATCCAAAGGTGGGGTTCTCGTCCTGCATGTGCTTGGAGAGCCCTGACCGCCTCGCCGCAGATGTCTCTGCACTTCGGCCTTGATAGCAGCCTGGAATGAAGAGATAGTGTGACGGGAGTTGAGTTTTATCTTACTCAAACCTCTGTTAAATTGCCACATTGTAGCAAAAGTAAAGCTGCTGTGTAAATTTGTTCGAGCGAGTTCTCTTGCTACTCAGTTGCCTCGTATGCTACAGAAAGAAAAAAAACTAATTAGCTGAAGTTGACACATTTAAACAGCAATGAAAGAGAAAGAAAACTGATTGAGAGACCCATTTTTCTGTAAGGCGCGGCCATGCGGACCCAATGAAATCGTTGGGAGAGTTATTCGTAGCATTATTAAATCTTAAAAATTGTATTAGTTGAAGCGTAGAGCCAATAACTTAATAAAAATAACAATTGCTGGGGTCTTGTGAGTCAAAACCGTCATGTGATAATGAGGTCCACCATGGTGAAGGACGGATTAATTTTGACAAACTGGGTGTCACTGGGTTTATAAGCACACAAGATTATCTCTGAATTTTGCCCCAATCGAAACACAGCAGTCATTCTTGTAAATCGAACCCATAGCCGAGAGATTAGCATTGTGACACCTCATGTGCTAAGATTAGTGCTCTGACACAAAACCATGACTGGCATCCAAAGAGGGCTATTGTTCCTCGCCCCTTTTGCTCTGTTGTCAAGCTACTCTCGATATAGTTTTGGCTCCTTACACCGGGATTGCTTTTCTTTTGCCTGAGAGGGACACACTCAAAGCACCACCCACATAGTTTCATCCCTCACCGCATGCAGGTCCCCTGATTTGAAAACTGTGCATTCAGCATCACTGAAGCTTGGTTGTCTCCCCTGCAGTGGGGCGCTAGTTTCGTGCTATTTTAGGTAGGCATTTTGAAGTGATGCTGAAATTGGTCACAATTAACAATGCTAGTTCTCATTATAAGATATATTTGATCGCTTATGATTCAATTTCGCGTGACCAAACACAAGGCTACAACTTGGAACAAAAATTTTGCTGTCAAGGGTCCTTTAAAGAAAAACACAGGTTTGAATGATCACAAATAAACTTTTTACTATGATCTCGCAATCATTTTTAGGTCAAGAAATAAAGTCGCAGAACTATCTTCATGCCTTCAGATTTTAATAGTGAAGATGTTCTGCAGGCTTGTACTACAACAGTGAACATCTCCAAATTTACAATACTTTGAAATCGCTTGACATCTTGCATTACGACTGCCACATGCTCAGGAAATTACAAATCATTGCAAAACTTGTGCATTTCTTAATACCCATCAAAAATATGCACTCAAGCCATTTGCGACATCTTTTATTTCCTGTTCACTCCCAAGGTTATTCTTCAATTTTTTGCAATTCTACACTTGTCTGTTCATGCTCATTTTAACTATTACTGTACAACCACACTGTTCAGCTCCTGTAACACAGTCAAACCAACAGTGACCCACTGTGAAAACCCCTAGTATCGCATTTGAAACTAATCAACAAAACTGAGGGCTACGACGAAACTTGAGACTGTACAGACCACTCTGGTCAGGAAAGCCACGAGCAGAAAATAAGTCACGCGGCCTACCGTCACCACTCACCAAGGTCCAGAAGAAAACAGAGTGGGTCAGGGGACACATGGGCGGGCATCTCAGCCAAACTCAATAAGTCGGCATGTGTGGGACACATATAGCGTAGTTAAAATAACTTGAAGGGCCCCTCACCAGGTCTGAACATTTTGAGCTGACAAGCACAATGAATATACATATCAGGTGTTCACAATCACATCTGCCAAAATTTGCAGTGCTGCGGACCACGAACATAGGCCAAACTTCAAGCTGAATGCCATGTGACCTTTGTCTTGCGAGTGCGAGTCCCAAGATGTATGACAAAAAATGGCCCTACGTAGTTCTCTTTGGCACGGCTCCTCTACATAGACATTGGTGCTCTGATGTCATCCAAAATAGTATGTGACACTGTGAGAATTATTTATGGCGACATGCCCAATTTGTGTAATCTGTGGCTTTCATCGGATAAGGTTAAGAAGTTTGTGGGGATAATGTGACTGCAGTAGGCACAAGATGGGGTTAATTGGCAAAAAATTATTTTTCTGTAGATTTATAACATTGTTCTATTAATACTAAATTATCTTGCCATTCGCCCTCGTATTCTTTTCCATGCTTTCTTTATTGTGGGTCCCCCCACAGTCTTCGGACTATGGAACCCTAGCCTGTAAAATGTCTTCTTCATTTTATGTATTGCTACTTTGTTACTAATAAACTTCGCACTTCAAACGTGGGAGAGGCCTTTGGCCTGCAGAGGGCGTAGTCAACTTTTTGAGGATTACGACTTACCATCTCTCCACTGTATGTCCTGGATAAGAGCTGCTTGTCATGGAGGGACACCTGTGGGTGCAGCCGGTACAACAGGGCCTGTCCGAGAGTTATTGAGAGGCTCATCTCCAGGATGGCAAATTCCATGTTCCTGGGTGTAGCGATAACACAGCTTTCGAGTGCAGCTATATCAACGGGTTGAATCTATGCAAAGATTGTGGCTCCCTATTTCAGGCACTTCTTTGCAAGTTGCTAAATTGTTACAGTAGTACCCCTCTCATACCCAGCTCGGAGACCACGAATACTGTGACTATGTACCTGCAAGGTTTCAGACGGGAATGCTGCAAGATGGACACGTGAGGAGGGGATTCACAGATAAGTGTCTGTAGATTTGCTGCTGAGTTCGGATTCCAGGAACATTACACGTAGGAAAATGTATACCTTTAAATCCCGAGCAAGCGCCCTCCTCCTTTTATGGGCCAATGACCGAAAAGTCTCCCCCCCCCCCCCCCTATCCCCTCTAGCCATTTTCACTGATTTTCTTCGCCCGATGAAGGCAAATAACAGGAGCGAATGCATGTGTGCTCAATAAACCACTTTAAAAAAAGCATGCGTGCCTCTTATACCGTCATCTTTAATTTGGATTTGTGACCCGCCACCCTCCAAATCTTATCTAATCATCTTTCACTGCAGTAGGGGGCTTGCTAGGTACTATTTCAGGGTAAGCCAGGTTTTACCATACAGACAAACTTTCAACATCAGGATTTGCACACTGAGACATCCCATAATCTAGCTTCTTCCCAAACGGTGTATCCTGTAAAATTTTACATCAGTTTGCACATCGCGCTTAAAGGGTACTGACACAAAAACTTTAGCCTCGTGTTTTTCTGCTACAATGTGTTGCTGGGGGCCTGTTACTCATGGCAAGACACATTGTTTGCTGCAGCACGCGACAGATAATCGGTTAGAGGCCCCTCATTATCGACCAGTTCCAGTTTCGGTTTGAGAGAGCTCCAAAAACGAGAAGCCACCGGTTGCAACTATCGCTACCTAGCGGTTGCAGCTCTTGACCATGTCAGCACACAGAACTGTGACGCACTTTCACACGGTCTGCGTCAAGAATTACCTTTGAATAGGAAACGGACTGCAGTCTCGCCAAACACAAAACTATCTAAGCGTGCGCCACGGTTACACACTTGCATTCAGCCGCCAAGAAGTATAGACTGCGAGAACAAACGTGGCAAAAGAAAAATGGCGGCTATGATGACATGATAACTTGTTTTATTGGCTGCAGCGTGGTGACATGAGGGAAGCAGGGAGTCCCCAAAGGGTCCCCTTCGAGGGTGTCAATGGCACGATGTAGTCGAGGGCTCATGCAAACTTTCAAAATTAATTAAAAATATCTTTCAAGCTATATTTGCTGTTCATATATTTTGCAGATGATATACGAATGTTCACAGGGATCGACCCTGCAGGCAATCTCGGCGGCGCAATTTTGTGTCAGTACCCCTTCAAGACCTTGCAGGACCGTAACACATTCATCTCAAGATGCACCAGGCAATGTCAGAGAAAGCTGTGGGGCTAATGCCACACAGTACTTCCGCTTAGAAAGGCATCCATTACCTTTGTTGGCGAAGGCTGCCAGCAGGCAATGGCTGTCGGTCAACCTGCATCGACATAGACGTGAAAACGAGTTTTTTCGGGTGACAATCATGCACCTACAAAGGCTATTATGGGTGCCACAAACTATTTCTATGTATTTATCTTTCACTCCTCGAAACAGAAAAATACATAAAGATAGACATAGTTCCACATTTGGAGGTCCTGAAGTAAAATATGTCGGGAGGCCTCCTAACAAGAAACAAACGGGGGTTACAAGAATCTTGGCAAACAGTGAGTCATATATACTAGCACAAAAATTAGCTGTTTTCATATAATGCTAAACGTTGCAGTGGACTAAAGAAAGGGAATTGACCTAGGGGAGGCCATTTTCCTTTGGCATGTCTGTATGAAGTCAACAGATCATAAAAGCATAGAAGTAGCACTAATTTTTAACTGAAGTGTACTAATCAAGGGGCAAAGAGGAAGTGGATGAAAATCTACAGACCATTAGTGAGATACAACCTCTGCATTAGAAGAGTGGCACGCTACCAATCGTGATACAGCTACGGCAATATTGCATTAGTTTTCCTCGCATAATTATGCATGTGTAATCCTTGAAGCAATAGCTAGCACCATTCAAGGTCATCACAATGAATCTGGAATGTTCCATTTGCCCGAATAGCCGAGCAAACAGAGCAGAAAAAAAGTGCACAGATAATTGTATCTAGCAGACAAATAGACTACAAAATCAGTTTTTTTCAATACCAAATAATGAACACTTATTACCACCATTTATACTACAACATATATGAACCTATGAAAGTCCAAAGTTGTCTTTTTTAACTGAAAACCTTCAAGAAATATTTGTGAAAGGCACCGCTGTAAGAATGCATGAGACACTAGGCTGTGCTGAACAGTGCATAATCTATAAGCGCTTCATCACGTGCCTTGGTAAGTGACTTGAGGCACAGCTGAGCAGCTGACATTAGGGTTCCGAAATTCAGCTTCTCATCCTGCTCCACAGAGGGCGACTGAAATGACAGATTTGCTATCGGCTGCCACTCGTCAATGTCCAAGGCCTGGGGAAAAAAAGAAACTTTAATTCAGATCCTGTGCCACAACAAAAACAAAAACTTAGAACAAGAAAACAGGCTACCCCCAAGCTATCAGCTAAAAGGTGAACATTTAGCAGATATTTATCTAGTTAGGGACATTAAATTAAAGGGAAGAACTTGAATAAAAATTCATTATTAGTCCCAACATTTTGGAGCCTGACAGGCTCCTTTTTCAGAAATTAACTGCTGTCATGATTAGCACTGCTTATAAGCATCATTCATGCTTTCACAGGTGTGCATGGCAGTGTGAACAATGTTATAAGCAAGGATGTGGACTTCTTCATACACACAGCATAATATTAATACTATAGAGTGATACATTAGAGGGAACTTGGGTGCTTGTTTATGGAAGCTATAACACAGGGTGCTTCAGCGAGCACAGGAATGAAGGATAGCACAAGAATTTGCCTAATATTCATACTTTCGACTCTGTTTGGCTTTGCATGACTTGGAGCTGCCTTGTTATGAAACAAAAATAAGCAAATGGTCTGCAGTTGCACTTCACCGTGAACCTTAACCTTTTAGGCTCGCCATTTCAAGGCGGGTCAAAAAGTTCACAACAGTTCGTTCTTTCATACGAAAAAAAAAAAACACAGCAATAAACAAAGCCGCTAGTGCGTCCCAGGACTACAAGTACGAAGACTAGGCAAACCAATGCATTACCCATCATTCCCGTGGTCGCTGAATGATTGCAGCGCCAGAGTCCCTTCTAGTTAAAGCATTAACTTGATGCATGTCGCACTCTTGCCTTAACGTGTAGACATCGGTTTCCTATTTGGTACAGTGATTCGGTACTAATAATGCAATAGAGAAATATATGTGTAATACCATTAGTACAACAATGTAAAACCCATTTCAAAACGGACGCAAAGCCTGTCATTTTCAGTGCTGCAAAGCGATCACCTCCTGCGGTCCCACCCCATCGAATCACGTGGCCACACAAAATGGTGATGCAAAAACCTGCAATTGACATTTCGTCTGCTTGGCGCACATGTGTATAAACAAATTTTCGAGCCCCCCCCCCCGTCGCCGCCGCCGTCATCAGCATCCACAAGTGAGGATGAAAAAACTCATGACTATGAAATCGTGGCAATTCGAGAGGTGACGAATCATTTTCGGTTCGATCTTCTTCACAGCAGCGATTCTGAAATCGATGTCAAACCGAGCAGCAACGAGATAGTTGGAGACACACGCCTAGACCACGCTGGCTGGTAAGGCATACGAACGCTACGTGTGTGTAACTTGTTCGCAATGGCCGTAGCTTCAAATTATCAGATTAGCGATTACAACTCAACAGCAACAATCATCCGAAGCAGCATAATAAAAATGCTGGATTTATACAAACCCGCTGCATGAAGCAAGTGAAACAAAGCAAGTGAGGCCATTGCAAAGCAGCCAGGCGTCGCCGCCAGACGGTGCCACATGTAGGCACCGCGATGACTACACTAAAATTGTTGACGCCAACACTGCTCGCTCAGCGTCACTCGATTCCTGAGGCGTGGCCACAAAGCTTGCTGAGCATGTCAAAATACTGTCGATGTCTCATGCCTGGGAACACGCTGACGAGCCTTGGACGCTCTTTGCGCTCGAAATAGAACAACTACATGATGAACGCGATTCATACTTCGCAAAAATAAAGCTTGTGAGTACCAAGCAATTGAATGAACGCTACACCTCGAGTTTAAAACTCGGAGTCACTGCTCCTTTAATTTCATGAAAGTCTATGATCAATACCACATGACTCGCACATCCACGTTAGCATAGTTTACACACTGCAAATGGTTCTTATAGCGTTATAAATGTCTTCATGTGCCTATTTTAGTCTAAAACATTTAGTGCAAGTGATTCATACAAAAATACTACAAACAAGAAAAGCACTGTTTGTTACCTGATCAGATAATGCTTCAGGCACACTTGGACTGTATTGTTTACAGCAGCATAAGCAGATGAACACCAACTCCAGGAGCCTTTGAGGAAAGAGAACAAGATTACTTTGCAACATTTCTTTTTAAAGGAAACGTCATCCGAGTGGACAAACTAAAAATGAAAGTTAAGGAAGCTTCATGAACTTATAAAGACAATAAGTAGTGTATACACAAAGCTTTAAGTACTAGCTTTAAAGAAACCCACTCTAGTGCAAGTGTGTTTACCATAAGAAAGAAGAAAGCCTCAACTCCCAGTGGCCTCGTAGTTGCAGGAGCAAAAGAACCATCTATTAGAGTTCCTTGCATTCAAAAACTCTGCCACCACCTCCTCCGCTTATCGCAAAGACATAATGCCCACCCGCTCCAGTGAAAAACTCGTTTAAAGAAACTGGCTAAAGGGCGACACCTTGCGAGCTTATGAGGCGACACTTCAACAAAAAAATTATTTCTTGCGTCCAGATAGCAACTTTCCTCCTTGGCAGCCTGTATCGCCTTCAGTCACCTTTGACATCAAAGGAATAATAAAAAAAAAAAATCTGCGATACACTACTCTGAAGCAAGATTTCTCACGTGTCAGCAAATGTACAATTACTGAGAACATTACACATTTGTTTTCACTGACAGATCTACAATAGGTGAAAGCTCTACTACGGCTCTTCACAAACTGGCATATGAAAGAGAACGAGATTTTTAGACTTTCTTGAAAGGCATCATCTACAGTAGCGAAGCTTGTTGCAATTAATATTCAAAATTCATTGTTGAAAGCAAGCAAAAGCACAACTGGGTAACATATTCTAACTCCAGAGGAGCACCACAAATAATTAAGGAATTTCATTTTCATATAGATGATAGCATAATATATGAAATCCTAAAGACAAATATCATCACTTCTCTGGCCTGTCACGAGATTTGTTTCCAGTGACTGAGTAATGTAGGAGTCGTGGGAAATGAAATTTCATATAAATCAGCCACTGCAGCGCCCGAATAAAAATTCACTTGACTCTAGTGCCCATTTCCTTCTCAAAAGGCAAGAATGTTGGTTCTAAACTGTGCCAAAAATAGTGAAAGGACGCTTGGTTTGACGAACATACATTGTCTTCACTCTTATATCAAACAGATCCATTTCTTTAATTTGCAGCCAAGATTGGTCAACCATTTGACTCGCTCCTGCATCATATACAATGAGGTGTTACATCCGCACTTCACTTCTTAAGTTACGTAAAAAGTCTCCGCACTGCGACCGCAGTGATCATGGCAATGTGTCAGTGAAGCACATTATTATACAATGTCCGCAGTATGATGAACAAGGAACTTAATTGAGTTATCAAGTGGACCGCCTCGACAGACGACCACTTACAATTGGCAAAGTGCTCGGATTGTGGCCACATACTCATAAAGGTGCACAGTGAGCACCCTTTGCAATTTCCTTAATGAATGCAAATTTAATGAACTCTCTGTAGTTTTTATGCTCCTTGCCATAACGTCGACACATTAATGAGCATATTTCATAGACAAGATTTAAGTGCACAAAAAATTATCTGCACGGACTCTATTCGCGATGTGATCACGCAATGTTATCATGCAGTATGAAACTCTGGAGCTCATTGCAAGAGTATTGGTAAGCTCGTTTGGGGATACGGTAACGTAATACAGTATGCCTCACTTTTTTCTCGCTTCTGTCAGCTTGGGTGACGGATCGGTTACGTCGTCGGTCGAAAGCTGCCGCTTCGGCTGGCTCGCCTGCTCTCCGGGCTGAGGTTTGACGGCAGACTGCTTCTTGTACTGCGTCAAGGAAACAAACTGTATTAACTGGAGTTTGAATTGAATGACTGGAGTTTGAATTGAAGACCAGCGACAGCATTTCCGGAGTTACCTCAAGCATATGCTGAAGTAGGGTGGGTCTGCACAGGTAGGCAACCGCTGAAGACAGCACACAGCAGATGCTCCTCTGGGAGTGCGTAACAGCAAAAAAGAAAGTTTGTGATCAATCACCGCTAAGCCTTGGACCAACATTGCAGATTAAGAAGAGAGTTTTTAATGACATGAGCTCTTGCGGTACTATTTCTTGTATTTTATGGCAGGACATTACGACCGCATATATGGACCAGCCTTGCTTTTAATAGTGATTTAATTATGAAACAATTTTTCTATCAGGTCAATTAGCTCAGGCGACAAAGCTGCCTCTTGTTTCCCAAGATGATAGAAGTAAGACTGCAGAGCATAAACCGAATATTATTGGGCAGCTGCGTACTGGATGTGTAATATGCACAGTTTTTCAATTTGCTAGTAGTTTTTGAGCACAATTTTAATTAGTCATTTCATAAATTACATACTGAAGTTAATTACAAAAAAACTTAATCAATTGTAAAAATTATCACATTTGCGAAAATTATAATTTTCTTTATTGCTACTTATATGGAGATGTGTTTTATGTTCAAAATAATTATAGTTCTGTACTGAACTTCCATCTCAGAAGTTCCCTCCAGTGCTGCGAAGGGTTCAGGGCACATAAGCCAATATGAAGGGCGATTAGCCTATCCTTCTGTATTCATCTGCTTAGCGTCGTTTCCTCAGTGTCTGCGCACATTGGCCAATCAAAGCGATGAGATGACATCGGCAGAAAAAAAAAAAGGCAAAAATGGCAGCACCCACCGGAGATGCTACCCTTTGCTTCGAATTTATTGAGCCGTTATCGCACCCTTTGTGACCCGTAAGTTACAAAGTGGACACTTGTCTTTGCTTTAGATTACCATTGACGATGACAGCAATCTATTGGTGACTACTACATTGCATTAATTCTGTTATCAAGTTCATGGCACATTAGGCTTAGCAGGCATGGCTAAACAAACAACAGTTCTCACAAATAATGACAAAATGTACCATAATGCTTTGTTATCAGAGTGAGATATGGCACAAAGCGATGGATCACTCATGCCAGGGCAGAGGGCGAATAGATACTGCAAATTTGGGTCAAAGTGGGCGGTTGGGTCTGCACGGGAGCTGCAATGTTGATTTGTAATCGTAGTTACCGGCAGTTACTGATACAGTACTTAAAGGCACGCAGCACAGGTACGAAGCAGAATGAGCACCGTATGTAACACAGTGCTCGGATGTCGTGTAACACGTGCCAAACAAGCGTAAATGTCTCAACCCTGGCAATCGTAAGGTAATTATGCCCGCACTTATGTTCCGCTGCGCAAGAGTTGGCTTGCTTACACCCTGTAGCATTAGTGGTGCTGAATGGTATTGGCGAGATGGAGTATAGCTGCCGTTCATCATGAAATACAGCTCCAGCAAAGTAAAAACAGAAATACCAAACAAGGCTTTCAGCTATAAGTGAGCACATAGATGTAGCCTAAAATGGCATTGTGGTTAAAAAGTAGATTATATTAGGCATACAAAAATAACTGTAGATATTAGAAATGCAATAACAAAGAAAATTGCCTCGTTCTACAATATTTTGGTTTCTAGAACCCATGTCTCTGCTGAAGTAGCGAAAGCTGAAATGTTAAGCAAATGGCTTACCATAAGCATCATCAAAGGATTCATTTGGTCACATGGATACATAGTCCGTAGGGAAGCCACTTTACAGATAAGCCAAGACGTTACCAAGGCCTCGTCTACTTGTGTTGGGTTGGAGCGGACTTGCATTAGGCACTGTGAGGGGAAAAAAAAATAAACGCGGAGGTTCGGCACTTGAGAATATGCACTTTCATAGAGAGAACTGTTTGTCATAGTGGGCTGTTTATGTTGTGAAAAATACACAAGTGGAAAGAAGAAAAGGTGACAAAAGGGCTGCAGAAAGAGACAGGTGTGTGACGAGCTAGCCCTGTCACCTTCTAGAAGCTTCGAGCCAAAAAAAGTAATATTCACATGATATTCAAGTGCAAAGGGGACGGTGGTTGATATCAAATTTTTTCGAAAAGAATTTGGTGAGTAGTAGCAATAGTTGTAGGGTGCAGGTAAGTGTTACATAGTATGCTACTTTTAAAAGTTTTCGTACTTGTTAGCTCCCATAAGTGCACATAATACACTTTTATGCTTAAAAAGTAATAATAATTGGGGTGTAGGCATTATGCACACTTAAAGAAGTACTGACATGATTTGAAAACATCACGAAAGGGATGTTTTTGTTTTTTGATATGCTGTGTCAACACTATCCACGCACTAATGTCAAGCAACATGTATAAAATCCCGAGATTATCCTGACGAGTGAAGAGGGTTTCTGAATCTGAGAGCTCTGCATCCTGCGCGCAGCGAAATCACAGAAATCACTGACAGGATCACTGGACTACCATTCACTGAACGTTGTTTATGTGCACCACTAGCAGATGACTGATTTGCCGCTAGTATGTCGCCAGTTGCTGTCTTCCCGTGATGTTACACTGCCATGACACATAACGGAGAAGACACCGTCTGGATATTGAAACAAAGTGTGCTTTCAACGTAGCCGTAATAACAATATATTCGATGCATTACCAAGCATCACAACACTCGTTTTAGGTTTCTCAACACCAGTACATTTACTTAGAGCAAAAATCCGAAAAATTCTAAAATTCGCGTCAGTACTTCTTTAGCATTTAAGAGTGACTTTGCAGCGGTGCATATTTATCCTGAGCGTACAGTTTCACAGCGTAACGGCTTTAAACTGAAGTGAAAACTCATTTTTAGGCCGGTCACATAAGAAAAAATGCATCTATTCGTTTGTAATGAATACTTCGAAATTTCTAAATCTTAAATTCAACTAGTGCACATAAATATCCATGAATCTACTTTCAATAAAATAAGCTATCAGTTTGCACCTGCATTCATCTTGCTTTTTGTTGCAATATTTACAATGAATTTAATGTTGAAACACCAACTCGCCAACATTCTACTCTTTTAAATCTATGATAAAGTGAATTCGAGTACTGTAATACTGCCTGAATATTTGCAGTGTTTGAGTATTTGCACAAACCTAGTACTAATGGGATATAACATGATTCCAACAACTCTCAATGCTAATGCTGGACTTGGAACTCGGAAGCAAATTGTCTGTTCTATTGCCTTCTAAAGTCTTGACCGTTGTTTCTAGGCTCATCTTGCGTCCTTAATAGATTCGTGATGGAAAACAGGGAAGCACAAACAAAGGTGACATAGAACAGCAGGACAAAAACAAGTGTGCACTAATAGAACAGCAGGACACAAACAAGTGCGCACTAAAACTTCCTATCTGCAGAAGAAATACGCTATAGTACAACAAAAACACAAGAGGAGAAGGAAATGCAAGAGGGAAAGGCCAACCCAAATCAAGTGTTGTCCAGAAATGTGATCTCGCAATCTCACAGCAATAAAGAGGGTTAACTGACACAAACACTAGTATCAGTATTCTTCGTTATAAAATAAGGTGGTACTGTGCTTGTTTGTGTCCGATTCTTTCACGTCTCCTTTGCTTGTGCTTCCAAGTTTTTCCGTAATGAATCTACACTAACGTGCCCAACTATCCACCCTTCTATAACTTCGATAGCTCTTTCGTTCACAGTGGAGAACTCACAGCGTAAAGCCGGTCAACGTGCAGAGCCATGAAACCCAGAGCGCTGTCGAGAAAGAAGTGACGCTGCACGTGCAGCATTGCCGTCACCAGCTGAACCGTCAGTCGATACACCGACAGCCAGCCCTCATCGGTGCCCTGGTAGCAAGCTGACAGGAACGGGCTCACCTGGTCCACTACTCCACAGCACTGCAGCACCTCAGCCATCTTGCCCGACAATGCGAGAACGAGTTGTTAAACAGGCACCAAGAGAACACCCGGACAAAGAAAGTCCCCTTACCTGCGGTAAAGCCGTGAGTGCGAGAAAGAAATGGCAGATGGCTTGAGATAGGCGACTGTCCTTCATCTTCTGCAAGCAGAAATAGCTTAAAGTGTTTATCACTGAAAAAAAAAAAAAAGAGAGATAGAGAGAGAGAGAAGAGAGAGAGAGAGCGCTGGGTAGCACACATGCTCTTCAAGCCGAAAGTCCACTACACACTTTGCAATGCACTGCAAGAGTACACCTAACTGGGCTGCTTGGTACTGTACAGCTAGGGTGAAGCGGGAAAAATTAACGCTAAGCAATGCACATACTTTCGTTTCCATCGTCTTCAGTTCAGGTCATATTGACGTCATTTCAATTCGACTGTGTACATCAGAGCCAACATAAATTTTAGAGACTACACTCATCATGGTGTGATGTGGTGGTCCTGAGCAACTGTGTACAAGTTGTTATAGTAATTTGATGTTGCGCTTGAATCTGCGAGTATTGCCAATGATTAAGACTTGAAGACACGGTACCGTACAGGGGACAGTCGCTGCAACGTCTCCAGCGTTGTTTGTTCCCATCTTATTCGGAAGTGCACGAAGTTACACAATTGAGTACCAGACTTCTAGCGAGGCACGAGCTGCAGTATCAGATGGGCACATTAATTTACCTTGACATTCTACTGGCCATCCATTCAAATTAAACTTTACGATGCATGAATTTATATGAAGTGAAGAGGACAGAGTACTACTACTACTACATATTGCAGGCTCATAGTTGAGGCCTCATAACCAGTGGTCAGCTGGAACCCTCAGAGACGACACATAGGCCATGCAAAGAAAACTCAACATTTACTGCTCAGCTCAGGGGCCAGAATGACTGGCCAATATGATAATGAGTGCGAGTGTACCCAGGCCATTTATCACTTCTATGTCTGGCCAGTGCCCTGATATTATATATAACAAGTACAGAAAATTCACACCTATTCCTGCTCATAAAGTCTAACCTGAAGGGAGACCTGGAGAAGGTTTGTCAACTGGGCCACAACCAGGTTCTGCTGGAGGATGGGGACGCAGCCAGCGTTGTTATCAGAAAGTGACAGCAGGTCCTTGAGGAATGTGGTCAGTGTCGTGCACACCTGACCACCACATGCGGAGACCAATATGACAGGTGTGTGTATTATCGCTTCTGGGAGAGCAGTTCCTTTAAACAAGACCTTACTCTCACCAATTCATCATATACTGATCGATTCACTGACTGAGTAATAATGCAAATAATTCAAGCATTTATGTAAGTAAGTAAGTAAGTAAGTAATCCAATCAACTAACCAACAAACCACCAAATATGCCCTTACAGCCTTATTCACACACCCAACTTTCAAGTACGTCTAACTTTTCACTCGAAAAACCAAAAGCGTTGTTTGGTGGTTTTCCACATGTTACCCAACAAGACTTTCAGATTGAATAGAAAGCCCAGCTTAAAATAAACAATGTTGAGATACAGGAGTCTCCAAGCAGAATTTCATGCCTGAAACACAAATGGAAGTGTCATTGAAAAAAACACACAAAGAAACAATGAGAAAGGCTGTAGTATCTACTTTACTGCTGTGAATACTAGTAAGAATAGCAATGAAGAGTTTGATCTTGACAGCTATATTGTTAGATTTGTACACTATCCATTCAACTCAGCAGTAGCAAACCCATAAACAACAGAGAACAGTTGCATTGTTCTGACATCAGTTTTTTTTTTCAGCCTCATCACTGATATCAATTTTGCTTGTTATGAAAGGTCATCTTTACAAACACTCAAATCAAGTAGCACGCCCTCCTACTTTTTCTCTGCTTTTGTTGAATACGTACTTACAACTTTGCATCACCCTATATTTTTCAACCATTCTTAAAACATTCTTAAGAGGGGAACATGCATTTAACAAAACTCGATGAAACCTTTGCAACATTGTGGAATAAGTACAATTTCACAAATGCATAGATTAAGGTACTTTACGTTTTGGAACGCTGGCGGGTATGCTGAAGTCAATACTAGCTGGCACAGCTGCAAATGCAGAACATACCTGAGCTGATAGAGAGCTCGGTGATTTGAGGCCTTCCTCGGCACACTTCCTGCTGTAGAAGGTTAGCAGCGGACACAGTGAAGCCACCCACAAATGCACACTAAACTTGCATTCCTCTGTAAGCAGAAAAAAGGAAGATAGTTGAAGCATAAACTGGCATGCTTCACATATTTTTATCCTTTATCTTTGATGGACAAAATTATAAGGGACATAAATAAGTAAAGAAAGCATTATCATGCTGAAAATTTCAGTGAACTGGTATTCATTACGCAGCATTTCAACTTTGACACCTAACGGCTGTTAATACGACGCCATGACACTCTGGCTTTGACCCGTTTTTTTGCCGCCTGTCTGACATAGTTTTAAAGCCTGCCCAGCCAATAATTGCAGTACAGTAAAATCCCAAGCAAGCGCACCCACTCCTATCCCTATGATTAGGCATAATTCGACAAGATTAGGAGGGGGGCCCTTACTCAATGATGGATAAAAATTCAAGGGGGCAGCGGAAGAGCTGCTAAATGTGAATGCATACCCATGCTTTTAATTCTGAAGACTCTATTCAATGCGCATGCATCCAATGTTTTCATTTGCCCTTGTTGGGTGAATAAAAGCAGTGAATAAAACATTGGAACTGGAGAGTGCGGAGAAGAGATCACATATTTGAAGTCCCCCGAAGGAATAAAGAGCCGCTTGCTCAGGATTTTATGGTAGTCTGACCTTTCTTTGTTGCCATTTGTTGCTTCAGTATCTTCACCATGGTGGCGCCAATGGCACTTAGTACGAGGGCAAACCGCGGGTGAAGTGATGTGGTGCCTTGCTGCAGAATGCCCAGCACGGTGTCTAGGCTGCTCATCCATTCCGCTACCGTAGATGTGATGTTGCTGTTCAGAAATGAAAAGATGTAATTATGTCTGAGAACACACCGTTGAACCACCTTAACATGTTGTTTGTGAAATCTACTCGATTGACAACAATAGCAGGATTATGCAAGCCTCAGGAAACCTACAAATCTAGTGAACGCAGCTTAACGTGTAGCTTCAAGTTCAAGAGATAGAGAGAAAATATTTTTGTGTAAAGCTAGTGAGTGAAGGTGGCAGGGTCCCCTATTCCAGGAACCCTCTGGCCCGGATCGCCCGCCGGGCTCAAGCGACGGGTTGATGCTGGTTAACCAGATCCAGCTGGGAGATCGCAGCTCCCAACGCTTTACTTAGTAGGTCTGGGTTAGCACCTGTTGCCGCTGCTTGTAGCTTTGGCTTTGGGACACTTACTTTGCACTGAAGTAGGAGCTGTGCCGAGTGTCTGCCACATTGCAGTGAGGGCAGATGTATTGATTAATTGATTTTTGGGGCTTAACATCCCAAACCACCATATGATTATGAGAGATGCCGTAGTGGAGGGCTCCGGAAATTTCGACCACCTGAGGTTCTTTGACGTGCACCCAAATCTGAGCACACGGGCCTACAACATTTCCGCCTCCATCGGAAATGCAGCCGCCGCAGCCAAGATTTGAACCCGCGACCTGCAGGTGAGCAGCCGAGTACCTTGGCCATTAGACAACCGCGGCGGGGCGTGAGAGCAGATGTAGCTATCCAACGTCGGCCTCACATAATGCAAAGCTCGAAACTATTTTTCTTTTCTCGCAAACTTTCAAGCTGCGACATTTCACAGAATTGATAGTTATGTAAACATCATTTCTAGACTGTGCAACGACCAAGCATCCTAAAACTTTCCTAAATTATTTGCTGCTACCACTGCCAGCAAAACATGGCTATTACTACAATAATGTCGTGCTGCGAGTGCCAAGCTTGCAATGAAACAACACTTTCACCCTTGAAAATGAGGCCTAGCCAATAAACGTCCACTTCTTAGGTTAGCTGCATATTTATTGTTCATGGGACAAAGTTTGCATCATGATTTTCAGCAAAACTAAACATTCAATAACGAAATTGCATATTCGCCTATATCGTCTTGACGAGAAGACGATATAGGCGCACAAAATTGATTACATAGTTTCCTTGCCATGTGTTGCAAGGCTGTGGACAAACCGAAAATGCTGTAAAGAAACACTAGAGAGCGAATGATTTATCTCATTTTAGTAAGTTACCCACCTTTACTACCAAAAGCACTGATCTTGCCCCAAAAAGATGCTGGGCAAGTTCAAAAAGAAAATGTGTCACAGAAAAAATGTAGGTGTGACCAATGTCTTGACCATTCTGCATCAACTCACACAGGTGCCAAAAATCTCAATGGCATCTACTAGCACCAACACAATCACCGACTAATAAAAGTGTTGTCCTCTAAGGAAGACCAGACATAATCTATCAGGTGCCAGGAATTTTTGTCGAACTAATGAGGAGAAAAACTGATGGAAATCTGCGACATTGCACTGACATTTATGCACGTACTATTTGGTGCAAAATACAAAAATTGAACTTTGAACATAATTTCCTCTTCTATCAATAAACCTATGACAGTTTATTAGCAGGGTTTTTAATGAATTAAGCTGATTCATTCTTTAGTGTTTCTTTAACATAACTAAGATAGTTTATGAATACTTTTGCTACAATCCACACTTCTTGTAACATCGTTTGTCTGTTAAACACTAACTATAATAGTATATATATTTACCACAACAACCATAAAACATTTGTTAAATGTCAGATCATAACTTTCAGTAAGGTCAGCAGCTTTGTAGTGCTTTGAGCTGCTATCACAGAGAGCCCAACAAAGGAGCCTCATTTGTTAGGAAATTCTTTAGGCACAAACCAAACAGTTTAGCACTTACCTGCTCCAATGCTGGAGTAGCATGAGATACAGTTCACCAAGCACAATGCTAATTTTGAAATTCGCCGGGACGCCCTGCAAAAGGAAGAAAGTCAGAATGACAAATATTTTATGAATTACTATTGTACTAATGAATTCCAAGTTCACAAAGAATAATAATGAAACACAGCTTTAGTTGCAACAAACCTTTTAGTTACAAATGTGAGAGCTACAGTTGGACATTTTTTGCAACAAGATGTTCAGAACGTTCAAGATACTTTATAAGAAGGTCACCTGGCTGTAGTAGTTCGCACGCCATAACTCTTACAATGTGGTCATGAGGTAAGGAATCCTTCATTATACATGCAATTTAGTAGTACACGTGTCCGACTCCACGCTGCTAAAATCAACGATTAACAAGTTTAGGTGTAACAGTATACAGTGAGAAAAAAAAAAAAAAAAAACGAGAGACGGGCGCTGTACGTGCGGTCTTTTGCTGCTTATTCATTTCTCCTTTCTTTCATCGTGAGATGTTACACCTATGCCTTCTGCATTAGGACTCCTCCTATGACTTGTACAAATCAATCAGTATTTGTGAAACTGGAGTTATTTCTCAGCCACTTGTATTAGTTGTGTGTTTCAGTTCTTTTCAGACCGTAAGGCTGGAAGGTCCAGGGCATAAGGCAGCTCTGCCGTTTCAGTATACCAGAACCAATGTTCAGCTCACCTCAGCAACAAGGCTAGAGAACAAGTCCTGCAAAATGGCATTCTTCTCTGCTGGCGCAATTTGCACATGCCGACACTGGAAGTGCAATGAAGGGAAATGCTCAGGCTCAATACGCTGAAGACAAACGAAGTCTACGCTGTGACAGGAGCTGTTACCTTGGCCAGGATCACGCAGAGGTCACGCCACCCTGACAGCAGCACGTAGCCATCAGTGATGGGGTCGAACATCTCAGTGGTATCGGCAATGCTCATGGCCGAGGCATTCAGGCTCATGTTGCCAACTCCGGACTGTTTGGGCAAGCTGCTGGTCACAAGCTGAAAGAAGGCGCCGAGCTATCGGTATAGTGAATCAACTCAAAGGTTTTCGCTCCCCCACTATCATTGGCAATAAAATTGAAACAAACTAGGGAAACTAACTTACGAATGGCACGCACAAGAGGACACATGATGATGGAATAGGCACCTGCAAACTTCATCTGTCACATTGTACTTAGCGCATCTACTCAAGAAACATGCACCACACATGTGCATGAATGTGAGAGTATACTAACGATATGACGAGTTATGAATTAGCCCAACAGCAAGTTTTAATTCATCTGTCAGGTTGTTCACACCGGTCAGTCGGTGCGTCAAAGTTTGATGAATCAGCTTAAGTTAGTATATACTCCTAGACTACGTGTACTCCTCTAGTATTAAAGAACCAGGCGTACAAACATGAACATAAGAGAGAAGTTAAGACACCATGGAAAAAAAAAAAAAAGGTGACTGAGATGCTCAGTCTTTAAAAGAAGAAATCTCATTAGGTTCGCCAATATTTTTTACCACTATGTGATAAAAACTGGCAGTGTTTTATACGTCTGAAACACATGGACAAAAAAATACTAGCATCAAACAAATTTCATCAAGATTAATAAGCCAGTACTTTGCCGGATAAAAGTGAGACACACATACACCACTGACTCACGAAAGAACCATCATGCGGTCACATAAGGTGGGCACTTCAGATGAAACACCTGACACGAGTTGCACAGAGGAGGACTTCTCAAGTATGGCAAAGGAACACTATGCGCACCTAATTTCCAGCAGGAGAACAGCATCTGCAATCCACCTTTTCCACGATGCCGCAGCGCATGCTCCTTTCCCTAGTGGAAAAGTCGCGAAACGACTCCTAGTCTAGGAGGCCTTCATGCTAGCGATGCTAGTTCCCCCGGGCCCTACCAAACCCAACCAAAATGCCGAAGGGCAGCACAGGAAATTGGATAAGGCAGCGTTCGCCTTATAAGCCTTAATAAGGCTGTGGTATGTCCCCGCAACACTTGCTTCACCGCCCAGAGCCCACACCATTTTGTTGTCCCTTTTTTTCACTGACGAAATGGTTGAGTAATAATGTTGTCGCTGAATATCCACCCACTTTTCAAGAGGTACATGATATCAAGGAAACCATTCCCATGTATCGTTATCTGCAACAAGCGAAGTGTATGGCAATGTTGTAAAAGACCGCGTTTCAATGTGTTTATCAATAATGTTACTGTAAAAAGCTACAAAAAACACATGATCACTCGAATCTTAAATCGCTTCTCTAGAAAACCTGAAAGAGACAAGATTACCTAGCACTTTGAATGCAACGAGAAAAATGCTTAAGCTTCCATAAAAAAATGAAACAAATTTAAATGGCATTGTGACATACTGCCACCTTCTGAAGCCGGTGTAAAACATACTTTTTTTAGCTTACATGCAAACCTTGGGCAAGATAGGAACCACTTAGCGTTGTGCCAATTGTGATGGGTGATGTGGGAGAAAAAATTTTCTGCAGAAGAAAAAGTGGGATGTAGGTGTCGCACTGATGCACAAAGCGTTAACATGAATACGTATCAACCGACTCAGCTCTCTGTTATTCCACTCTTTCAATGGTTGTGCTTAGTTTAAGGTTGAGTGCTCAGTTTGAGGCATGCAAAATGACCTCTTTGCTCGAATGCGCAATGTAATGCCACTTTTTTGGGTACAGGCGCCTTCGCAAGGTGGCTCGAATGATGTCAGCATAAGATGACTGCAAATGCGACTGCAATGGTCAGACCCAACACAGAAACCAGTCCGCCACGAGTCTGCAGCCGCGAGGTGGAATAAAGTGTCTGGAAGTTGCAGCCAGATCAAGTACTTATATCTAAATCTAACATCCCACAGTGTCTTCAGGACTATTTAAGTATTGGTCCATATTCAATTTAATACAGCAGCCGCCATTACTGCACAATCAGTCACACATTGCTGTGTTTGTGGCTCACCTTAGACCAGTCCTTAATTGGGGCTCCCTCCTTTGCTTTGTTGAGGACACTTTTCACATTAGAATCAAGTTCATTTCTGCAAGAGGAAAAATATTCAAGTGACAGTAAAACAGTTAAAGCCCCTGAAGACATGATAAACAAAAAGGACAGAGGCTCTGTAAAAAATCACCACAATGTATGCGCTCGCAGCAAAAGACAACAATTATCTTCAAGTGGTGGGGCTGGACACCTTAGCGAGAGAACACTGACCAGATGAAACATGAAAATACCCGGACTTCATATCGTATAGGATCCAAGTACTGGAACATTTTGCAGTATGGGCTGTTGAACAGTTCATTGAACACGTTTGCCACAGACAGTAACAGATTGACCAATTTGGTTGAATGTGCACATGGACTCTTATCCACATGCTATGCACACATTCTATATATGCAACGTAAGGAGATGTGTTGCATACAACTGTCAAAGTCAATGTCACCTGAGAACTGGGGCCAACTCGGCTGCGAAAGGGGCTTGCTTTGATCTCTTTAAATACTACTATTGCAACAGTGGCCCACACGAGGACTAATGTGGCTTGTCGATGCACTCAAGCGGGGACTATCTAACACGCACCTCTTGATTTCGCTCAGGGCGCAGCACTTGAATGGGCACACAAATCACTCTGATGCACTTACATTCTACGAGACCACATCTATCAATAACCATGTCTTCAGGCAGCTGCAGAGGCCCACTGGTTACGGCGCTCAACTTCTGATCAGAAATATGCGGGTTCCTTTCTGGCTACACCGGTCATTCGATAGAGCCGAAGTACTAGATGCCCACGTACTGTACAATATCAGTGCAACTTGAAGAACCCGCAGCCACAAAAATTATCCACAACCACACGCCTCATAGCTGTGGAATGTCAAACCCAATTAATAAACCAATTTAGTCATTAGCACCCAGCATAGGTTCAAACGTAACATATTTTACAGGTTATCATTCGCATTCTATCAAACGTCAAATCCTGCTACTATTCAAAGCTGTTTCCACTTCCTTTGAACCTAAAAAAATATGGCATTTGGACAGGGTTGGTTCCAATTTAAAAAATATTTATATTCTGCAGGTTAGTGATGTGACGATATGTATGGCCATTCTCCTTTATAACATGTGATATATACTGTTTGAATTCGATTAGAAATTATTCGACCAAAATCACTATTCGCTTTAAATTCACTTTAAACATAAAATTCACTCTTTGCACAAGTCATAGCGATTTTCCTTGCAAGCACCTAAGACCATAGGATGCAATGCCACGGGAATGCAGCAAGCACTGCACAAGGCATATTAATGGGACACTAAAGGCAAATATTAAGTTGGTTGATTGACTAAATAGCAGTCCAGAAACCTCGTAGTGCTACTTTTGTGCCAAGGAAGTGCTTATTTTGAAATAAAATCACTGTTTCAATGGCCCGCATTGCATTATTGCACTTTAAGTCACCCACCTGGAAGTGGCTTGCTCCATGTCACTGTTGCCGTGCCGAATGTTGCCCACCTTTACTGCACAACCACCGACACTGGTAGCAGCACAGTGAAAGTAGCAGGAGCCACAGCAGCAACAATGGCCATTGAACAATTTCCTGCCTCGGTCCTTTGAGATAGCGGGCGTGCATAGAGTTTCCTAATATTAACTAGGGGGACTCTGGCGCTGCGATCGTTCAGGCGACCATGAGAATGATGGGTAGTACATGAATTTGCCTAGTCTTCGTACTTGCGGACAGCTAATCGCACTTGTGGCTTCATTTATTGCAGTGTTTCTGTTTTGTTTTAAAGGAATGAACAAACATTTTGAACTTTGTGACCCGCTTTGAAATGGTAAGCCTAAAAGATTAAGGTGGTGAAGTGTAACTGCCGAACATTTGCCGATATTTGTTCCGTGACAAAACAGCTTCAAGTCACACAAAGCCAAAAGGAACGTAATGTACGAAGACTAGGCAAATCCGTATACTACTCATAATTCCTATGCTCGCTGAAGCGCCGTGCATTGCAGCTCTCATAGACACCAGTGCCAGAGTTCCCTCTAGAGTATATATAGGAAACTCTGTGGTGGCGTTACTGTTTAGTTCAATTGAGCCCTGCTATATGGCACCACCTATCCAGGCTAACCAGGCAAAGATGGAATTTTGAACCACTTTGTGCCATTCAAAATAGTAACTGCAGGTGTTCTTTTTTTTCCAATAAATCAAAGAGAAATGGAAAAGCAGCATTTTGTTATGTCTCTTGATGCACAGAAGTTTTTTTTTTTATTGCAGCTGGTTTGATTACTAGTGATCAATTGTAGTCAGATGGGATCATTTCCAAACTATCCAATTCGTGGGGCCCATGGTATAGTACATTTAGCTAGATTTCTCAGTAAGTCGAGCACTGCTGTTGACAATATTGCCATTTTAAATGTTGTCATACATTGAGCTTTCACTCTGACATGAATTTTTATTTACCTTAGTGTCACCTTAATGAGCAAAGTAATCTCAGTAATAAAGTACCGCAGTCAGTGGGCTACTTGGCAGGTGGCACAACCCACACACATTGCAGGTAAGCATTTATTATTTACTTATTGAGGCCTGCAAGTTATGGCAGTGGGAAAAGTGGAAACTACTCACTTGGATTGGTATAGTTCTAAGGCGAGTGTCTTGAAGATGAAAGCCACCAGCCTGGACTGTTCTGTCACCACAGCCTCTCCCATCAGGGGAAAACACACCATGCTCCAGAACGACTTACTAGAAAGAAAGCATGAGAAAAACATTTTTAGCAAATGAAGATAAAACCACTGACCTTCGATACTATATGAAGAGCACGTGCATATATATTGAATTCTTGGATAAAATAGAATCAATCAACAGTGTTGTTTGCCAATACCAGGTGTTGAATCTTAAGTTGTAACAAAGTTTCACTAGCAGCATTAAAATGTGGGCTTATTACTCAGACACACTGTTGTGGTACAATGAACGCTTGAGGCACTGAATGACACAACAGATAGTATAACTTGTAATTATGTCAGGCACCAAAACATTCAAAGTGGTCGCTTACGCATCCGAAGTTGAGTGGCTACAGAGATATATTAATAATTCTTGGGGTTTAGTGTACCAAAACCAAGATATCATTATGATAAACGTCGTAGGGGAGGGCTTCGGAAATTTTGACCACATGGAGGTCTGGGCGTCTAAATCTAAGCACATGGGCCTCGAGCATTTTCGCCTTCTTAAAAAATGCGGCTGCCGTGGCTGGGACTCTATTCCGCCACTTGTGGGTCGGCAGTCGTGCACCATATCCACCATAAACCACCGCGGCGGGTCAGCCACAGAAACACCATAACTAAGCATGTGATGGGAAGCTCACACAACGTCGTGACGTTAGCGTGCAGTAGGAACCGCACCTAGTTTTTAAAATCATACAACAATTAACTATTCAGGGTGCACTCGTGCTTAGCAGAATATTTTCTAACCTCTTGAGAGATTCGTCTCTTATTAAACGCAAAAAATATGACAACTGAAAATTCTCCCACCAGTAGCTCTTTCCAAGTTATAACAATGAAAATGGAAGAGCAGCTGATGACAGAATGTAGCAATAAGTGTGGACTTGCCTCTTACGCAGCAGCTCCATGGCTCGCAGCTGGTGGCATGCCCACAGGCTATGTATGAACTCCACGCATGAACAGTGAAGGTCTGCTGGACAGTAGTCTTTGCCCTACAGAAAGTGGTGCAGTCGCGTCATCACATCGCAACGATGGCAGTACACAGAAGACCCTCGACCAGAGCGCTACTGCTATATAACAAGTTTTCTAATTAATGGGGGCTAAATTAACGAAGTTTTTAAATGTACAGTTAGATAAAGTGCACTCGGAGGCATCATTATTACCGCCTGACATGCGGGCTTGAATTTTATCGTCGGCAGACTTGTTCACTTGAAAAGCCTTAGATTCTCTAGTCAATAATGGTGAAACTAAATTTGCTCGACAGTAGTATGTTCAGTGAGAATTGAAAAGTTTATTCATACATGTTGTTCATTTCAAAACAAATGTGCTGTCTGCTTTAAAAAGCGAAAATCCCATCACAACCGGCTCCTTTAGGAAAGCTCTAAAAAAGGAATGCTGCTAGAGCAGTAGTACCCACCTCTTGCTTTGTTTTCAAGATCTGTAGAACTTCTCCTAAGCACAAACCCAAACCTGAGGAGCTCTGTAAATAAAAAAAAATAAAGAGAATTTCCGTTTTGCAGTGAAATTTTACCGCAGTCAATGAAAAAGCAAAATAACACAATTGCCACGATGCATAAATGCAGATGCAGCGCTTCCAAGTGTTCCTGTTAGTCATACAGGTCCACGACCAATGGGTAGTAGAGACAGACCCACTTGATGTCACTGGAGAGGGTGACGCACAGTGTTCGTTCCTCTTTGCAACATTAATGCTTTAGGTAGTAATGACAAACGTTTCATTCTTAGTATACATTACATTTACATCAGCAAAAGAAAAGTACTTATGGTTCAACCAGAAACCAGCTAGCACGACTGTCATTCACAAGTGAATGACAGGTGCAATATGGTTCTGTGGGCAGATTCAAATTTTTTTGTGGTTTGAAACCGAGTATAGTAAATCCGACCCCATCCACAAACCCAAAAGTCGTTCAAAAAGCATACCTAGTGATGCGTCCCCTAAGGAACCAGAGGAAGCCGCAGACGATGGTGATGATGTCGTAGAGCCCAGGAGCAGCTCAAATAGTCCTGGCTGTGTGCGCGTGCACACAGCCAATAGCTGCAGGAGGGCAACCTTGAGACGCACATCTTCAGTGTCCTTACTAAGTCGTAGCAACAACTGGTCACGAAAACTCTCGGCATCACGCCCCAGGCATGCAAGCAGGGACATCGGGTACAACTGTAAAAGGCACGAGGAACAGAAATGTTGCTTGTTCCACAATTATTTTGGGCAAACCTTATTATAACGAAGTCACTTTAAAAAGAATGTGACAATACATTCACTATACCCGATGCACTCTAAGCACATAATTGGTTACTTATAGATATACCATCCAAAAGCAACTTGAAAAATAAGCAAAGAAAACCATAGCGGAAATTGATTGTCTTTGACTGTAGTATAGTAATTGTATACATCATAATTATTTACAACAGTTAATGACAACAATTATCTTCATGTATGCTTCCCTCTGCCTAATTGTTGGGTTCATTTGGTTGTGTATAACAAACAAACAAACAAACAAACAAACAAACAAACAACAAACAAACAACAAACAAAAAATCCCCCTTTTTTCATTCTGGCTATGAGCGATGCCATAGTGGAGGGCTCCTTACAATTTCTACCACACAGGGTTCTTTAATATGCACTAGCTCCTAGAATTTAACCTTTGTCAAATTGTGCCCACTGCAGCAGGAATCGAATCCACCCCTTTCATGTGGGCAGCCAAGCACTCCAACCACTCAACCACGGCGGTAGCCTTTGAGGGGGGACATGTTACCTGAAGCTTTTTTCTTTCATTATTAACGAAATTTTATATAGATGCACAGGTATACGTATTTTGTTATGCCAATCTCGAAAATGTAATTTTTTTTCTGTGACTCATTAGTATATTTAATAATCAAATTTTAATTACTATTAATAGGTGTGACAATAGATGTAAATCAGCAGGGCGGAAAGTTATACTTAATGCACCCATACAAAGCAGAATTGATAAAGATTGAACTGCTGAAAGCAGTTTTCAAATGCAACAACTGTAAGAAACTTAAGAGCTCATCAAAGCTTCATGTTTACATCACAGCTACTAATGAACTAGAATAAAGGCAGATAAAAAAATTATAGACAGAGAAAAAGAAGAATCTGCTTGCAACAGTTCAAGGTTTATGCATCCAGCATCATATAGCAAGAAAATATACCTGTAGCTATTCTAGAGCTAGAAATATTGTTGCACCAAGTAAGCTAAATGAGTAAATATCTTGCTCTGAGAAAATCAAGACAAATGCAAACACTGATTTATTCACAAACACCCCCCAAAAATAGTTACAAGTTATTAGCGTTTCCTAGTTGTAACTGGTTAATATCCTTCTGGCACATAGCCAGAAGCAGCAGCTGTGTTTTGCGAAAAAAAGTGCCTTTATAGCTTCAACTTCGGCTGTAATTCTGCTAGATTTGACAAAATAAAGTTATGCTATGGCAAAAATATGAATTTGAGAGCAGAGAAATTTTGTGTAGTAGTGCTGAAATACCTCTAGATTTCAAAATTGCCATTTTAAAAAATTTGATTTTAGCCGCGATTTTTTCGTCTCACAGGCCAGTGTACCCTTAAGGTGGTTGGCCACTCAAAAACAAAAATTTTTTTAAGGGCAGGCAGCATTGAAATAACTTTTTCCACAAAACCAGCATGTCTTATTTAATTTACCCAGCTATTTACAGTGCAAAATATTGAATATTTATTTATTGGGAGGTAATCTTTGTCAAAAATTGCATTAAAAGTGCTAGCCACGCCAGTTGTGAGAAGTGACTAATGGGTGGCTTTATTCAGTAAAGCTCTGACATTTGTGTAACTAATGGCTGGAGCTATGCAGTGAACTACAATAAACATTATGCAGTGAATATCAAGGAAGTAATGCTAAAAAAACAAAAAAAAACGGGAAAAAAGAGCCAATTTAGATTGAACCTGTTGGAGAATTCAGCTGTGAACTGAAAAATATTCGATGGATTTCTTTTCTACTAGTTCACTGCACAGACATATATGTTGTAAATCATTGTGCAAAGTTTCAGTTCAAATTATACACTGAGAAATACGTTATGAAAGTTTGCGTCACAACATTTGGAGCAAATTGTTATTTTCAGAAAAACGTAAACAAAGATTTCCGAGCTTGTCAAAAGGGTCACGATCTCCGCATGCAGGCCTAAAATGCACCAGATTCATAGCTGGGCCCTTCTGCGAAAGCATTATTGTCTCCTTTTGTTCGGGTGGCTGCTCGTCTTTTCTTCCTGGCCTGTTTTGTCCCATCTGCTGACTTGCGTTTAGCATTCTCCATGCACAGGTGATCCCTAGCGATGCAAGCTTTCGTCGTGTGGTACCCTGGTTCTACGCCAGCTTGCCTCAGGATATCTAGGGTGCTTACACTGCCATTATTAATGTATGCCACAGCATCATGCAAGGCAAACGTTACTGTAGGCAAGCTTACGTAGACTTCTTTGGGTGCCCGCTGCCATATTAGACCATTGAAAAACTCAGCATTTTGAGTCTTTCCATGAAGGCACTTTATTAGAAGTTCATCAGAGCACAGATCACTGTAGACAGTTCTAACTTCGTTGCGCACATCATTTGGAAGTCCTCCTTTGTGTACATATTTCCCTTGGCCGAGTGCTTCGACCCTTTGGTATCCGCAACAGCTTTTCGGTCCAAGTGGACACAGGCCATGTCTCGGCTGGTTGTCGGTAGAGCTGCAATGAAAAAGACTGACAAGGGTAGACTTTTTCATTGCAGAAATGTTCCCCACAATAGCCCTTATGGCGATGCCATAGTAGTTTTGCAGGCGGTCAATGAGGACATCAGTGAGCTTTCCCATACCACCGAGTCCACGCACTGCCTTCTTCAGTTTTCTGAGGCGGCAGCCAACACGCTTCTGGACATGCCTAATACATTCCAGTTTCTGCACACTGTCCTTTCCATACACGTCCTTTGACAGCGGCATAGCTCTTGGAATCACCATCGCCGTAGTACTGCAGGTACTTCAAACCTCTGTTGCCTTTCGACCTTTCAAATATTCGGTATAGACAAACCGTCTCCATACTGCCAGCACTTTCTTCATGGTTTGCTTGACAGGAAGTGTGGTTTGCCTTCCATTCCTGGTACGAAGCACTATCTTGCCTCATTTTGCTTTTGGTTTTACAAGACTTACACGAACTAGAAAGGGCCTCAACATCAATAACCTTTCTCGTGTCAACAGAAATCACAGACACACAACCGTTCAAAGACATCATCTTATATAACAGTCACAATAAAATGCATAAAGTATTTTGAATAGAATTAATATAGACGAAACAACACTTGCTTTTGAAAGCGATTTTTCGAAACCAAAACCACAGTTGGAAATGTGGTTTCGGTTTTGCTATTGGAGCGAGCATAGGGTATAGAAAACTTGCTGTAACTCGCAAACTAATGATGCTAGGAGGATAATTTTTATTGCAACATATTTATTTATTTATTTATTTATTTATTTATTTGTACCCTCAAGGCCTACAGGCATTTCAGAGGGGAGTGGGTTACAAGGTTATACAAAAAACTAAAAAGCAGCAACAAAAGTAGTAAGCAGATAAGTACAAACATACATGGGCCCTAATCATACAATGTTAGCTAGTGCTGCACGAAACTGATGGTTGTCTTCGATTGCGGCGGTCAGTCCGGGAAGGCGGTTCCAATCTTGTGACGTCTGAGGAATAAATGACTGAAAGAAGGCATTGGTGTTGCATTGTATTGTTCCTACTTTGTGTCGGTGATCCATACGAGAAGAAATATATGAAGGAGGAGTAATTAACTCACTGAATAGGGGCGAATTATGGTAGTAAATTTTGTGAAAGAGACAGAGGCGAGAGTGTTTGCGGCGCGAAGTTAGAGTGGGTAATTGAAGCAAGTTTTTTATGGACGTGACACTTGCCGCACGAGTGAAATTACCGAGAATGAAACGTGCTGCGTTGTTCTGCACGAGCTCAAGTGATGTCACCAGATAGTCATGGCTCGGGTCCCAAATGGATGATGCATATTCGAGTTTAGAACGAACCAATGATTTATACAAAAGTGTTTTTAAAGAGGTAGGTGCAGAAAAGAAGTTGCGGCGAAGGTAGCCAAGCAGGCGATTAGCATTATTAATAACGGTATTAATATGAAGCGACCAGGTAAGATCAGTTGTTATGTGAATTCCCAGGTATCGGTACGACGTCACAGGTTCAAGAAGTGTGTTGTTAAGGTAATAGGAACCCGTCGAAAGGGCTGTTCTTGAAATGCGTAAGACTTTGCATTTAGTTGTATTAAGTTCCATTAACCATTGCTCACACCAGTTAGAAATTGCATTAATGTCCGATTGCAGTGCCGTAACGTCGTTATCGTTGTTAATTTCTCGAAAAATAACACAGTCATCTGCAAACAAGTGAATATTAGAGAGAACACAGCTAGGTAGGTCATTAACGTATATCAAAAACAAAAGTGGTCCCAAGACAGAGCCCTGGGGAACGCCGGAATGAACAGAACTGGGTGAAGAGTCATAGTTATTGGCTGTGACAAACTGGAAACGATTAGAAAGGAAATACTCAATCCATGCAAACAACTTAGGATCTAGATTTAACTTGCTTAGTTTGTAAAGGAGTAGTTTGTGAGACACTTTGTCAAAAGCCTTGGAGAAGTCGAGGAAGATACAATCAGCGGATGAACGGCGATCTAAAATTAAGTGTAGCTTGTGGGTTAATGAAAGCAATTGGGTCTCGCACGAGAACTTCTTTCGAAAACCATGTTGCGTGGGTGAGAAGAAAGAGTTAAATTCAAGAAATTTGACCAGATGGGAAAAAATTACATGTTCGAGAATTTTGCATGGAATGCTTGTTAGTGATATGGGTCGGAAATTGTTAGGCGTGTGTTTGTTACCGGACTTATGGAGTGGCACCACCTTCCCGACTTCCCAATCCGCCGGCAGGATGCTCGTGTCGAGGGTCTGCTGGAATATTTTGCACAAAATAATAGAGGAATACACAACAGTACTTTTTAAGAACTTCGTATTAATAAGGTCAACACCGGGGCTCGATGAGGGTTTCAGTGACTGGATTATTTTACTTACACCACCTGGGTCAGTAACAATGGGGTCCATGGAGAGATAATTACAGTTCTGAAGTTCAGGTATTGAGGGGTATATATGTTCAGGTATTGAGGGGTATATATATGTTCAGGTATATATGTGAATGTCTGTGCATGCAAGAAACACAAAACCCCAAAAATTTATTTTACGAAAAATAAAAAAAAGACTTTTGAAGTTGGCCTATCACCTTAAGCACATACGCAGTAATCTTCGTTGTGGTGCATGCTCTATGGCTGGGAATCAAACCTTCGTGGGTTTTGTATGCTTGAAAGCATCGACTTTATTGAAGTGTTTTGAAAAAGACATCTTGTCTCTTCCAAACAGATGAACATTATAGAGTCGGAAACTACATATGATCATTTATCGTTAGATTCTTTCGCTGATTTAGGCACATAAAATTTTTGCATGAATAAAACCCAGAACTTTGCGGTGAGTGGAGCATCCCCACAGCCCCTAAAATAGCGTGGCGAGTTTTTCAAGCATACCAACAGCTCCACTAGGAAAGTATTAACAATGTACAGATGGTAAGAAATAACCACAATTTCTTGTCCTTACGAGATCTGTCACTTTTCCATTCTGGATCCTATTCCTTCTCCTTATAGTCTATGCACTGTTAATACTTTGTTTATGCATCCTTACCCCCTCACCTAAACCTCAGTTCTTACAAGATACAAACAACTTCCAGGAAATATATAACACTTACCTTAGCAATGCGCTTCAGCAGCTGCACAGCCAGGGTGCAGAGACGTGGGTCAAAGCGGAGGTACAGAAAGCGTGCCACCGAGACTGTCAGTGACGGTGCACCACCGGCGGTCTGGCTGGGTGACACCAGCAAGCGCTGTTCCAGCAGGGAGCCCTCGCCAGCACCCACCAGCAGCAGACGGTTCAGGAGTGAGAAGCACAGTCGCACAGAGTTCAGCAGGTCTTTCGAGTGGCGGCTGCATCAAGGCACCAAAACACAGTTGCGAAAATGGCTACTGTATACTGTATTTTTTTCTCCTTTGCAAAACACATTATGTTCAACTGCCAATAAATAGGATGAAATTTACATAATTTGTTGCCCAGGTTTCGGAGACCAACTTTAAAGCAAGTGGAAATGTTGAAATAAATTGTGTATTTTACAGCGATCAGTTGAAATCAGAATATAAATGATTTTCTAGTCATTGCACAGACAGTGGTGCTAAACATCTTGTGGGAAAGCTGACACCCCCTGTAAGGTTGTTTGCGCCGCGTGGCGCACGTGTCTCGTGCAAAAGCCGTATCTCCCGGTCACAACTATTGAGTGGTAGGTGGCATTGTGTTCGCGAGCATTGATCCCCTTATCATCATCATGGTTAGATCGGTAGCGGTGGCGGTGAGCCCTGACAGCATGAGAGAGTTGAGCGAGTCTCTTTGGCGAGGGGCGGTAGCGCGAACGGTTGCTTCTCGCGCGGGTTCCCGGTGAACGGCACCACGAGCCATCTGCCGGAGACCCGCACGGCGAGTCAAGCGTTAGCAACGCCACTTTTTCGACACAGCAAGTCCAACTGATACGCATATCTATGAGCGCACTGCGATAACTGAAGGTTTAAATTGTACAAACGCTATGTGCAGCTCTGCTTTATCCGAGTGGTAAGCTGTCAGCGAGAGTGCAAGCAGCGAAACGTAACGCTGAAGCCATGAGACCTCGATGATGAGAAAATGAGCATATCAGCAAAATCCACTCAACTCACCTCCCTTCAAATTCAACAGCCCGGGAGACGAATTCCTCGGCGGAGACAATAAGCCGAAGCAAGGCTGGACAGGAATCACCGTGAAGCAGCCCATACACGCAGAGCTCAGTACTTCTGTGAAAGGTAAAGACGGAAAAAAACAGACAAAAGAGAAGGAAATAGTATCACTTTTTTTTTTTTTCAGGTTGAGTAGGCTATGATAGTGTCTGAATAAGTGCCTGTTGTGAAATAACCGACAGTTCTCAACCTGCTTTCTCAACTTACCCTACGGTCTTTGGCTTCAACTTGGTTGAGACGGTCACCAGTTTGTGGAAAATGTTTAGACAGCGATGGCCGATGATGTCCCTGTCGTAAGCTCTGTTGTAGCGCCACTTGTGGAACGAGGGAAAGATGTCCTGTAGCACCACGGTCAAGCACGCGAGAAAGTCTTCGTTCGCAGTGTCCTTGAACGTCTGAAACAACCAATGGAGGCCTATCTACGTCGGACTTTCTACACCAAGCTAAGTGCAGTCAATGTTTAAAAATCTTAATTTGCTCAAACAGCTGTGCTAAGACCTCAAACAAGGCTTGAAGTGACAAAAAATGGTGGAGCAAGAAATGTCGCAAGAGCCGATGATCCAAAAATTCAGTATCCAGTACCAACGTTTTCACAGTTCACTATGCCCTTTGAGGGAATTTTAAGTAAATAGATGAATAAATAAGTAAATAAATGAATAAAAATACAATTTTTTCTTTGTTTGGGCACTCTCAAAAAGTTCACTTACAGGAACATTGGCTCCATGGACATTTCTTGTTTCAAAGCTCATCATTCAGACCACCTCAAGATAGTATTGTGCAGTTGGTACTGCATTCAAGATGTGACTTCAACTTTTCATTTCAAAAGGTCAATTTCTTCTATATTCACAGTAGCACTTGACTAGCGCTGTTTTTGTTCTCAAATTTCCCACTGGCGTGTGTGCATTTGATTTTAACTATTTGTAGCATCGCAATACAATAAGAAAGGAAAAAAGGCAACTACCCCCTGACCAGGATAAATTTTTCGGCAACTAAGAAGCTTCCTTTTTTTCCGAGTAATTCATATGGATTTCCTAGAGGCTTCATGCTACAAACAGGTGGTTGTCTATTTTTATTTTTTTAGTTTTTCCGCCACCTTGCGGGTTTTTTGTAGAACTCGTTTGCCTTACAGTGGAATACAATGTATCATTTATAATCACCTCGTTTTTGATTTAGTTATAGTGCTTTAATCAATTATTTTTAGGCTGCTTTTTCAGTGTTTGTTATAAACACTGCCAAGAGGTCCAGACCAATGTCCCATTTTGGTACCCTGTTCCAAAAAGGCACGTTTAACTTGGTACTCAATCTTGCCACATTAGAACATTCGTGCCACTGAAAAACGAAAATCTCAATGCAATGAAGTCTGCAATATACAGAAGCTTTTTGCTGAAAGCACAACTTCATGACGCTAAGGTTGCACTGTATGTGCAGATAGTATGCATCTGCTCTCTCCTGGTCACCTTCCATGCAATGCTTCTTTAGAAAACCTCGGTTCAATTTTTCCCCCCTTTTATAAGAAACCAACAAAACCAAAGTAACTTCACAGCGGAAAATGGTACCTCAGCCACATTTCCAAGCAGCTTCAGAAAGGCAAGACAGATGGGATGATCACCCACAACCCTTTCTTGGGAGACCATGGCTTGACTCAAGACATTGTCCGTGACCATGTAGCCCCTGCAAAATAACATGGGAGTCTGGCATCAGACGGATTCATGGGCAACTAGCTTTAAAATTGGTACAGACACCGCATGAAACGGCATGCTGAAAGATTACTGTCAAATACATATAATAAAACGTACACTGCAAGCCTGAAATCAACTTCGTAATTCAGCACATCTGAAATTTACATAAAACGGAATATTCTGACAATTACTTCTGGCAGACACTTCACTGTTGGCCAAGAATATTAAGCGACTAAATGTGAGAAAAAAAAAGTATATTTTTTTTTCTCTAGGAATGTATGTTTTGAGACAGTTGATAAGGCATTAAAAAGGACCTCAAACTAAAGACAGGAAAGCTCTCGTCCTGCGTTTTCTCATTCACAGTATCGTCTTTCGTATCGAAGTTTTCTCTACATTTTCTTGTTTCTTCGTTCCCTACAGCCGAAACTCACCAATAAAGGGTTGAAGAGCCAAGACTCTATTGCTTGACACTCCATTTCTTTGTGACACACTCTGGACAAACAGGCAGTCCCTTTGAGCACTATACCATGGCTACAAGATGCACCTACTGAATGAGTTCTTCCACGGACTTGGGCTTTGTTCTCAGTGCAGGGAGCAGGCCTGTCGCGACTAGCCGCTTCCAGGACTTTTCGGGATCCTTACCAGCCAGGATGGCCACCATCTCTAGGCACTCTCCCAGCACTTCGATTGGAGGGCTCACCAGAGGTGTGCTGAGCAGTATGAGCCTGAAAGAGACAAAATAAAGGCCAACCAGTACAATAAAGTTTTAGTTTGACTAAACTTGTTACAAGTTAGTCACAACATTAATGAAAGACAACAAAAAATGAAAGAAGGTATAGGGGACATGATTTGCAGCTTTTTAACTACACTGGAGTGACATACATCTTAACTACTAATATACAGTTAAAAGACTAGAAATAATGTCTCCTATATTCTCATTTATTAAACTGTCTGTCGATTTTGATTAAGGTTGTGTCTAACAAAGAAAAACAAGCCCTTAGTTGCCTTTTATTTTACTACGAGTGAGTAATAATATGTTCTCACAAACACCCTTTTGGCAAAGCTGCAATCTTGGTAATGGTACATTTTTATTTCATTACCAGCTTTCAAACAGCACCTAAACATACAAAATATGTACCCAGTGGTCATCGCTATAACATGGAGTCAGCATGCTACCTTAATGATATGTTTCAAAGACTCCTTTTCTTGAAGGTCATGATAAGATGTGCATTATACGTCAACCTTGTCACGCGACACTCCTTGTGAATGGTGATAGCGTCATTTTTTCCTTTCTTTCTCTCTTTTTTTTTTTGTTTTTCCAGTTGTGGTATCAAAAATACCCAGTTCTACAAGCTTTTTTTCAATAGTTTCACTTGTGATTCAAATGTAAAAACACTGCATACAGGCTTCTATGTATGAAAACTAAACCTGAAACTAAGCTTTTTATGCTAAGAATATGCCTTAATGAAGACATTGAAGAGAGCCTCTGTCTTCTCGCCTTCCGTTTTCCTGTCCACTATGTGCACGCCGAAATGGTTCCAAGAATATCCTCAAACCAACTCTCCCAACTTTCTATACTGCTACATTATAAGAGAAATTCCGATTCAGCTTGAGAGTGACAAAAGATTCAAAATTACTTGTTTGTTAATTTAATGTCATGATTCATTAGAAGATGCTGCTTTCGTTTGTGACATTATTCCAGGTAAGTTCTCCAAAGAATTTAATTGTACTATATGTATACTATGTAGCTTATTCGTACATGCTTGACATGTGTATTTTTGTACTCTTCTGAGGGTAGTACCGTATTTACTCATGTAATGAACACACTCGCATAATAAACGCACCCCCAACTTCAGTCATCAAAGTTTGAAATTTTTTTCCCCCGCGTAAGACACGCACCTTCTACATTCATCCGCTGCAGTCCCGCTAACCGACACCTGGTACCTCCTCACCCGTTGGATCTCTTCCGTTTTTTATGATTTTGCCGACTCCCCTCGGCCACCTCGGCTCCCTCCCCCCTTTTGCACCTTGCCACGTGCCGTATTGTTTTTCTTTCTATCTGTGCGCATTACATCCCCCATCTTATCTATGCACTACAGCAGTGTTCACGAATCGTGCAAGTGTTGAGACATCGCAGCTGATAAGCACACAGCGAGCGAAGGTCACGAAACTGGCCACCCCAACTGATGGTCGCTTCCTGCAAATACCAAAAAGTCCAAGCACGTGCATGTGATTTTCGAGTGACGACGACAGGATTTGATGTCACAAAGAGTCATTTGTCGCTATTGCGTTGCAGGTTTCTGGAAAACCAGAAAAAATGGCTTGTCGTACAGAAAAGATCACGACAATTTCCGCAACATGGTAGCACTCCCGATTCTCGCTTCGCTTGTTATCAGAGCGTAGGGGAACTTTTCATGTAGAAGCGAGGCGGCGGCCAAATTATGTCGTTAATTTTGTTATCGATGATATGTTCCGATGCTTCGGGGGTAGCTTGCTGCCGGTTTGTTCTGATGCTTCGAGGGTAGCTTGCTGCAATGTTGGTTACTTGCTACAATGTAAACCGCGGCGTCATGGTCGCCGTGCGAGGTTGCTGCAAAGTTGGCAAAGTGCGTCGTAGCGACGTTTTTAGGTGCCCCTCGAGACTTGGCAGATACCACTGTTGCGGTTAAACAATAACGAGAAAAGATAGCATCAAAACATTTTTGTGGCGTACCCAGGGGGCCCGGTGACAGCTTGCAAAAGATAGCGCCATCAACCACCGAAGATGAGTAAAGTGCAACAAAGAAGCTGTTTCCAAACAGTGTACGCGTATGTAAAATGCAAAAGGCTTAGCGACCTAACTTTTTTTTTTTGCATTACCTCATTTTTTCTTCTCCCGAAAAAGTTTTCATAAAATTTACCCCGCGTAATAAACGCACACCCTAACATTGCTCCGATTTTTCGAGAAAAAAAAGTGCGTGCATTACGCTAGTAGGTAAATACGGTAATAGACTGCACAAAAATTATTCAAACAATCAAAAGTACAGTACCATTTTCTTTTACATTGCATTATCATAAAAGAGTTCGGACAGGTATCACTTCAAAGTCAATTTCAACACAACTGTAGCAACTTCTTTGTAACTCAACACGTAAAAATAACATGACAGAAAAAAGAAATTTCATGTGTCAGTTGCCACAAGAACTAACCTATGCAGGGCAGCAAAAAGTTCATCGATGTTATTTGCCAGCAAGTCTTGTAGCGATGAATCGGCTTCCAGAGGCTTCGGATGAGGCGAGCTATATGTAGCAGTCTCTGAAGCCAGCCTTTGTCAGAGTCACCTGTACCAAAAGCACAACAAGGTGCGCTTTGTGTACAATTGTTGTTGGGTGCCATGAAGCTGCTTACGACTTTTGGCAACTCCTAATTTCATAAGAGTTCATAACTTAATACTAATGCAAGATGGTAGACTGTTAAATACAATGAACACAACTGCTAACATGAAATTCGCTTTCTTTTTACAACGAAAACTGCAGTTATTTTGAAAATTCATTTGTCTCTTTTGCTAGGTGCCATCTTGCATAAAAGTCAAACAAAATGTGATAAAAAGAGAAACTATTTTGAGGCACATTGTAGCTGTAACGACAATGCAATACTACTTTCTCAGAACAGGCCAGTCTAATAATCACTGAGCTGGCTTACAGATAATAACTAACTTACAGGCAGTCTACCCAGCTAACAACAAGCCATTTCTGAAATGTTCCCATACAAGCACCATTTGCTTGTTTTGTGACATGGCAAATGTAGGCATAGGTTTTGCGATGAAACTATGTGCAAGACACAAGCATCAGCATATTCAGCTAAATAAATGCTATTAATTCCTCTTGATGTAAATTCAGCCAGCCGTCACTATTAGCAGGGCCCAGCAACACTTTTTCAGCAAGGTCGGAAACTGTGCTGATCGGTAGTCGAGGCTCGTCGGAACACGCGAGCCATACATGAAATCTCAGCCCGAACTGATGTGGAAACTGATGTAGAAATTGCTGCCTCCTATTTTGACAAATGATGACGAAAATCCAAAGTCCGCGACCATTGGCTGATTCAAGCATCATGAGCTGATTATTTTGCCGTGGCCACCGTGGAATGCTACCACATGCTCATGCGCACGCTCACAATCACCCTGAAATTAACTCGTGCGTTCGAGAAAAAACAACAAACAGAAAGTTCGTTACACATGCTGACAAACGAACACACCTTCGTGCCCCCTTGTCATCTCCCCTGGCATGACTTTCACTGTGCTGGCTGGTATGAAAAGAGGTAGAAAGCTTCTAAATATTGACCAATCACCAAGTTTATACTTAAAGGGACACTGTAGAGAAGAACGCTTCTTCGCGCTTGAGTAAGGTGCAATTTCACAGTCCCGAAAACACCACTCTTACCGCGAGACAAAACTTCGTAAGCAAGAAAACGCGTGAAAAGAAAATGCGAGTGGAGACATCACCTTGAGATTCCCAAACAATGACATCACAGATTATGACAGCCACTACTGGGTCCTACATGGCGTTTAGATGATAAAAACGAAGTACATTGTCATCGGAGGGTGTCATGAATGTTATATGCGAAGTTTCGGAAAATTTAATTGAGCCCGAGTCGTGATAATACGAAAAATAAATTTTGGATTCTAGATGTCGCGCATGAAGATTTTGGCATAAAATTTAAAAATCAAAATTCAACCTTGATTTCCTGCATTAATTATGAACTGATGATGTAAAAATTGTGACAGTACTAGAGTTCTCCCAGTACTCTTCATCAATCTAAAGATTTACTTTATTGTCCATGTTAATAGATGATAAACATTTTTGTAGCAGTCTATACGTGAGACAATAGACTCGCGTACTGAAGCCATTCAATGATTGCTTGAAGATGTGTTGCAGGGCCCCTTTAATATCCAAGTAAGAAATTACAAGACTGAGCGCTTTCAAATTTGAAAAATTTTCTATTGTCTTACAGAAAGCATTGACTTCAGTATTTTTCTAAAGCAAAAGTTCACGTCTTAAACAGAAACATACTTATGAACAGTGCCAAGAAAACCATACTGATGACTTACAGGGTTTAAAGAGTTCACAGATGATAACTTGCCAACCATTAACAGTCGCCTGCCATCGGACGAATGAGCTATCTGCAGCGAATGAAAAAGAGGGATAAACACAAAGAACATTTAATTACGCTTCCCAAGATGAATAATAAATGACAACAACCTCACCTCCAGATTTGAACACAATTCCTTCCGTCCCATATGGAATGAACAATGCACCTGCATAAAAACAAGATGTGAAATGTATAATGCACTGAATTAAGAGCACATTTATGAAACTGTAAGGAGCAATTTACTGTAAGTGCTAACATTGAGTGTCTGGCTCCTGCTGTACAATAAGCCAGATACCCGTGCAAAACTAAGCAAAATTGGCATTACCAAGTTTTTCATTGAATTACTGGCATTACCAACTCCTTAATTCCATTATTGGCATTACAACAGTTGGCATTACAAACAATTGGCATTACAACAGGCATTTAATGATGTGCATCAGGCATGTTTTCTGGTGCACTGCAATCGTCACTTTCTCTACCAAGCTTTGAAAACTGACCCTGAACCTAGCATTCATTAAAAGCAAGCTTCTAACGCTGCCAATGGGCATATTTCCATGCGTGGCAAGCTGTGAAGTGTTCACAATGGCAGTTGAAGTGGTATTAGTACTAGATATGCACTCACAACAACACTACATTTTCTGTCAGTGCAGCTGTGTTTCTCAGAAGTCGCGCCACTTGAAACAGCAAGCTGTTTTCATTTATAAAAGCAACGGATGCTTGAAAGCAGTCCTGCACAGTTAGGATGGCACAGTGTACTTAGGTTGTTGCCCATTAAGGGTGTGCAGTGCGTTTATGGTAGTACTTCACATCATGCACGTCCAAGTAGATCGCTGAAGTTGCTTGACGAAATTAACAGCGACAAAATCGTACCATAATGTTTGTTAGCGGTTATCATCTCACCTTTCTTTTTTTATGCTTGTGCAGAAGAATTACTTATTGACCAGTCTCTGTACTCACTGAAAGGATGGAAGACCTCTTGTGGTACATTGCAGCGTTAGCAAGTGTGAGGGGCCACGGTCATATTCTATGCTGACACAACAGTGCACGCTATGTATGGTGGTAACAGGACAAACCTCCACAGCTTAGGCATTCAGTGAGTGCATTAGGTTCTATGACAGTCATTCTGAGATTTGTCACAACTATGTTTTATCCCCTAGTAGCATGCTTAATTGAAGCAGGTACTTTTACAGCATATCGGTAGTGCCATGTAAATGCAAAACGTGCAAGACAGCAGCGCACATAAAAACTTGTCGATTTGAAATCACTCGGACTGTGAAAAATTTTTCAATTAACAAAACATACAAAAAGTGGGATGCAAGAAACTTCGAATTATTGAAAGTAGGTAATCAGAGGCTGTCGTTTGCTGTGCCGGCTAGATTGTGGCTCAAAGGGTTAGGTTGCCAATTTGGGGCCCTTGCTTGGGGCCAATTTTGCCACAAGCAAGGGGGAATTGCAGGCCTCATTACTGACAACGTGGAAGGGAGGGAGGAAGGGGGGTTATAAAAAAAATGGCAGCTTATCCACAGGGTGAATGATGAAGAGTGGGGCAAAGCATCGGTCCTTCCACTCGTTCTTGCTTCGGTCCGTCCATGCGTCCGCCTGTGTGACCGTCATCCGTGCGTCCATCCGCCCGTCCGTGCATGCATTCGTCCATGCATCTGCCCCTGCATCCGTCCATGCGTCCATCCGTCCGTGCAGCCATCCGTGTGTCGATCCAGTCAATACTCCAAGTACCACCATCTCACATCTTTTCATCATATATGCGTCCGTCTGTGTGACCATCCATGCATCCATCCGCCCGTCCGTGCGTGTGTTCGTGCGTCCACACGTCGATCTGTGCGACGTCCTTGCGTTTGTTTATGCATCCGCCCCTGCGTCCGTCCATGCGCCCATCCGTCCGTGTGTCCGTCCATGCATCTGTCTGTGTGTCCGTTCGTCTATCTAGTCAATACTCCAAGTACCACCATCTCACATCTTTTCATCATATATTCCGCATATAGAAGCACCGCCATCCAGCGGACATTTCAAGGACTAAACGAGAGGTGGCACACGCACACTTTCTTACGGCTTGCACTTCGTGTCTACTTCCTATCTTTAACCACCTCAAGTTCATGGTATATACTAGTTCACTTTATTCATGGCACTGCGGCCCAACGCTAGCTAAACCTTTCTAAAACCAAGGAGGTTATGCCCAGCGAGTATAACCTAGCAACCCTTTCTTGTCAGACAGTGCTCAATGTACATGCCAATGGCTGCTAATTGGGAATGAGAGACAGGAGAATTCGGCCTTTAGTTAACGCACACGCTGGTAATTTTTTATTGTTCAACAACGCACAGGAGAAATCTCCCAACGGAACCAGTTAGTCTAGGTTAACCTCCCTGTCTCTTCCTTTTATTTATTTCTTTCTCTCTGGTTACGCACTCTCTCTGACTACGACGAGGAATGAAAGGGTCCTGCTTTAAGGAGCTTCGCCCCTAAAAAGAGAGAAAGAGGTTTTGTAATCAACTCAAATGTGTGCCTGTGGAAAAGAAATGCTTCACTGCAACACAGTGGTGACATACGAGTAGCATATCACCTGCACCTTGCAGTGTAAGCGCGTCATGATGCGACCATTCACCCGTTTGCTCTGGTAAAATAAAGAATTTAATAGCAGCCAGTGTAGCGAAATTTGTGACATGTTTTGGCTGGAAAATATGATCAATGAAGTTTTCCAACTCAATTTTTGAAGTAGGCTTAAGACAAGAGCTTCGCCAGCAGTGCAAGTGTGCAAATGACTGAAGCAGCTGCCAATAGGAGGTTCACATACATTGCGAATTCGGTTAGACTGTCCTTCACTAATTTCTTTATGTTCTCATAATGAATAAGTAAATCATGATGCGCTGACGTTTCGAGAACAAGCAACATGCTGTCCTCGTGTCACATTTGTCATACGGTGAAGCATGTCTTATTTTCCACAGGCACACATTCCAACTGACCACAAACAGCTTTTTTTTTTCCTTTCCACTGGCAGTATCACTCAGTAGTATCCCTATATTGCATTGCCTTGTGGCTCCTAAGGGCTGTCGTTTCCACGAATTTGCGGCGAAGTCGGGATCATGAATTGGCACATGGAACCCAGAATTTTCGAATTAACCAGACTCTTGCTGACTGCCACTTCAAGTTAACCACGCAAACTTACACCACAAATCCGAAACTGCAGAAATACTTCAAATTATTGAGATTTCACTGTAGTTTATACTCACGGCTGCCATAGGGATATCGTGTTGCTGTCAGCAAAACACGAGAGTCATCTTCAGCAATCCGCATCACACCAGTAGGCACGAGGTCCAGAGGTTCCAAAAAGCAAGGCACAGCTCTGAACCTGCTTATCACCTGCACAGTAAACAGGCACATTGATAAGAATTTTTTAACTTGAAGTTATAAGCTCTTATCAAGAGATGAGAAGCAAGAAATGTGTTCAGCAGTAGTAGTTCTGATGAAATGAATACAGTGCATTTTTTTTAACGAAGCGGCATACGCACATTGCTTGAGCTGTGTTGGCTTGCCCTGGCTAGCGCAGCCAGCATTTCGAGCAGAGGTTCTGCCTTCAAGGGGAACATTTCCTCTGCTTCGACGAGCAGATGGCCCAGTCCGGAACTTTCCCCCTGCAATAAGGAGACAAAGGCAACACTCATCCTGGCCTTCGAAGAGTAGATTCTCTCGTGCTTCAACGGTAAGTGACCAACCTCCTTCCAGAAATCTTGGGCAACAGTCGGGTATTCGAGGAGCTTCACTGCGAGACGGTACAGCGGCTGCAGTAGACACAACAACCATCAATTATGCCAGTCCCGTGCAAAAAAAAGTAAGGCAGTGGGCAATTCACTTTCTTTTTACATGTGAATAGGTTTGTATGAATATTACAGTATTCAAATTCGCTTCGATTTTAAATTATTGAAAATTTCAAAGTACAGTAGACTCTCAGTAAATGAAGATCTGTTAAACAGAACTACTGCTTAAATGGAACTATTGCCTCTGCAATGCTTGGTTTCGGGCTTGTATTCTGCACCCATGTTTACCTCTCAGTAAACGAAACTCTTGTTAAATGGAGCATATTTTGCCAGTCCCTTCAGGTTCTGTTTACTGAGAGTCTACTGTTTTCGAAATTGGCCCCACAGTGTAGCCTCATTATAAGTTGGTGGGAATCAGACATTACTTTGCTAGAATCACTTTTTCACTATATCCGAACCACAGAGTAAAGATAAGTTAAATGCTGACACTCGCTGCTCGTTATAAATGGGCTACATTGTATATTAGTTTGCATATAACTCCCTGTAAGGGTGGTTTCACTGCAGCAGAGGGGTGCTTAACCGTGAAAGCACTTATTTAAATGTACATTAGCACACATACACCTTTCTGTAAGATGGTTTTGCTGCAGCAAGAGAGCGCTAAACTATGAAAACATATATTAAAAAAATTACGTTAAAAAAAATTATATTAAAGAAAATCTACGTGGCCACAAGACCTCTCTTGTTGCTAGGTTAAATGAGCATATTACCCTCACATTGCCTCATCATTTTTTAAAAGCTTGCCATACTAGCTTATATGCTCTATGTATGGTAAATTTTAATACTTCACATATTTCACAGGTCATCACTTGCATTCTATCAAAAAACAAATCCTGCTATTATTCATAGTTGTTTTTACTTTAAACCAAAGAAAAGGGCATTTGCACAGGCCTTCTTTAAGCTTTTGAAAAATATTGTGCAGGTTAGTTAGGTAATGACAAATGTGCTCATTATTCTTTATAGTATGCGCTATATACTACTCGAATTCGATTCGAAAGTGTTAGACCGAAATCACTACTTCCCTTTGGCTTCAGACCTAAAATTCACTATTCACACAAATTTACAAAAGACAAAGGTTTTATTGATACAGCATAACGAAGTAAAAGATTTCGGCAGACTATGGCAATGGGCCTTTTCGTAGTATGAACAGCACCCCAAGTGGAGATCGCCGAAACCAAAACAGGCGGCCCTTGGGCTTCGAAATTGTCCGCCACATGCCAGTAGGCAATCTTAGAGGCTTGCATTCGTGCCTCTCTATGGCTGAAACACTTGTAAGTTTGTGGCACCAGATGTCGCTGGGTCTGCATGTGTCGTCACGTTTTGGCCACCTAAAATCATGGCTTCTCGAGGTCGGCGCGCACGCGCAGACTACCTACCCAGAAAAGGCCCATTGCTCAGGCTCACGCACTGAAACAGAAGCAGGGTCTCAAGAAAACTTTGTCAATCGCTGCATTTGTACCTGCTAGTATTTCACTTAAACCTCAATAAAACAGACACGGATATAATCAAATATAAATTATAATAAAGTAAATGAAAGATAGTCTTGCGATAAACAGTATTAGGAAAATACCGTCAAAATAAATTTTTAGATATAACGGACTTATTTTCATGTAGGATGCGACTTCTTTGCAATGAGGTTCGAGTAACTCCAATATACAATCGATTATGTGTCACCTGTAGATATGAGAAATCATTGAATAATGAAGTAAATTTGCAACGTCTTTTGCTATGAGTAGGTAATGAATATTTGATCACAATGAACACTGCAGGTAATTGAGGTGTTTTTGTAATACACAACGTTCGTTACACCTAGTGAGGTTAAAATATGACAGTGTATGATGAAATGCTGGCATTCCTCTAGTGAGCACATGGTGAACAGCACTTTGCTGAATGCGTGAAGTATCAATTCTTCAGCACAGTTGTGTTCAGCGAATCTCATTCCAAGATTTTAACTACTGCAAGGGCATAGATTTGATTCCAATGACTTCGTCAAGCAAGGTATGTGTGTTTCATCGCCACATGGTAACAGAGAAGCCGAGAAATCGGTGTCGCTTGATGAGAAGGGCATGGCGTAAATGGTGTAATGAAAAGTAAGGTGAACAAAAAAAACCCTTTGGCAGCCAGGGTAGAATGGTGCGATGCTTTTGGCAACTGTTGTGATGGAAAAGTCAGGTTTCTGTTTCTTTATGCAAAAGTCTGTACCAGGTTTTGCCTGCGTATGCACTATTGTGTTGCAAAGTAACACCAGACGAAATGACATTCGAAAGTCATGAGTGCACTGCATTGCTTGTAGGACAAGAAACAATGGAAGGGACTGAAGCCTGCACCATCATTGACATCAATATTGGCAGAACAGTTCGCGAACTTTGTTCACGCAGTCTCCACGATTCGCCAAGCTTACAGTCAGAAAACCGTCCATGCAAAGTGAAGGGCAAGAAGTAAAAAGAAAAAAAACTTTTAAGCGTCTTCACCTCAATGGGACCGAGGCTGCGATGATTGAATGAAGCAACCAGCAGAAAGACGAGCTCGTAGACAATGGCGTGGACTTTGTTTGGAAGGACCTGAAAAATAGATGTCAATTTATGGCCATAGACAAACGAAATGCATGAAGAGGTAAAACAGCTTTTACAAGAGATAATTTGAAAACACTACGGTACAGTCCACTTATAACAATGTCCAAGTGGCAAAGAAATCCCATGGTTATAACCCGTAATTGTTATTAGTGGATAAACAAAAAAAAAGACAAAATAGAGATGAAAAAAACATTTAATTTACATGCAAGTAAGGTAGTGCAACTATGTACTAGTACTTAGAAAAGTAGAAAAGGCATGATGTGTCAGCTTTGATTGCTGCTCGTGTAGCTGGTGCACATTTTCCCCAAGAGCAAATACCGTAATTACTCGAATCTAACGCGCACCTTTTTTCCCGTTAAGCGAGTTCATAAATTGCATGCGCGTTAGAATCGCGTACAAAAAAAAAATGAATACGGTCATTCTATTGCCATCGGCATTTCCATAATGGCCGCCCCCTACGTGCGTCGGCATGGCGCCTCGGCCATTTCTGCCTACGTGTTTCGCATGTGCGGCACTTCGTACGTGTGCTGAGGAGTTCGTCATCTTGTAGTGCATTAGCATCGACGGCATGGAAGGGCCGACTCCAAAAACTCGAGTGCATCACGATGCCGCTTTTAAAGGAAAAGTCATCGCGTGTGCAGAAATGGACGGAAATCGGGCCGCATCGCGGTCGTTTGGAGTTCCCGAAACGTGCGTGCGGGACTGGCGGAAACAAAAGCAGAAGATTGTCGACAGCAAAGCTTCACGCAAAGACTTCAGTGGACCACAGCAGGGTCGGTTTCCGCAAATTAAAGAGCTGCTCGGCGAGTATGTGCTTGAGCAGCGAGCGGCACAGCGGCCCGTGACGACAGAACTGCTCCAAGTGCGGGCTATGCAATTAGCCTTAGAAAAAGGTCTAATGCGGAGCCAGTTTAAAGCGAGCAGGTGCTGGCTAACTAACTTTATGAAGAGGAAAGGCTTTTCCCTCCGAAGGGGAACGGGCATATGCGAAAAGTTTTGCGGAGGAGTACGATGAAAAGCTTCACAGTTTTCAGAGGTTCGTCCTAAACTTGCGGCACAACAACGGCTACCTGCTTGGGCAAATCGGGAATGCCGATCAGACGCCTCTTTACTTCGACATGCCTGGCACCACAACTGTCGAGAAGAAGGGGGCGAAGCAAGTTCGCGTGCTGACATCGGTCCACGGTAAAACTACAGTGACGGCAATGCTCTGTTACACATCAGATGGGCACAAGCTTCGCCGTACCTCATATTTAAATGGAAGACGCTCCCGAAAGGAGTCGTTTTTTTCGAGTGGTGTGATCGTGCGGGCCAGCGAGAAAAATGGGTGCACGTTGCAATCGATGTCTTACTTTTTTTTTTTTCGTCATGGAAATCGGGTGCGCGTTACAATCGAGGGTGCGGTAGAATCGAGTAAATACGGTAAGTACTCTACGTTGGTGAGCGGGAGGTCTTTTGCGAAAACAAGGTCCCAGATGGAATGTACAATCTGCAGGGCCCCCTGGGATAACAGGGCCTGCATAGGCTGCTCAACCGCGTCGTCGGAGTCGTCCCTTTCTTCACTATCCGCAGCACAGAGGTTGGTGCAGAGATCTAATTGCAGTGCACGCTGTAGCCAAATTCAATCGCTATATCCGATATCGCAGCACTGAAGCATCGTAATCAGTGGTGTGTGAAACGAAGAAGACCCGGACCCAATCGTCTGGCTGCATCGAAGGTTAAAAGAACAACTGGGCCAGCCAGCACCCGTGGATCGTGCCCGCCGCCCCTTCTTCCTCTTTCATTTGTAACACACTCCCGTGGACAGCAAATTTGCGCACGTTTCAAGAAAGCTGTGAGTGAGTCTGCCACGAGGAGTTACACGGTGACGGCAGCGCCTTGCTAATGAAGGAGCTTGGGGAGGCGGCGGCTTGTCTTGCACAGGCGGTCGTTCAATCTTACTTCGATGTCCACGGGACTTCGTGGTCACGTTGTTAAGTTGTTAGCCACCTTGAGATTATAGTAGATGCTTTTGCTTTTCTTGCGTCACTTGCAGTATGAGGATTCTGATTTTACCCTGCTTTCGTAAACTCGCGAGGTTTCCCGGTAATTTGCGCGCTCCTTGGGAGTGATGTTGGCCTTTTGCTCCTGGTGTTGCATTTGCAGCTTCTGTATCTGCTGTGTGATCATGCGCTGCTTGATCACTTCGGGTGTCAGGTGGTCCTGAGCGTGTGACTGGCTCACAGGTGCATCCGAGCTGGATGAAGCCTTCGGGATCGAAAACGATTGTTTTTCGCTCGATGAGAATGACAATGCCGAAGCATCCTGGTTCCGTCGGGCGGTGACCTCACCAAGGACAGGCATCTCGGCAGCGTTTGAAGGCAGTGGAGATTCATCCACATGATCTGTTGCCGGTAGCTGTTTGTCGGCATCAGTCTCGACGTCGCCAACGATGACGCACGTCAAGCTGGCATTTTCTCGTGGATCAGTATAAGTTATGGTGGCGTTTTCAGAGACGTTGCTGCAGGAGTCTCCAGACAACCGGTCGATCACGGTGTATTCCCCTTGGCGAAAGTCCTCGTTTGCGCCAGTTTCCTTCATGAGGCACATTGCGTTAGTACTGGAGCTGTGTCGTGTAGCGATTGTACATCAGATACAGGTCTCTGGCATTAGGCGCCATCTTCATGCGATGTTCGGCGGCGTTGTGGATGGTCATGGGGTGCATGTCCTCAATTGAGTACAGCTCGTAACGGCCCTGCTACTCGCTGTTCTGCGGTGCACGGGGCTGCGCGACGGGCACCTTGTGCGTTTGTCCTCTTTGTCTGAGATGAGAGACTGTCTTGGTGAGCTGCAGCTCAGACCGCAAGAAACTGGGTGCTTGTGGTCGATGTGCATGGTGGAGCCGAGGTTTGCCTTGGACATCGAGATCTCCATGGTGCACTTTGTGAACGAGTCTGTGCACTGAAGCGCCGTGGATTGCGTGGAAAGCGGCACGTCTTTCGGCATGCGCTCAAAACTCGTTTGAGTTATGGTTGATGTTGATGTCGGCAGGCCACTGGAAGGCAAAGTCGTCACTTGCTTCGAAGTCGATGCGGGAGGAGTTCTGAGGCTGGTCGAAAGTGAAGTCGCGGCCTGCGGCTACGTCGAGGCGAGAGGAGTCGTGAGGGCGGTCGCAAGTGAAGTTGAGGCCTGCTGCGGTGTCATTACGAGAGGGGTCGAGAAGCCGGTCGAAAGCGAAGTTGCGTACTAGTGTAACATCGATAAGAGAGGAGTCGTGAGCGTAGTGGAAAGAGAAATTACAGGCCGAGAAGGAGTGGTAGTGGACAGTTGTGCACTATCTTGCCGTACCGACGTGTTGTTGGCACGCTGTGAGTGGTTCGTTCCATTGTTGATGTCGCACAGAGAAGTTAGATGTTGTCCCGTGCATCAGTGGCATTGCAGGGTTCTGGCGGTACGGCAATCATTGGCGAAATGATTGCATTTGGTACAACGAAAGCATCGCTTCTTTGGGTGAAACCTTTCCTGCATCTATTTCAGAGGAAGACATTCGCAGCTATCTTGAACAGTGTGTTCGGCAGAAGTGCACAGGATGCAGGGGTGCGAGTATGGGGATTGAAGTTCAGCTGATAAAGCCGCAGCAGAGCGTAAGGGTGGCTGACAGATCAGCAAGTATCGCTGCGAAGGCCTCCAGCTTGATATCGGTTCCTGGAGACCGCCTTTCTCCCGTATCTCTACTTGTACTTTCATGAAGCTTAGGAGATTTTTGGCTTGTGACCGGGCTTCCTCTAATGCAGTGGGGTTTTCAGTTAGCATGGCTTCCTTCTGCCGTTGGCGATAGAGGATGCTGAGGTCTGGAGATAATGCCTTCAAGAGGACCTCCTGCAGCATTGGGCAATATTCTCCTGGAGACACTCTGAGACCTTCTAGGGCGTTCCTGTGGAAGGTGACTTGATGATATAGATTTCGTAGCTTGGTCACGTCAGTGGAACTATGGAGTGGTACGACTGACAGCAAACTGTCGAGATGGTCGTCGACTAGCATGTCACGACGACCGAAGCGGTCCAACAGGATCTGAATGGCGACGTCATAGTTTGCTTCGGCCAGGCGAATACCTTGAATCGCTGCCTTCGCTGCCCCAGTCAGGTATGTCGATAAGTATTGGAACTTATCGAGTTTCGGGATCCAGTCGTTGTTGTGGATGCTTCCTTGGAACTGGTCCCAAAATTCTCGCCAGGCTACATTGAAGGTCTGGCTACATGTAAGGTAAATGGAAGAACTGAGCGAGCCAGCACTCCTGGCTCGTGCCCGCCACCCCGCCTTTCTCTTTATTTGCAACAAGTGGTTCATGTTACCACAGCAAGCATACAAGAGTGGATGGTGCTATCGTTGCTCAGTGTTGTATCGGATATTTGAAATAAACGGCATCATAATAAGTGGACTCGAATGTATATCGCACTGGCAATCACGTGGTTGAATAAGATGCTTTAGGCCTGGCAACAGGCATGCAAGCTGAAATTACGCAGACAGTGTGCACGCTGCCAAATACAAGGAAAAAAAAGCCCATTTAAGCAAGCTTTGACTCGTTCACATTTCAGTCGTCCACAACAGTTATAATGGTCTAGGACCTCCACAACCGTATTTACACGATTTTAGGTCAACCCATTTTATCTAAATTTGAGTAAATACAGCTGAGTAAGTACAATATAGTATTTCTTCATGGTAAACCACTTTTATTTTCATAAACCCACTTATATGCACTAGTGTTCAACAGCCTTTTGATATGACCTTAATGTCACACACAGTCCAGGGCCAAGCCCTGCCTCACCACTCAGCCCTCTCATATATCTGACAAAGTTTCTGTCCCAATATGCATTATATTTTTGCTATGCGACCATTCTGTGCGATTTTTATTCTTATTGCTAACATTATTTTTCTCACTTTGATCTAATTTCTTCCATAAGGCACCACTGCTCAATCGTCCACTGCAACTATGGTTGTAAAAACACGCCTAAACAGCGGGCAGTAACAAGACGAGACCACAATCCCAATAACTTGGGAACTTACCCCGTCCCCAAAGAAAGCCGGGTGCCTCAGAACGTCGTTGAGATAGCCGAAGGCATCCATCCGAAGAGCTTCCTTTCCCAGTCCAGCTGTCCCAGTGCCTGGCAGGATCCAGGAACGTACTAGCAACCATGAGAGCAGCAAAGGGCCATGGGCTGGGTTCCCTCCAAGACAGGACATGCTGCGATCTAGTTGCTGCGAGCAGCCATAAACAGTAATGGTGTCAACGTCGCAGTAGCACATGAGACAAAACAGAGTATAGAAACTTTCACAGACAGAGCAAAAGAGGGGGAGGGAATACAGGAAAGGCAGGAAGGTTGACTAGACAAACTCCACTTCACTACCCTACATGGTAGGGGAGAAATGAAGAATAAAAGGAGAGACAGAAAGCATGACAGTGCAGTGAATTTACAGACAATAATTTAATTAAGGTGCCTTCAAGGACTGCAGAAAGCACCACATGGCTTTCTGGCCTGATGAGTTGTGAGCTCAAGCTCCCAAGATTTTTTCAAACTAAAAAGCCAATGAAGTGTTCTCGCGACACAGCGAAGATTCTAACAATGTTGGTCAAATCGGGGACACCGGCACAAGAGCTAATCCATAGTCTCTTATTTTTACGAGCGAAAAGCATTTCATAAATATGATAGTCAACTAGTAGTTGCCATGACTGGATTCTAGATTAGCGTTCAACCAAGCACACACCCGGAATATGATGCAGTAAAACTCGAAAGTCACAAGAAATTAAACAAAACTAGCATGAATGAGGCACTAGTTCGCACACAAACCGCTTAGTAGTGAACATTTCATGAAATGTTACCTCACCTGCAATGCGTCCGAATCTTTCAGCAGCTGATGATCTGTCCTGAAAGGGAAAAAGGAAAGAGAGCTTGAGTTCCCAACTTGACTCCTCTCTACCTGGAGGGCCAAGGACGAAGACACTCACATGCTCTTCAGGTGACATCGATGAAGCCAATCGAGATCGAGGCTCTCTACGAGCACAAGGCATTCCAAGTAACTGCAACACAAAAGATACCCATACGCAAGCAGAAAAGTTGGGTTCTCGAAGTAAGCAGTGCACACAAAAGCAAACTTGAATTATGTGAAGGCGCTTCTTCTGAGAGGGGCCCTGCAACACTTTTTCAGCACGGCAAGAAAACGCTGCCAGTCGGTGGTTAAGACTACCGAGAACCCACCAGTCAAACATTATAGCACTGCACACTGCTTGAAATTAAATTTACAACTAATTCTCAAAGTCGGCAAGACATAGTTATTTTTCCTTTCTACAAATGATGTCATTTACCAGAATGACTGCGCTATACAAACAAATTTATGACTATTGGCTGGTTTGAGCATTGCGAGCTGCCTAGTTGCCAGTGCCGCTGCAGGAGGCCGCCACGTTTCTTCGTGCCCGCATGCAATCATACTGAAAGTGAGTCGTGCGGTCCAAGAACTAAAGCGCCCTCCCTCTCTGCTCGTTTCAAACGTGCTCATTGTGATGGGAGATAAAAGAAAACAATTGCAGCGACTGATTAATCTTTGTAACTCTACTCCTACTAGATGAATTCTAAAAGTTTTTGCGGCAGCAGTCGATTCGTGAGGCAATAAACTCCTTTAATCAAGCCACTTGACATTTATTTAGAAAAGTGTTGCAGGGCCCTTTAACGACTTCAAAACATATTGAAAGTGCAATAACTGAGAGCCTTCACATTCACTTGGTTTAAATGCAAGTGCGAGACATCGAAGCTAGATATAACCCGTGCCCACTTTACGTACCTGATGAGGTCCAACGTAGACCTGTGGCTGTCACCCAAAAGCTTTCTGAAAGAACTCCTCTGGCCAAAGTTGTGCTTCTGCTGGAGAACAGGCAATCATGATAACCACTAGTCAAGCTCAATATGATACAAGTGTCCCGGCACATCAGAAATAAGCGAGAAATTTAATGTGCTAGGTTTAGTTTGCAACATTAACATTATTTGTTGGGGTTTAACATCGCAAAACAATGGTATGATTATGAGAGAAACTGTATTGAAGGCTCAGAAATTTCGACCCATTTGCATTCTTTAATGTGCACCCAAATGTAAGTACATCTGCTGCAAACATGCTAGGGGTGCTAGGGGTGCGCAAATATCAGAGTTTTTCATAAAAACTGGATATTACCTAATAGAAAATTTCGATTGTACTTGTGAGTAGCTAGTATTCAAAGTTTCGGAAAACTTGACCCGACGAATATCTACAGCGCGACAAAGGCCAGTGGTGCAGCTCAGTTGGGGTGGGGTGGCTAAAACTAACGCTAATGTCTTTACAGAAAGCCTTCCGTTGAAACTGTCACCGATATGCTGGTTCAAATGGTAGCACATGTTTATGATAGACTCCCATTAAACAAAAGTATCTTAAATAAAATTACTGCTTCAATAGAACAACAGCTGAAAAAGGGTTTATTGGCGACTGTTGCGACGGTGGTCCTACGATGAAACACGATCGGGAAAGAGCAACGGTCAAGCAGATGCCGGCGATGATCAGCACGAGCCGAGCGAGCGAAGCCCAGGACCCAGTACCCAAGCGGAGGCGATGTTGCTTGTCAACGATGCGTTTTCTTCTTCACACAGCCTTTAATACGATTGGTTTCTCACTTGAATTCAGTACCCCTGTTTATCTGTCAATAAACAAAGCTACTTTCAAACTAAACACTTTTTCCCGGTCCCTTCAGGTTTCGTTTAACTAGAAGTCTTATAATAATGGAGGTTATGTCATTTCGGCACGTCATGGCTCTATCAAAAAAGCCACAGAACAGCCTGGGAGACTGTCAAGCTGCTAGTGTTAAAAATAACCAGCAATGCACTCAAACCTTAAAGCCAATAGGTTCAAAATGACTTCAATGAGCTCCTGACCCCAAGAAAGGCTGAACCTTTTCAACAGTGGAAAGCTGAAAGACCCACCGTTCACCCAGGTATCACTAAAATTCCTTTTCAATACCTTCCCATTCTTGCTACTGAGGTGTGGAGCACGTGCATGTTTTAAATTGCAGGAAAACACCCTGATCACGACGAGGAAGTTTGAAGCAGGATCACACGGAACAGCTTGTGTTCCTGCATGACAATTGGTGGTTTTTCAGTGGCAGTCACTCACCAAGTTACGTGCTCAAGGACATGAGCAGGTCGCATTTCTTTGTTCTTGCTTTCAATTTTCCTCAAAATCTTTGGTATTCGATATTCCATGAGATATTCGACATTCTTGGTCATTATTTGGTGCTACTACATTTGAATTCGTTTCGAGATAAACCTTCACAATTCACACACTCCTAATTTCTACCTCCATTAAAATGCGACCATGATTCAATCTTGCAAATGCTGCAACATTGACATTCCAGCAGGTTGGCATTGATCTGCTACTTACTTAATAAAAGTAGCGAATCATACAAGGGGAAACCAAAAAACCACGAATGTTTCTAACGTTCAACTTATTTGTCTTGTTACGTTAGTTTCGTAATGATTCCAATGTTTCATATTGACACCCAGCTTATGAAAGATCCCGCAGACCAAACAAAATACTGGTTGGGCTTTAGCAAACCTTCCAGTGCTTTTTGCAATAATAACTGAAAGCGTTTGAATATTTTGTTGAGCTGCTGTCGGCTATTTAACTATGCTAGAGACAGAAATTCTTGCAAGCATAAGTAATTAATTGCATTGCTTTTTGATTATACCAATTTAAGCTGTGTACCTAGTGCAGCGTGACTTTGAAGATTAAAAAAAAATAAAAGAAAGAAAGTGAACCACTTACTAAGTCCCCGAAACCTTATTGTACATAACATTGCCAGTTCATATGCAGACGCACTACGACTATACTGTCAAAAGCTGCGTTCTTTTACCTTTCGTCCCAATAACACAAGAGGGGCAAAGCAGGCTCCAAGCATATTCAAGAAAAGCAGACGATAGAAAAAGCAAATATCAAAGCTAAAACACTATCCTTTTGAGAAGCTGTGTGTGCAGATTTGTAGATACAACTTGTTTTTGTCAGATTCATCGACTGGAGGCTAAGAAAAATAAAGGCACTGAGCTTCAAATGAATTGAAAATCCTACATATTCAATGTCTTCGTTTAATTTCAACGCACTGTGCACAGCCCTGTATGAGCACTTCGTAAAAGGCATTACCACATTTGACGAACCCGTACCTGAAACACGTCGAGCAGTTGAATTATGTTTTCCAGCTGCGGCTGTATGTCCTTGTAGTAGAGAAGGACAATCTTTAGAAGTTCGCACTGAAGGAATGGTAAGAAAAAAAATACAGAACTCCAATAGAATGCAAGATTACGTGAAAGAGAGAGAAGTACAGTAAGTGGAAACCCTCACTTGTTCCTGCAGCGTGTAGTTTACCCATTGACCGATCAGGGTGTTAGTCTGAAATAAAGAAAATTAGGTTTGATGGATATGTGGGGTTCAGAGGTGCCCTAAAACACCTTTTCAAGTAACTGTGAAATGAATTTACTGGAAGAGCTTATTGCCTCACCAATTCAACGCTGAAAAAATTTCAAGAGTCTGTCCAGTGCGAGTGAATTTACAAAGGGTTTGTCGCATGCTGCAATTGCATTCTCTCTTCTCTCGAAGCGACGAAAGCACTGGAAACTAAGCAGGGAGGGATGGCAGGGCCACCGAAAAACGTCACGTGCGCCTCGTGACCTTGAGCCCTTTTTTCATTTTTTTCTTCTTCAAATGCATGGCTTTCTCAGTGTGATCGCGCGTGCACGCGTGGACAAGTAGCGGTCTCATGCGGCGATCTCTGTAATGAGCGAGCGTGCCATGTTCAACTCAGCCCATAGATGATAGATGGGCTTGCTACGTGTGATTTTTGAGCATATTTTCTCATTTGTCGAGAGAAGAAAAAGAAATTTTTAGCTGACTTTGATAATTTATTGTGAATTTCAAGCCACGTGCTGCGCTATAATATTTGGCTCCCGTGTTGTTGGGAGCTTCTACTACCGATCGGCAGCGTTTTCTAACTATGCTCAAAAAGTGTTGCAGGGCTCCTTTAATGTCCCAAAACCACCACATGATTATGAGAAACACCCTAGTGGAGGGCTCCGGAAATTTTGACCACCCGGGGTTCTTTAACGTGCATCCAAATCTGAGCACATGGGCTTACAGCATTTTCGCCTCCATCGAAACAAAAAAAAAAATATGTTGTTGCAAATGGAATTGCAAAGCTCAGCCCTGAGCACAAAATCAATTAGTAAACTGAAAAGCTGTAGGCAAAACTAAAAAAAAAAAAAGTCTGGGAATAATAATTGTCCAACATGTGTTGTTGAGATTAGAAGGTTCAGTTCTAGGAGCCAGCAAAAGAAACTAGAATTTTTTGGTCATTAATTCTTTTCCTTTACACAAAAGTTGAAACCTTGAAAACCTCACGTGAATAAAGTGATAAGTTTCACAGATCTCAGATTAATTTATTCCTTGCAACACTTGGCAGACGGATCCAGTTACGGAACCAAAAAGGTGAATGGCATTGTGGTGCACTCGCGCAATTAGTTCTTGGAGTTTCGGTGAGAGAAAAAGTGTTGCACAGTACCCTTTTGTTTATTGCTTTTTATGAGAACCATTGTCACAATCGCTCTCACAGCTTTATGATGCTAGCGAATTCTGCTGTGTGTCAGCATGTCAAGATAATGTCGATAAAGCCAAGTATAGAATTACAAGATGCAATTTCAGCATCCCATTACAATAACTTACGCAGGAGGTACTTTTCAAACATTATTTCTTATGAATGTCATCCTTCTCCGATGAATAAAAGAAGTAATTTTTGTACAACACCAAAAATATCCATCAGCGTGCTCCTTCTCTCTTTCATTGAGCTGAAAAGGGTTTGCACCCACTGCGTGCATGCACTCCAGCTCTGCTATTTCACAGCCCATCTAATTGAAAGGATGGCCGTATGTGTTGTGAAAAACTACTACAGATTGAAATGTTTAATTAGAGGCCATGTTATCTGTTAGCAAGCTAAGCAAGATAACACCTTTTTGTAGATCTTGTGCCACAAGCACTTATGTCCCCAATGAAACTACCCGTAGCCTTTGCAACCACTTGTGGCCTTGTTTCTTTTCGGAAATGCTATAAATTGTCCAATGCACTTAACATGGCATAGATGCACTGTATCGTAATGCATGAAACTGTTTGTTGACCTGACAAATGAAGAGGAGCTCAAGCATGAAGCACTTGGTTTGTGAAAACTGATAGTGACTTACCATGTAAGGTCCATGAGACTCTCTTGATGGTGGCTGGGTATCGACTATCATGTTCAGCTGCTCAATTATCTGTGGCGGCAAGTAATTGATTGTGATCAGTTGTTGACAGGCTTCAGAAGACCTACTACTAGGGCCACTCATGGTCGTCACAACACTTAACACATTTCTATCATAAGTGTAAGCGTGACGAGTTGTTTTATCAATATATTCACAAACACACTACAGTTCATTGAGCCCTCCCTTCAGGCATTTTATTTTTCCGAGTGGTCTAGCAGCTCAAACACATAAACAATTTCTGTTTCTATGGTGTGATACCAAACTATGAGAAAAAAAATTAACAGCCTTTTAGGCATTTCAAACCAACTGGATTAGGAATGAACTCAAAAAAAAGCAATCTTAAATTAAGGAAGCTCACTATATTGGAATCTACACAGGTGTAGCAAACTTTTACTATTTACAGTTGCTGCTATGTAAAGAAGAAAACCGGAACTGTCAAACATTTACCATGTGGGATTCGAAGTGCAGTTTTTAATAGGCTAATGAAACCTTATTAAGTACTTGCATAAACCAAATCACTAGATGTACTCATTTATGGTGTGTGATTGCTAATAAAACCTTATTAAGTACTTGCATAAACCAAATCACTAGATGAACTCATTTAAGGTGTGTGATTGCTAATAAAGTAAAGGCAAGTGCCAGGTGTACAGAGAAATTACAATATATGTATTCGGTTACCAGCTGATGCCATAAATAATGAAAAAAAAAAACTGCATCTACAACTCTATGTACTTCTGAAAATGCTTTTTGATTCATGCTAAACATGATTTATGAAACTATAAAGCAAAACGAATTCTCAGCTAAAAAAGATACAAAGTAGAACTTGTACCTTTTTGATGATTATTTCATCTTCATTGAAGCGCTCCAAAAATCCGTCAAATAATTTCTGAAAAGAAACAAAGCTTGTTAAGAAAAATGCCCTGCAAACAAAAATATCAATGTACGAAAGTTAATTTTACTTTCAAGTTTAAATAATAAACGTTTGTCTTACCACATACTCATGAGAAGGGTTCTGCCAGTGCTCAAGAATGTATCTCAAACAAAACAGGCTGAACAGGCGTTCCATGCGATAGTAGTTCCAAACCTGTAAGACAAAAAAAAAAAAAAAGAGTTTAACAGTGAATATCTCGGAAATAAACTAGGACAGGTAAGAAGGAAAGGAAAAGTGAGACATAAAAAGCAAAACTTGGTAGCATCGTAAGCGAATAACACAAAACGAAAACGTTACCTCATTTAGTATGTGCGGTATATTCCGCTCACTTGCCACTGTTGCCTTTTAGTAAGGAGAAAAAGGAAATCGTAAGTCAGTAGTGTAAGCTAAAAGAGAGTTTTACACTTCAGGGAATTCGCCCTTGAATTAACACACACGCTGACACACTTATACGAAACGTTTAGAAAAATCACGCAGTTACCTTCAAGTCATCCGGGGTACCTCGATACTCGTAGGTAAGGTAAGCGCAAAACAGCTCGTAACTGCGCTCTTTGTCCAATCCCTGAAGTAAAGTGGTTCGTTAAGTACCCCTTTAAAAAGAATCGGCAGCTTGTCCTTAAGCAAAAGAAAACTCTAGTCTTACTTACGAGAAGAGTGCTGAGCTTGGAAAGCAGTTCTTGATTAAAGCTTTCGGGTACAGTCGTCTTCGATTGCCTAGTGCCCCCACAAGAAAAGAAATTACGTAGTTCGATGAACAACAGTAAGTAAGGGTGCGAAGAGCAAATTACCTTTTCTCGGTAAAGTAAAGGAGTCCATTGAGAACTTGATCAGCATTTTTTGTTAGCTCGATGCCGATTAATTGCTGTGGAAAGTAAGCAGCCAGGTAGTAAGCAGTGATGTCACACCACTCAGGTGCGATGTAACAGTACAGAAAGGCTACGTACGTTTGATCTGAGATTAGTGTTCCCGGAAATGATGACCCATAGGTCCTTGATAGACCTGCAAAGAGCCAATTTGTCAGTTTGCATGCTACGAGCATCCACGCCGGCGCTAGTCGAACGCTGATACCCCCAATGACAGTAAGTACAAGAACACCGCGAACGAAAAATTTGCTGTTTCTCCACGTCTTCACCGGTGTACTGACGGATCGTTAAGCTTTAACTAAACACATTTGTAATGCAGGTTACACAGAAAGCGGCTATTGCGAAGAAACACACCACACACCTTTGAATGTCCGCCATCACTCAAGCATGTAGAGTCGGTGGAGTGATGACATGATCAATGCCACCTGGTACTACTGGTGCTGCCTTTGCTGCCACCAAAACGCTACCTCTGTTAATCAATGTCAAAAAAAATTGTAGCGATGGCATTGTACCGGCATTGTAGCAATGTTACTTTTTTTACAGGAGGTTTATTTTGCAGCTTCAATAATGCTTCTGAAATATAATTTTACTCAACTTTACCGCAAATGACTTCAACGTGTTTTACAAGAGCATCATATGTCTATACAAAATGTATAACTAAATTTTTAAATTTTGTTAATAAAAGATGCTTAAGCAAATTACAAAATTTTAAAATTAATTTATAAATGAAATTTGTTTTATTTTTGGTTATGTTTGGAGTAACTATTAAAAGTGCGGGGCGGTGTTTGTTGCGGGACCATGAAGCTGGCAGCAGGTCTTGCATTTTGCTGTCCGCGCTGTTGCTTATGTGGCAGCTTGCCGCTCCCTGCGCCGGCGGCGCGACAAACATTGACAGGTGATAAGCGCAGCTGCATTTCGCCCGTTACGTCATGGAACGCCTGTACCACGCTTCGAACAGTATCGTGGAAGACATCCACCAGTGCTTCAAGAGGTATGAAGTCTCGGTCGGCGAAGAAGCGCAGCGTATCGAGGCCGTCATTCAGGAAAAAATCAACGAGCTGTCTGCCAATTGCGAACGACTGGCAATCCTGGCGAACAAGGAACCAGTGTCGCGTCGACAGCACGCGAAGATGAGAGTGGACGAACTCAGGTACGAGCAGAAGCACCTTCAAGCGGCGTTGGGAAACCTGCAACGACGTCGGTTTGAGCGAGAAGAGGCCCTTCAATGTCGAGAGGAACTTCTGTCCAAGAAGTTTTCTACAAATGACGCCCGCGACACGGCCATAAACATCGACGAGTCGTTACAGTTCCATTCCAGGGCCCAGTCGGCCAACCGAAACGTGGACGATTTGATTGGCAGCGGCACCAGCATACTTTCCAACCTGAGGGAGCAAAGGACGACGCTCAAAGGTGCGCACCGCAAGATTCTCGACGTGGCCAACACGCTCGGCATGTCCAACACGGTGATGAGAATGATTGAGAGGCGGACTTACGGGGACAAATTCATCCTTTTCGGTGGAATGTTTGTTACCTGTGTCGTGATGTTCCTCGTGGTTAAGTACCTTACCTGAGACGTCGCCCAAATGTTTTATTTAGAAGGTGCCCGTCAAAGTTTACCAAATTATTACAATGCAGAAATAAAGGCTTTTTTTTTCGTATCAAATTTTTTTATTGCAAAATGACTGTGTCAAAGTACCCTGCAACTCTTCAACTGTATGACTGCATCACTGGTTGAGCTTCTTTTTGAGGTTCTCGGTGACTGCTTCGAGGAACTCCATTGTGTTGAGGTAGTCGCCCTCTTTGACACTGAAAGAAAAGAACAAATTATTCCCACAGGTCCATAATAGTAAAATTATGTAACTTCATGTGCCACTTGCATGTCACTGTAACCATTGCTGCAATACATGAACACGTTGCTATAAACAAAGTGAAAACTTTCAAGCTTGCAAGTAAACTAGCAGCATATACAGGGTGCTGCAGCAATATTTAGCCAGAGATTAAAAACATGCCAACACCTGCAATTGTGACGCGACCAAGTGCATGTTGCCGATTGTTGCCTGAAGTTATTCAGACAATTTTTTGTGTTCTAACATTGTTTAATTAGATCTGTTTAATTAACTAACTTTCCAAGGAACGAAGATGTGCTAAAAATTTCAATGAGAAAGTTTTAGATTGGTTTGCAAAACATCCGATTAGACAGTTTCGACCTTCTTGAATATAATTTCCTTCAGTTTTACCACAAATAACTTCAACGCGTTTTACAAGAACATTATTAGTCTATATAAATTTTATAAATATATTTTTTAAAATTTATTAATAAAACATGCTTAAGCAAGTTACAATATTTTAAAGTTAATTCATAAATAAAATTTATTTATTCTATTTTTTTTTTTTGGTTAGGCTAGGAGCAATTGTTAGTGTTTCTTTGCTAACTACAAATGCCCACGTAATACAAAAAAATACGTGACAAACCCGCGCGCACGACCATTCTGGTGCTCCCTAACGTTCTGCAAATGAATGACCATAGCGTTTGCCCGATTGTGCTGTCTCGACAGGGCCCCAATGATGGCAATGGCTTTGCGATAAACACCGTTTTGTATCGGCCACGAAAGCGAGAGCTGTGACTGCTTAGTGCTGTTGTGAACTGGTGTAAGGGAAGCGTATTGTTCGTAAGTGAACGTTAGGGAGAACCAGAATCACGGCGCGCATAGGTATGCCAGTGGGTTTGTCATGTGGTAATTTTTTTAATTTCGCGGGCATTTGTAGTTAGCAAAAAGAAACACTAATAATTAACAGATGTAAAGCTTGAAAACTGTCTAATCAGATGTTTTGCAAACCGACCTACAACTCTCTCATTTAAACTTTTCATCCATCTTTGTTCCCTCAAAACTTAGTTAATTAAACAGATATACTTGAAGAATATTTTAGAACTCAGAAAATAGTCCAGCTAACTCTAAGGCAACGGTCAGCAACATGCATTTGGTCGCATCGTAATTGCGTGTGTCGGCATATTTTTAAAATCTGGTTAAAAATAGCTGGGGCACCCTGTAAATAGTGCCTGCCTCAATTTCATCCTCACTTCTTTATTCCGTGGATGCATCCTGCCAAGTCCTTGGTCATCTTGCCAGACTCTACTGTTTCGACGCAAGCTTTCTCGAGTGCACTGCAGAATCTGAAATTTAAAGGGGGAAAAATAGTGTCAATTCCTAAGTTGACTAAAGCACACCATTAATACATTGCAGCTCCAGTTGAAACGCTTGGTGCAAGAACAATATACAATTCTCTGCTACTCGTGTTGAGAGCCGAATACGTTAGCCCTTGGTTTGGGTTGGACAAGGCCTCACACATATCAATTGGTTTTCGTAGCAGGTGACAAAAATTGAGCGAGGTAACTGGAGGAATAATCAATCAACCAGGCCAGATGCCTGTGCCATCTACACATGTTGCTCAGTTCATGTGTACTGTAAAGCTGCTGGGAAATTCAGCATTTGTGTAGAATTTGTAAACATACCAGTAAAATCGTAAGCAAGCAAGACCAGGTGCATGTACGGTAGCACCTGACAAGTGCCAGATGGAACTAATGCAGGCCTCACATTCATTTGAAAGATAAAAAGAAAAGTTTCTTCAAGAAACAGTGCGAAATGTGACTTGACAGAAGATGTACGCCTCAATTTCTGCACTGTTCCTACAAGAAGCCAAACTATTCATACTATTGAAGAGATAGGCATTGACCAACCTCCTATTCATTATACAATAATGCTACAGATCAAGGAAAGACACCTTTGATAAGAGAACTGATGGCTGGGCTAGTTTGTCTTGATTTATCTCTGAACAAATGTACAGCACATGATATAACACAAACCACAGTAATGTCTGCATGCACTAGGCCTTCTACCTAGGCAAGCCATAGTTACCGTATTTACTCGATTCTGCCGCGCCCTCGATTGTAACGCGCACCCGATTTCCACCGCGAAAAAAAAAAAAAAAAAAAAAAAAAACGTAAGACATCGATTGCAACGCGCACCCATTTTTTCTCGCTGGCCCGCATGATCGCACCACTCGAAAAAACGACTCCTTTCGGGAGCGTCTTCCATTTAAATATGAGGTACGGGCGAAGCTTGTGCCCATCTGACGTGTAACAGAGCATTGCCGTCACTGTAGTTTTACCGTGGACCGATGTCAGCACGCGAACTTGCTTCGCCCCCTTCTTCTCGACGGTTGTGGTGCCAGGCATGTCGAAGTAAAGAGGCGCCTGATCGGCATTCCCGATTTGCCCAAGCAGGTAGTCGTTGTTGCGCCGCAAGTTTAGGACGAACCTCTGAAAACTGTGAAGCCTTTCATCGTACTCCTCCGCAAAACTTTTCGCATATGCATGTTCCCCTTCGGAGGGAAAAGCCTTTCCTCTTCACAAAGTTAGTTAGCCAACACCTGCTCGCTTAAAACTGGCTCCGCATTAGACATTTTTCTAAGACTAATTGCATAGCCCGCACTTGGAGCAGTTCTGCCGTCACGGGCTGCTGTGCTGCTCGCTGCTAAAGCACATACTCGCCGAGCAGCTCTTTAATTTGCGGAAACCGACCCTGCTGTGGTCCACTGAAGCCTTTGCGTAAAGCTTTGCTGTCGAAAACCTTCTGCTTTTGTTTCCGCCGGTCCCGCACGCACGTTTCGGGAACTCCAAACGACCGCGATGCGGCCCGACTTCCGTCCGTTTCTGCACACGCGATGACTTTTCTTTTAAAAGCGGCATCATGGTGCACTCGAGTTTTTGGAGTCGGCCATTCCACGCCGTCGATGCTAATGCACTACTAGATGACGAATTCCTTAGCACACGTACGAAGTGCCGCACATGAGAAACACATAGGCAGAAATGGACGACGCGCCATGCCGACGCACGTAGGGGGCGGCCATTTTAGATTTGCCGATGGCAATAGATTGGCCGTAATTTTTTTGTTCGTACTCGATTCTAACGCGCATGCGATTTATGAACTCACTTAACCGGAAAAAAGGTGCGCGTTAGATTCGAGTAATTACGGTAACCTCCCTGCCTTTTTTTTTTAATCCTTTTCTTCTAATGTCGTCCATATTCTATCTTGCGCTGTACATGTTAATTCAAAGAGGAACCTTTAGGTTCGCTCTTGTCTGAACATTTTAAAGAAAAATCTGCTGAATATAAGGAAAAGACAAACAATGGGTCCACAGATGCTGCAAGAAAGTAGTCAGGCATAGAGGCTTTGCTAATAGTTAGGTCATGGCTTCGTAGGTCAAAGTTGCCAAAGGCTGGCTAACACGTCTACTGCTCCATGCAATATGGCAACCAGCGGCACATCAATCTGCTACTGAGATGTGTATTCTGCACAGCATGCCCAATTCATTGAAGTGCAGGCAGCATCCTCATTTCTTGCAGTGGACCTGTGCCATTCACAATAAGACAATGAATGTGATCGGAAAAAGCTGAGCTATGCTCGAAATATCTTGTGTGTTCTTTTGATTAGTGTAGGCTAAGATTATACAGAATAGGTAAGTTTAAGAAGCTATTTGGATTCCATGCACTGTAACTGTGGAAATTGATGTTATACAGAGTTAGTTTTTGAAAATAGTATACCACGAATCGTTAAGGGTTTAGCAACGAACTACCACTGGAACAATGGGTTTGTGCAAGGCAAACTTGTTACTACGGGTAATATTGCAGCTGGCTTGTTGTATCTCAGCAAAGCATCATGACAACATACTTCATTACAAGTTCAGCTAAGGCTAATCACTAAGGTATTATGCACTAACAGCATTTGAATGTTACAACACATACGAGACTGCTGTGAGGAAAGGATGGAAGGAAGTGGGTAATCTTAAAGGCGACGCAGTGAAATGTACCTAGCGCCAGAAAGCATTCGCCAGTACAACAGAATAAGGAGAAACTAGTGCTTCATGGCTTTCAAAAGCAACTTCTTGCTATGCAACATGCCACATTCACCAATCATCCTAATCAACTATAGCTGATGCTGGTACAATAGAGCAATGAAGGCATGCATGTGTCTGTGGCTGAATGGGAGAGCCTTGTGTTTTCATGTGCGATACCCTTGCTGTATTTTCACCAGTAAGCACAAATTTTATTGTCACTGCAGAGGCCTAAAACAAGGTGAAACAAAAACCCACGGCACAATGTCTGCTCCATATGATGAAGAATGCTTAACATTAAAATTGCTGGAGTCTCGGTGCAGAAATTTGTGTGCAGTCAATAAAAGTTCGTAAGGTTTATTTGAAAAATTTGTTGTGATAACATATACTCACTTGTGGAGATCAGTGTTGTTATCTAACTTGGCTCTGTGATCCAAGCCTCGTGTCCACGCAAAGATGCTTGCAATGGGATTTGTGCTAGTCTTTTTGCCCTGGAAAGAGATTAATTGGGTTATGTATCAATCATGCCATGTAGCTAATGCATCAGTGAATCCAGATTTCTTTGGGCGGATATAACCATTTACGTAACTGCAGCTCATCTTTGTGCCATTTTTAGTAGCAACTGCTTTTAAACGAGATTTTCTTTGGTCTTTTCTGGGCTCCATTTCTTTTATAATTCACGGCACATTGCACACTTTGCTTCATATGTGGTTTCCTACAGTGAAGCTTAATATAACTCAGCCAGGCACAGATCAGTAGGCAGAAAAAGCCGCCGTGCCTTTTAAGACGACGCGGTGCGGCGGAACAAACTAATTTATTACAGTTTTCAAAAATTTGTTGCCTATTCTGGTGTTTAAAACGGGGCCCCGCCATTTTAAGGCAACTGCCTTGACCATGAGGCTCCACAACCACACTTTTAAAATGTGAACATACAAATGTTAATGATGTCCTAGAGCGTTCGTATTTTGAGATACTATATAACACCTTCCCTAAAAAATACTTTGCAGCAATGCATTCATGTTTGTAATGGAAGTGGCTGGGCATAGTCTTGGTCATTGTAGGCTGGCTTTTCCACACTGTATGTTGATGTGCAAGTAGGGCACTGCTGCTGACAATATTGTCGTTTTAGACGTTGTCACACATCGAGCTTTCACTCCGACATAAATTGTTATTTGACTTTAGTGCCCCGTTAATTACTAGTAACCAAAGTAGCTGCAATATTAAAAAAAAGAAACTTCCATGCTTTAAGAGACGTAATAAAATGCTGCTTGTCTGTTTCTGGTTGACTTATAGAAAAAAGAGCCACCTGGCGCTACTATGGGCAATGGCGTGAGTGGTTGAAAAATGTAGTTTTCGCCTGGTTAGGCTGGATAAATGGTACCATCTAACAGGGCTCAGTTGAACCAAGCAAGCAAAAAATTGTTCAATGGCCATTGCTGCTGCTGTGGCTCCCAATACTTTCACTCTGCTTACTAGTGTCGGCGGCCGAGCAGTAAAGCTGGGTAAAGTTGTGCACGGCAACAGTGACGTGAAGCGTACTGCTTTCAGGGGAGGAATTTGAAGTGCGCCGACGCGAAGCGGAGAACTAAAACGAGATTTTATTTCAAAATAAGCACTTACATGGTACAAAAGTAGCACTGCGAGGTTCCCGGAGCGCTATTTCAACATCAACTTAATATTTGCCTTTAGGTCCCTTTAAACAATAAGGTGAACCTATTAAGGCAATGACAAGAAGGAAAGAAAAGGCATGGGTGCACAAAAGCTAGCCAAAATGAGGTACTAACCCAGCTACAAAACACAATCCATGTCTTCTACATTGTCAAAGCACAATGAAATATCGTACTTACGCATAACAGCATGTGAGACAAAGCAAGAAGAGAGGAAGAGTAGTTAAATATCTGACACCACTTAAAGTGCCCCACTGCAACTCAAGCTTACGTCAATGTCTGGCAACGGCCTACCACCAGTTTTGGTTTCCTGAAAACGCACGTTGTTTGGATGTTCAAATTTCACACATTAAATGAAAACATCACAAGGCGTCCTCCAACATTCCTTCGCACGCTACATTTATGAAACAAGTTCAGTATGCAGTTATCAGTTTTTGGACAAACCTTTTGATGTTCTCGGTAATGCCTAGTAACTGTTCCATGCGCTGCCTCGGCCTCTACGGTCTTTCCATCGGGGCAAACCAAGACGCTCGTCATGAGACCAAGAGAGCCATATCCTGTTCAGAAAAAAAAAAAAATGGGAATACGCCAATGAGTGTCTATGCAGTCATTTGAATTTTGAAGTCAGTGTGTTGAATGAGCATTCCAAAGTAGGCTTTTTAAAAGCCCACAAGCTGGAACTACCTATGCACCTTGTTAACCATGCTTCGATTTTGCACACGGCACACAAGAGACTGACAAAAATTGCATTGCTTTTTCAATCAAACTTTTTTTTCCATCAAATTTGCAGGAACATGCAATTGAACTTGCTCAAAAGCGCATGTCATCATGGCACATGTCACAATCGGAAGGTTCCAAAATAGTGTTGGAGATGGTGCATGAAACTTTATTTTAAACAGAATAATTTTTCTAAAACTTCATGAAACATTTTGAAAATTGCACAAGTCTGACTGCATTACTCAGGAAAATTCTGGAGGGTTGGCATGTTTTTGTAAGAACAATGAGCAGGGCTTGCCAATTACGTTTTGGTGAAATATATAACCAATGGCAAGTTCGTGAAGGCATTCTTTTTCCATTTCAGAGCTAAAAAAATTGTCCTGCATCCAAGCTTGCTAATAGGTATGACCAAAATATGCAATGCTAGCAATTAGTGGCTTAATGAGCAGCTACTGCTTTCGTCACTGTTAACAGTTTTTGAACCTAGTGAATGTTAAGAATACGTTGAAAGTTTTTGCGAATGTCCATTTTGCACTGAATATGTAGAGACTTGTCACAAAGCCTGTTTTATGGCAGAAAACAGCCAGCCTTACAGTAGTTTTTTAAAAAATGTTTTCTAGACAGTGTAATCAATTTAGACTAGCACATTTCTGCTGAAAGATTCATAACAAGACTGTGGTGGAGGCAACAGAAAACAATATGCTTTCACTATGTGAACATGCTTGTGCCCAGTGCTTTTTCACGGAACCTATTTGTCTATATACCAAGAAGAACAAAACATGCTGATCAAACAAAAAAAAAAGCTATTTCAAAAAAGGCAATTAGGAACATGGCAGTCTGAAATACAAATGCAGTGTGCCTGTTACAAATTGTTTCAAAGAAATAGTTTTCCCTGGCATGTACAGTAAATTTTCTGAAAAAATTTACCAGCACTCCCCTTTCATTTATCTTATCTTATTCAGTAAATGCAAAGTAACCTTGAGCAATGATGTCCGACTGGACGTCGCCATCGTAGTTCTTGCAGGCCCAGACGAAACCGCCAGAGGACTTGAGCACCTGAGCTACCATGTCGTCAATAAGGCGATGCTCATACCACATTTTTCTTGCTTCAAACTTATCTTTGTATTCCCTGCAAAGCAGAAGGCACGTACAGTTCAAAAGAAGAACCTTTTCATAACACACTCGTATTGCGGCAAAGCTGCCTTTTAGAATCCGCTATAGTCGCAAATGTATTGACTCGCAAAAATGCTGGTTCCAACATGGAGATGATAAATGTAGCAAAGCGGAGGCTTTAATGCCGTTTTGGACCTGAAATTTGGGCAGGACGTCTGAAAAATCATAATTAGTATCTAAAATTTCATATGTTCTTGTATAGTATTGACGTCTACGAAGCAGATTGGAAACTGCAGACTTGTCGGTAGCACACCCTTGTTTGTCACACATCGGTTGGGCTTCCGCAGAAATTGAAAGAGGAGGAGAGATTTGCAGCAACAAGAGCTTACTCTGGGTGAGTTGTTTCATTGTAGTTGTACAGTAAAAATTCGAAAACGGTAGGAAGAGAAGATATGGGGCTTTTACCTGTCCATACGTCTCGCCCAACCGTTGTCACACTGTTACTACAATACAACTAGGAGGAGAGGCTGAGGGAATAGCATCTCTGCCTTTCACGTGTAAAGTGTTGTCAGCAACAATTTGGTTGCACAAATCCATGCTTGCAAATACAATTAAGCCTCTGCATTGCCTCATTTCTGATAAGACAACTGTGAAACACTACATCGCCATCAACCTAGTCAAAATAAACACTATGTTGCTATCTCATAACATCTAATCCTCTCCAACTTTTGTTTCTCCAATTGCCGTTCGTAGTACTCATAAGTATTCTAGAAAAATTTTAGAAATATTTGAAACATTCTATTTGATTTGCACTCGCGCTTCAATGTTCACATTTTTTCGAAGCAAGAACTGTGCTAGTCCCATAGCTCTAGGTCTTGGTACTCAATGCACTGTTCTCAAAATTTTGTCCCTCGTAGCAACAACGTTGTCAAGTCTCAGTCGGAAGAAGTGTATATGTACAGGCTAGGAAGCCACATCGTGTCAGTGGATTGTGATATGTATATATGCATATGGTGATCAGGAAGACATTTGTTGTGCTATGTTGCAAACTGAAGCTATGTTGACCTGACTGTCACTAAGCTGTCATCACTATTATAGTATTAGAAAGCAGAAGCTGTTAGCCCTTGGCAACAGACGTATGTGTGAACGCAACATTCGGTCGAAGCCAGTAGTAGGTATAAAACATGCGACAAAAACATGTAAGAACAAAATTGACTAGTACTTCTCATAGATGCTCTGGAAGATATCCTTGAAGCGGCCATCGTACTGCTTCAGGATGGTGTTTTTGGTGCTCAAGTAGAGGGGCCATTCCTTCATCAGCGCATACTGGAAGCAGGAGTGGGCGAAACCTTCGATTGACTCGTCCGTGTTGTACATGGCCATGGTGACGCCCCCTGACTTCTTGAAGTCAAACACTACGTGCTTCTGCTTCTCGCCCCCATCGGCAGGCGTGAACACAAGCTCCACTTTTCCCATGTTGCTCACTACCCTGTCCATTGCTTTGTACTGAAATAAATAAACAAAAGGAGCATTTGAGCCAAAAGGAAAAGAGATGAGATTTAATGTGCACTGGCACACCTAAATGTTTAATGCAGAAAACCACGTCAGACATTACACACTACACACAAAACCTGTTGACATCTTTTGATGCGACTGAACGAATGTTCAAAGGAAGCCACTGGGCCTGTAGCAGTCTGCCTCATGCAGAATTTATGACCCTAAGTGCATCTCCAAGTGCTACAATATTGGAATGGAGACTTACAAAAGACCACTCTAAAAGAAAAAAATAAAGTGGTGCTCACACACTATATAAGCTTCATGTCTTACTCATCATAATTCTAGTGGGTAGCCAATGCAACACAAGTGAAGTGAATTTACTTATCAAGCATTAATACAGATGTGTTTCACTCCCTAAATATAGAAGTATTTTGGTACCCCTTATAACAATGTTTCTTTGCTTTTTATTTAGCAGGTGGCAGCCTCCCACCTTAGGGCGACACCGGGCATCGATCGGCACACTGTTTCGAAATAAACGTTAATTTCTCTCTCTCTCAGTAAATAAAAATTTCGTCAGTGGAACTGCTCAATAAATGAAACAACGACCTCTGACATGACTCATTTTGTACTTGTATTCTGCACCACTGTTTATATCTCGGTAAATGTATCTACTCTTGAAGGGAACATGCTTTCTTGGTCCCTTAAGAGACAGTGCACTGCAGACTTCAATTACTAAATGTCCGTCTGTCTGTTTAGCCACCTACATCTGGGTGTTATTGTGATCACCTTGTTAACTTGGGGTACACCAAAATTGGTACGAGAGGGTACGATGGTTGCACGAATACGACTCGCTAGTTGTGACATGAATATTAAGGAGTTTTAGCTAGTACATATACTTCTTTACGTAAACGTGTTGCTGGATACGGGTAGCGTTTACTGTCTTACAGGAACGGATATCTTTCAACATTTTAGCTCCTCCTACGAAAAGGTTTACGTGTGTACGTAAACGCACATACCTTTACGTTTTCGCAAACCATAAATGGTGATGATAACAGCTTATCAACTGCATTTAACTTAGATAAGATTGAATCACTATTGTGGCAAAATCCTGAGACGTTCTTTTATCCCATACAGTATTCCCGTATGCGCAAAAGGGTGAAAAATACAAGGCTACTGCAATGATGGTGTCGACATCTTGTGACATTTCATGCAACCACAGTCATGAACACGTTGGCTTACGCGTAATGTTTTTGAGGTAAAAATTATTAAAAAGGTAACTCATTTGTAATTACGCCACTGCGTACATTTTGCAGCAGACCTACAATGCACGATGTTTCTGCAATAACATTTTTGTGATAACCTGGTTCACTACTGCCCCTCTAGATGGCCCCACCTATCCAGCTTTTCTATTCAGTGGCCATTCTAGCTTTGATAATCCAGCCGAAACAATGTAATGGCTATTGGCGCTCGCAGTTCGGCTTATTTCAACTCGACGGCTCGAGTCCCCACAGTACGGATACCCCGAGTTTATACGAACGAAGGTGGATTTGAGAGATAGGGCGAAAAACGTAAACTTTTAAACCCCATCCGGCGAGAAATACAAGGGTTTACGTTCCGTGAAGATCCGCGCACGCGCAGATCCTATCCGGTAACACAATAATGTAAAGAATGGTACGTACAAGCTAAAAGTTCCTATTGTCACCATCTAGTCACGTACATCATCAAACACTTTTTAAAAAACAGTGGCACATACACGGGGATGGTTATGCACCAGTGGTACGTGGGTATGTGCCACAGGTGACGGACGTTTTATATCTACCCAGGAACGGTGAGAACACACATGGGTAACTAAACGAGTATTAAGAAAAAGGTACCATATGCAGCGTTGACCGGACGAATGCAAACAATAAATGACAGTGTTCCAGCAGGAATCAAACCCTAGTATTCTTCGTGACAATATTTCTACCGCAGAGCCATGCCAGGCCTTGGATATACTTTTCAAATAGACCCTAATGTTATGCAACGTCAATTGTGGTTGCAGTACTGGCTATGCAATTTATAAACATTACATATGTACTCCTATGATACAGCCACCATGTCGGCTTAACATAAATTGTAGTTAGGCACCATTCGCTGAAGTTTATTTGTGTAGCAGTGTTGAAGGCTAAAAATCCTCACGTGTGCCAGTGCAAACACCAGCACTTTATATCAGCTTACAGCTTCTGGTTTTGTTAATATCCATGTTGCTATTGGCATCGTTACCCTACTGTAGTCAACTGCTAACATAAAACATATGCGGATGTTCATTGTATGTCTGTGTGTGAATTCGTACATATATTTAGCACCAGTTCATAATGTCTCGCTCAATTAAAAATATACCTTCCATACGCATGTTTTGAATCACATCGATTCCCAAGGGACGTGGGATGTGCCGAATTTTTAAAATTTCCCAGTTAGAACACTGTCAAAAAGTGCTTAACAATATTCAGTGCACTATAACCAAAACTTTCAAAAGAGCTAATGAGGGGCTGTTCAAATCATGTCCTTAGGAGAACTTTATAATAAAGTTCAGCTCCGCAGTAGTCATAGGGAACAATCACTTTTTATTTTCTACTGGCAAGCATGTAAGGTCTAGTACTAGTGCTGCAGTTCTAAGATGAGTGAGAGGCAAGTATTTTGCTCTCTCACCTGGTCACCAAATGCATGCCTTCCGATGACTATAGGCTGAGTCCAGCCAGGCACGAGGCGGGGGATGTTCTTGCACAGGATGGGTTCCCGGAACACTGTGCCTCCGAGAATGTTTCGAATGGTGCCGTTCGGGCTAGGGTACATTTTTTTCAGGTTGAACTCTGCAGTGTCAAAGAAAAAAAAAACATTGTAACCACATCAACACTCAATCTGAAATGCATATACAATAGAAAATGGTTATTGGTGTAAGGGACAAACACATTTACCTCAATGGACAAGAAAAAGTGCTTAAAGTTCCAGAAATTTGTGATGAAGCATGACATACCACATGCCGAAATGTGCACACAGTGCTGCTGTCATAATATGCAAAATTAGTCAAGAGGTGCAATCATTGCAAAGGGGATGATAGAAAGCAGCATATTGGCCATCATAATGCCACCAAAATGTACATAGAAAGCACATCTGCACGATGTCAAGAAAGCTAATGGTACTGCATACTCAAGTACAGTGCCCAAGACGCATCAGAAAGTGGGCCTCGTACATAGCCAGCATAGCCACCTGCACGCTACCTTGTCCCATCTCTATTTCCTTTCATTTTCTTACAGTGAAACCACAAGTGTTGAATAAGTGTTCTTAGCAGCAAACTACTCCTGGTAATGGCTTCACAAAGTCCGTGGGTACTGAGTCTGGCTTGCCCACAAATGCTGGATGCTTCCACACCTGGCGTCCTACGATGCAACGGATGATTCAACCTCGAAGTAATACCACTTTCAATTGTGTAGTCCCCACACTACAACCTACTATGACCACCCAGCCCACATGGTTGGCAGATTCTGAAAAGCGATACGACTTTTCATCCTCTTCTTGCTTTTCGCAAACTGCAGCACACTACTGCAGTCAATTTAACACGTAGAGTAAACAAGACTTCGGATGCCAAATTGTTAACTTTCTTTAATGGTTTGGACACCACTGCACAATTGATACATGCTTTAGAAAGCTTGACTGTAGGGTAATCTGTTCTGCATTCAGGCACTGAACACACCTGGAGAACGGAGAGGGGAATCCGGCTGTCCACTAGAGACAGTAAGAGTGCAGTATGTAATTTATTATGAATTTGAAAACTACCACAATGATTTTCAAACCGGTGAATGAAACACTGTAAATAGCATTAATTATCAATTTTCATCATAACACAGAAAATAATGAAATTGAGATAACCAGGACATCAGTTCATGTGCCTCCTCTTTTTTTGGTTGCAGTATTTTGCACCAATATCTACTAGTTTTCACTGCCAAGTGGCAACGTTCCACGACACCTACCGTATTTACTCGATTCTACCGCGCCCTCGATTGTAACGCGCACCCGATTTCCACCGCGAAAAAAAAAAAAAAAGTAAGACATCGATTGCAACGCGCACTCATTTTTTTTCGCTGGCCCGCACGGTCACACCACTCGAAAAAACGATTCCTTTCGGGATTGTCTTCCATCTAAATATGAGGTACGGGCGAAGCTTGTGCCCATCTGACGTGTAACAGAGCATTGCCGTCACTGTAGTTTTACCGTGGACCGATGTCAGCACGCGAACTTGCTTTGCCACTTTCGTCTCGACAGTTGTGGTGCCAGGCATGTCGAAGTAAAGAGGCGTCTGATCGGCATTCCAGATTTGCCCAAGCAGGTAGCCGTTGTTGCGCCGCAAGTTTAGGACGAACCTTTGAAAACTGTAAAGCTTTTCATCGTACTTCTCCGCAAAAGTTTTCGCATATGCATGTTCCCCTTCGAAGGGAAGAGCCTTTCCTCTTCATATAGTTAATTAGCCAGCACCTGCTCGCTTTAAACTGGCTCCGCATTAGACTTTTTTCTAAGACTAATTGCATAGCCCGCACTTCGAGCAGTTCTGTCGTCACGGGCCGCTGTGCCGCTCGCTCCTCAAGCACATACTCGCGGAGCAGCTCTTTAATTTGCGGAAACCGACCTTGCTGTGGTTCACTGAAGCCTTTGCGTGAAGCTTTGCTGTCGACAATCTTCTGCTTTTGTTTCCGCCGGTCCCGCACGCACGTTTCGGGAACGACCGCGATGCGGCCCGACTTTCGTCCGTTTCTGCACATGCGATGACTTTTCTTTTAAAAGCGGCATCGTGGTGCACTTGAGTTTTTGGAGTCGGCCCTTTCTTGTCGTCGATGCTAATGCACTACTAGATGACGAACTCCTCAGCACACGTACGAAGTGCCGCACATGGTAAACACATAGGCAGAAATAGCCGACGCACCATGCCAACGCACGTAGGGGGCGGCCATTTTGGATTTGCGATGGCAATAGATTGACCGTAATTTTTTGTTCGTACTCGATTCTAACGCGCATGCGATTTATGAACTCGCTTAACCGGAAAAAAGGTGCGCGTTAGATTCGAGTAATTACGGTACTCTCGTCAACAAGAAAGACATTTACCTTCTACCCTGGCCTCATCAGGTGTAATGGTGGCACACTTGATTCCTACGTTGTACTTCTTGATCGCATGCGCTGCATCGTATGTCACCTGGTCATCCGTCTTGTCGCGACTTGGAAGACCGAGGTCGTAGTATTTACAATCCAGTTTTAGGAACGGGAATATCAACTGTGAAATGAAAAACATGTTGCGAGTTAGACAAGGATTTCAAGTATATTACGTGCATGAAAGACAGAATGAAATCCAATAAGTGCACTGGGCACATATGAGCACGACATCTACCTAGCACTGCATGAAAACGTGCAGTGAAATATGTCTAGTATACAAAGAAGACATTGCAAGAACTCCTGTACACTATCTTAAAATTTGCACTTTCAACAGTGTTTTCAATTGACATAGCCAAATTTTAAATATGGAGAATAAGTAAAAGTAGGAATACAAATCACAGAAAAATATGGATGAATTAAATTTGACCAACTCAAGAGTTGTTTATTCAGAAAAGCATCAGTGAGGTTTTTTTCATCGTTGGGTAGCACACAAATAGAAAACACATAGAAGAAATGGGACAAATTCTGGTCTAACAACTGAAAATTTATTTCAAAGATCACACACACACACACACACACACACACACACACACGCACACACACACACACACACACACACACACACACACACACACACACACACACACACACACACACACACACACACACACACACACACACACACACATATATAATCATGCACCATGCAAGATTACACCATATCAATTAAACAGATTTTTTTTGTTCTGATAATATAACTGATGGCTGGTTACAGTATCAGAACGAGAAATCTGTTTAATTGATCTCGTGTAATCTTATGTGTGCATGGTTTTATGTATATCTATGCTTGTCCTGTTCCTCCTTTTGTGTTTTTTCTTTATGTACTACCCAACTATGAATAGGTTCAAGCTCCCCTACCTTTCAGTTATGCTACAGAGGTACTCTTGTTGTCCTATTTTACTTGCGCCGTCTAACCTCAACAGTTCATAAAGCAATATGACAATGCTTTCCTAGTGGAAAGCTCAGTGCTTTCTTTTTATTCAAGAAGATTTTGCTGCACGACGTATGAAGAACAAATACAAAATGCTAGTTTGCTTTCAGGTCTGCTTCACGCAATAGCAGAAGTAGCGACACAGCAAACTTGTTAACCAGCCTCCCATGGGTGCAGGTTCCATTTATACCTGGCATATTAACTCTGTCATTCTTTAAGGGTCCTTACCACCCAGAGGTTGAAATTTAGTTGTGGTGTTGCAGTTGTGTGCGAGTCTACAGTGAACACGTAGCCATAAGAATTTTTTTGAGATGGTGCCATCATGACGAAGTTACAAATGTTTGATGGCACAAAAGACAACCTCGCTCGTTTCGCTCTTTCCCTCACTAGTCGGTTTGTCTCAGCTCCTGGCCGAGTGGGGCCAGGAGGATGAGCAGCAAATGCGCGCACCTGTGCGCAGACAAACAGGTGTTATAAATGACAAGCAGACAGCATGTTCACGTCACAGCGAACGCTGAGGGGACGAGGATTGCCAAAAGGCACAGAGAGGAGAAGGGATTGCATGTTGTAATTTGTGGGGTGCCCAGGGTTCGTAAAGCTCCTAAATCACCTCTAACAATTTTTTAACATTACAGGTTAATGCGCACCTGGAGTTCAGAATGCAGTCGCAATCGATGATGAACGCAGCAGTGCTACAAGCCGTGGCCACACCACAAATTCCAAGAAACAATCCCTTCTCTCCGTACCTTTTGGCAATCTTCCCTCCCTCAGTGTCAACATGTCATCTGCTCATCATCCACGATACCTGTTTGTTCGCTCGCAGATAGGTGTGCTTGTCGCTCTTCCTCCTCGCACGGCAAGGAGGAGCATTCGGCGAAGGCGACGAGCTAATGAATAGAGCGTTGCGAAGGAAAGAGAAAGATGAGCGAAGGCTTTTTTGTATCCTGTAATGCCTGTAACTGCGCTATTTGGGCATCGTTCGAAGAATTCTCACAGCTGCATGTTTGTTGTACACTTGTGCACAACTTCAAAAGTGTAACTCTATTTCGACTTCTGGGTTGTTTAGGGGCGCCTTTGAAATGCTTTAGGTTTAACACTTTCATTGTGTCACATTTAGACCTTTCCAGTCATGTTATCAACAAGCTATTGTATACCTTACGGAGTTTATATGCTCAACGCAAATACAGTAAAACCTTGTTAATTTGAAGTCACTGAGGTCGCAAGAAATCTTTGAATTAAGCAGGTTTTCCAATTAAAAGAACATACAAAAAGTGGGGTGCGAGAAACATGGACTTATTTTAAATAATCAGGACTAGTCATTTGATGTGCCGGTTATTCTGCAGCTCTAAGGGTTATGCTTTCCAGCAACACCAGGTCTTAATTTTGCCACAAAAATGGAGAAATGGCGAACCTCGCTGCTGCCACCAGTAAAAAAAAAAAAAACAACAAAGGAAAAAAAAACTGCCGTGATCAACTGGAATGTTAACTTGTGGAAAACAAGACATTTTCACTGCAACACAGTAGCAACACCCGGGCAGCATGTCGCCTGCTCCTCTGTGCATCAGCATGTCATGATGCGAATATTCGCTCATTCTTTCTGATAAAGTAAACAATTTAATAATGAACAGTGTGACGAAATTCTCAATGTGTTTTGCCTGAAAAACCTGTTCATTGAAACTTTAGAACTTGGTTTTCATAGGCAGTGCAGGCAAGAACTCGGCCTCCAGTGCAAGTGCGGAAATTGCTGGAGCAACCGGCAATCGAAAGTTCGCATACCTCGTGAATTCCGCAAAACTATCTTTTATTAGCTTATTTACAATTCCAGAAAGAATGGGTGAATGGATAAATCATGACGCGCTGACATAGCGAGAAACGTACAACATGCTGCCCGCGCGTCATCACTGTGTTGCAGTGAAGCACGTCTTGTTTTCCGCAGGCGCACGTTTCGGTTGACTACGAGACCATTTCTTTTTCTTCTTGCTTACCCTTTTTGCGTTAGAAGTAGCGGGGATGGAGTGCTTCCGCTGCCACTCGTTAGTATCGCCACGTTGCGTTGCCTTATGGCGCTTAAGGGCCATCGTTATCGGTGATTTGCCGGCGAAATTGAGACCGGAAATTGGCTCACGGTACCCAAAGTTTTCAAATTAACCTGACTGGCGCCGACCGGCGCATCAAATTATTCGCTCAGACTTGCCCGGCAAAATACGAGACTGCAGAAATATTTCGAAGTGCGCGGGATTTCGAATAAGTTAGTTCGAATTAATGAGGTTTTCCTGTATATCATACCTCTTCCTTAATCTTCTGCCAGATGATCCTTGTCATCTCATCACCATCCAGCTCCACCACTGGGTTCTGGACCTCAATCCTCTTCTCTGACCCATCTGCAGACACAGTAAAATAGAAACATTATGACGTGTGTATATCCAATAAATCAGTAATCAGTTTAATGGTGATAAATAGAAAAAAACAAATCAATTCTTAGCCTTGTGGGCTTCTTCATGCAGTGACGGGGTCATCGAGAAAAAAAATAATAATTTTTCCCCAACAGAATTATTGCTGGTTAATGCTTGCTTAACTTTGTTTCATTAATATTTTTTTCCAGTACCAACTACGTATTTTCACCAGGAGCTCAGACGAAAGATGCGATAAAGTATTGTGCTTGCAAACACGAGCGTGATTTGCGAGTGCGGTTTTCACATGCAAACACTAAGACATCGGGGCAAAGCCAAATTAATGAACAAAACACCCTCCCTCAAAAGAGGGGGGGAGAGGGAAGGACAACAGGCGAGTGAATGCACAGGTTATATTTCATTCCAAGAGGACCAATAACTGAGTTAAAACACATTTTTGAGGACTGTGTGCACTGAAATGGCCTAAACCCGCTCAAAAACTGCAGGGCGAATATACTATTTTCAGATGACACAGTCTGCAGAAACACTACACTTGGGCAGCAACCATTAGAGCTGGCAGAAGCCGATTAAAACTCCCTTTAAGGAGTTTAATGAACGCCCGCCAGAAGGTTTTTCTCTCCCGTTTTCCAAAGAAAAAAAGTCTAAGTTTGCACCACTTGGAGTTTATGGAGGCATGCGCAGTTGCTTTTGTTACTGTCTCCTTATTCCCTGCTGGCACTTTTTTCCTGGCTCCCTATAAGGACACATTTGAACGAAGCAAGTGCTTTAAATAAACAAAATAGATAAATCGATGATATCATAAAGATGTGTTGATTCTGTAAATAGTGCACATGTAATTCAACAATCAGACGTACCTTTGAAATGAGCATAGTTATAGCGCGAGACAGAACGATGACACAGAGACAAGAAGGACACGAAGGACACCTACCAACTGTTGGAAGTTGGCGCTCGTGTCCTTCGTGCCCTTCTTGTCTCTGTGTGGTCGTCTGTTCTCGCGCTATAACTATCGTCATGCCATACCATCTAGTAAAGCTGCCACACTTCTAAGGTACCTTTGAACCTTTCTTCTCTAATACACAATTATGTTACACACCAAATAAACAAAAACATGATCTCGTTTTTTTTGTTTTTTTTCTTTTTCACTCGTGACAATTTCTTATGGTAACCAGAAGCTAGCATCTTTCATGCAGCTCATAACCACTGTACAATATTTGCGTTCATTGGGGGTATATCATGTCCTTAAACACCCTTTTTGGCGTGTCTGTTAGTCTACACTCTAAAAAAATCGAGTATTTGGTACACTGGTACACAACAATAACCGTCAGTCTACTTCGAGTACTTCCGTCGCGTTATCACTACGGTTCCGGTATTCGAGGTCGCGAACGGCGCGCTTTATCATTGTGACATAGCATTCCCGACAGGAAAGTGGCCAGCGCCAGGTTTTCAAGAAAGGAAAAGCGAGCAAGTCAGATAACGATTATTGCTGTGTAGCAGTATGCTCCCCGAATACTCAATTTTTTTCTTAGAGTGACACCAATGTACACCTTTTGAGGAGTCTTTGTAACGCAACAATAATTGTTAACTGGTATGCTTACGTTTTTTTCCCTCTAAACAATGAAAAAAAAAAAAAAACTGCGTGCACCGCTTTCATATCTAATGCTAACTTACGTTGATAGCACGCATGCTACGCGCACAGTAACCTGAAAGTAAGGGGCGTGCCACGTTAAGGAAAGGACAGATAGGCACGTAAGACGGATGACAATCATTGTTTGGAGGCAAGGTAACCTCCAAAAGGGTGCAGACGTCAGCAGTGCGGCCCATTCGATGTGCGAGTAGCCCAGACATTTTGAGCAACGCAGCCAGATTTCGCAACGACTCCGTCAAGTCGACAAGGCAGTTATTTCAAACAGAACATATAATCCTGCGTGGCGACCCTATTCGCGACAACGCACCGCGCAAAAGACCCGATCGACCTGTCCCTGCGGTACTGCACGTAACTAGGAGGCGAGAAAACATTCCGTGCTCCGAGAAACGCCGCAGTCTTGGCGAAAGGCGCAGCGCGGCTTGAGCGGAAGCAAGCAAACACGCGAGAGATGGGAAGGCACTGTTAGGACCGGCGCCAGGTCTGACAATGGATCGGCGTTCCTTTTGATGTTCCTTTTGAGTCGCCAAACGGGTTGGCGGCCTGTGTCCGCCATGTATTGTTCCCACCTGGCCGGAGGGTGCGGCGTCCTGCCGCCGCGGCGCCGTGAGCAGTTCGGGAGACCACCGGTGCAGCTTCTTCTTTGGAAGATGACGGCGGCGGCGGCGGCCGGGAATCGTCCCGCTAATTGAACGAATCGTTCGGCACCATTTGAAGCTTGTTTACGGCGGCCCTTTCGATGGATGCAGTCATCAACTTCAGACCCCTCGCCCAGCGACACACCTTGACGGGGGGGGAGCCGCGTTCGTGCCACATGGCCGTGCGGTGACCACGCTTCAGTTTTGAACGTTCGCGTGGACCGTGCGTGCTCGTCACCCTCGCGGGTAATGTGTGGTCCGTGATTGGACGGTGCCCTCTGTACGCGGTCCCCGATCTAGGGATCTGGGGAGGACAGACCCGCTTAGTTGGAACAGCAGCCATGACTATAGCTTGAAGTGCATGCTAAAGGAAATCAGTGGCGTCCACAGTTATTTGCACGTCCATTAATTGTTTAGCAGTCAGCCAGGCCAAACGAAATGCATACAGGCAAAACACCGCCAAATTATGTCTCACAGAACTGATAAAAATTAAAGGTATAGATTGGAGTATACTTTTAACTACTCGATCAGGAGGTATTGCATTGAAGGTATGTGAAACGATCAGTAGAATCTGAAATAACAGTGCACCCAAAATAGCGCCAATAATAGAGAGAAAGCGTAGGTGCAGCGCTTGTTGAGCGTACGCTTTTGGTCTTTATTTCTAAGTACAGATCGGCCGCTAGGGGGCCACGGTGTGCGGACGCGCGTCGCATCGGCTCCGCAGATTTTCTATGGTTTTTCGGCGATTTCTGGTTGTTTGAAGTGCATCGGATTCGTGAAAGTACAGCGAACAGTGAACGTCGAATTTCAGCGGTGAGTGGCTGTTTTTCGGTTTTCTGCAAGCTGAAAACTTCGAGGCAGCGACCGTCGCGCCCGGCCAGACGCACCGCCGCATAGCGGCTTCTGCGTCGTGGTCGCGTCTCAAGCGTCGGCGGATGGACGCTCTTCAGGAAACACCGAGGTCTCCTCAGGAGCAGCCACTGGTTCACACAGATGAGGAGTCTGCTACAGAAACCACTCAAATGGACGTTCAGACCTGGTCACCGCAGGGTTCGTCCGAAGAAGTCGACAATGTGTCTGCAGGGGAACGCCACGATGGTGCCGCATGGACGGAGGATGGCTGGCACACGGTTTTGACACGCCGGCAAAAGAAGAACCAGAAGAAAAACCAGAAAAACGCGTCAGAAGCTGTGGAGTGCAACGCCTCGTCAAGCAGCCCACCGAAGCAGGGAAGTCAGGTGAAGCGCCGACGTCGTACGAGAAGTCGCCGTCCGCTCCCGCCCCTGCCAAAGGACGACATAAAGATCATCCTTAGGCCTCACAAAGGCCTCGCCGTAAAAGACATACTCGGCTACGAACTTTCCACCGCTGTAATAGACGCTTGCCACCGACACTTCGACGGTGGTAGCTTCATGCTGCGCGTCCACCCGGGCTCGAATATTATCATCGTATCGACGCCCCACGAGCATGTAGCCAAAGAGCTGCGAGAGATCACGCATCTGAATATCAGGGGACGAGTGCACTCATTCAACTCGTATGTGGCGGATCCTGAGGACGTCCTACGAGGCATAGTCCATGGTATTCCGTCGGGGACTTCTCAAGCAGAACTCATGGCGAATCTCCGTGTGAGAACACAGGGGGTCAAGATTGAGCGGGCACGCATGCTCGGATCTACGAAGACCGCCATCATTACCTTCACGGGCAGCACACTGCCTAGGTGCGTCTATTTCATGGGAGCGGAAGCCATCTGTTATCCCCACAAGCCTACGAGGCAGGCTTGCAAGGTATGCCACTCCACAGGGCATCGAACTGACGTGTGCCCAACGCCCGACGCCAATGTATGCTCCACGTGTGGAACACGTGAACCCGCACAAGGACACGCGTGTACCCCTAAGTGCGTGATATGTGGTGAGGACCATATGACAGGTGACAAAATGTGCAAGAAGAAGCTTAAACACGTTCCGCCTAGGAGGTCCCGAGTGGATCAGCCAAAACGGAGGCACCATCCACGCTGGTTCAGCTCCGAGCGGGACTCGTCAGTGGAATCACGCTCACGTTCAAGATCCAAGTCACGGGCTTCCTCAAAGGGTCGAGCCCAGTCTGCGTCCAGAAAACGACTCAACAAACAGCCGCATCAGCAGCAGCACCAACAGCAGCAACAGCAGCAGCAACAACAACAGCAGCAGCAGCAGCAACAGCAGCAACAGCAACAGCAACAGCAGCAGCAGCAACAGCAGCAGCATCAGCAGCAGAAGAAGACAGCGCTGGTACAAATCTTGACGCCGCCCAAAGAGGGGACGGAGGCAGCCGCCTGCCAGCCAGCAAACACGGTGAGCTGGGCGAGGATTGTGTCTCCATCTGCTCCCTTAATTGAGAATCCCGAATATCAGAAAATGGTTGCCGAGAATAAGCAGCTTGCTTTAGAAAACGAGAAACTTCGATGCCAGATTAAGGAGGAACGCCGGGAGTTCCACAAAATCATATCATCTTTAGAAACCAAACTTGAAGCCAGGCTTAACGCCTTAGAGGCGAACAACAACGCCACTCATGCTATCTCCAGGGCAACCGTAGCCCACTCTTTGGAGGGAGGAACGGCGAAAGTAGACATACCTCAGAGGTTTAGCGAGGAGGCCCACGTTAGCCAGTTACAGATGGGGGAACAGTTGCAGAGCTTGCGGAACTTAATGCGA